AAAAATGTTGACCATCTGCTGCCATCTAGAGGCCAAGCCAGGAGACCTCTTTTGCTTTGGGCTCAAATGTGTCCCCCACAATGTGGCTGTGTGTATGTAAAGCATGCACTAAATATATTGACTTTTATTGCTGTGTTTTTATCTATTCTTTTATTACAACAAACATGTTTATTAAGGAGTCTGAGGGCCCTGCAGGAGCATCACTGCTATGTATAAAGTTCTGAGAGCTTTATGTATTTGTATTTTCTTACACTGGTTTTAAATGTGTCAACAAGCTAGTCTTTTATACTCCAGATATCAACAGGAAAAGAATAATTGGGACAATGGTGAATTAAACTGTAACACATAACAGCTATAATCTAAATAAAACAAAAAGCTTTCTTCATACAGGGCTGTGAACTTTGGTCTATATTACTACCTAAAATAAAATTGAGTAAAAACAAACCAGAGTTTCTCTCTTTTTCAACCGCTTGAGTTTTATATTTCTTACTTATGTTGATAATCAGAGATCAAAATGTCTTTATTATCCCCAATGAGCAATGTGTGTTACAGCAAGCAATTTTACATAACCCTCACTAGACAACAGAGAAGAATAACAACACTCTAATAAGAATACAATGGCAGTAAATAATAATACTAATTAAAAATACAATTACAGAATTTGGTGTCAGTAGCTAAAAAAAAGGGTTCTCAGTCTGTTCATACTGCATACAGGAAGGCTGTATCTGCAGCCAGACGGAAGCAACATAAACTCTATTTAAACAGTGGGTGGTTTGGGTCATTCAGGACTGAAGGGGCCTTTTTCAGAGTCCTGAGTTTGAGTGTGTCATTCAAAGTGGTGACTGCAACTTTGGATCACGTTTTGATGATACCAAAAAACCTGTTTCTGTTTTTAAATAAAATGATCCTTTAATAAACGGCAGAGAATAGAAGAACAGATTTAATGAATCAAGTTTAAAGCGGTTTATATAAACTTTGTCAACATTAAAACTGTGCAGCCTCCGATAACAATCCATTCTTTGCAACAGAGACCAAGGATAACTTGTCATTCACGATGGTGCCAAGTAGTGGGATTCTCAAAATCAATCACCATCTCATTGGTTTTTGACATCATTTTGTATTGTATATTTTATGCCATTAGTCAATGTTCATATCCATACTTTGATAGATGCTTCACATTGTAATTACACTGTATTTAGAGGCCTGATTAGGACATATGGAAACTGTCAAAAGCTACATAATACAAAGATAGGTGTGGCACATTGGGATTAAAGTGATGACACTTAATGGTGCCGCACTCTTAAAATCCTGTTACATTTTAGCAGCCTAAGATGGGTATTAATAGTTCCTGTTAAAGCCTACGGACAGAGTAAGACTTATTTACTTACTAACTTCCTAAGTTACTTACTTACAGTCCTACTTACTATTAATTTCTGCATTAATCACCAAGGTAGCAATTCCATTAAAATCTGCAAAGATTACGTAATTGCAAGCCCAAAGAAAAATGAGAAAAAAATACACAACAAAAATAAGGATTATAAAAGTAATGGTAGAGATGACATACAATAAGCATTGTACAAGATAAAGATAAACCTTTTATTAAATCTGTAAGTAATCTTACCAGTGTCCACACTATATCCATCTAATCAATAAAACGCGGACAAATCTTGAAATTAGCCTTTTGACTTGGAACTGTGCATACAATGACGAACAATGCAGTTATAGATTAGAAAAGTAAACATCCTTGAGTGTTGGTGGTATTTGTAGAGCAAGAATCAACTGAATGTAATATCTTTCAGTCTTGCAATCTACAGAATATATCAGCTTTTATACGACATGGACACAAACTACAGGAGCACAAACTGAAACAGAAAGTGGCATGAACATATTCTTGACAGCGCCTGTGGAGGGTGTGAAATAGTTTCTTTTTATAAAGTTGCACTCAAAGCCATTTAAAGGTTTTGAAATGTGTAAATGTGCTCAACACAACATCACATTCATTATTCACCCTCTCCCACCCTGACTTTAGTCTCATAAAGTGACCTCAGAGCAGCGACACCTGAATCAAGCAGAGATTCTGTTGCAGAGCTGAGATTTAAGAGTCGAGGTGACTGAAGTTTACGAGCCTCTAAAACGTGGAGAAACCCACTGAGGGGGCAAGTTCAGCTTTACCTCATCTTTTAAATCAGACACATGAGAGTATTAATAATTTTATAAAAGCACTAATATACAACCAAGTATGTGAACACGAGAGATTTTATTAACATGATCAATGTTTATTTTTAAGCCTGACAAAGATATTTGATCTAACCAGTTTATCCCAGCAGTGGTTTCTGACATGATCTCTTGTTGTCTCTTGATTTTGAACAACCTGTCTGGTGTGACACATATTCTCAAGCTGCTCATGCAAATCATAACTAAGCCGTTTTTATTTACAATGACATGCTTTCCAGTGTAAAACACTTGTAGCTCTGACTGGGCTGTTGTTGATGCAGCTGTGTTTGTCTCCCTCTAGCAGCAGTCAGTGGTAAAATCCTCCTGATATTGAATCTTTCTGACATCAAAATCACTCCTGAAGTCCTCTCTTAGTTTCTTATGAGCCACTGAAGCATCAGGAATTTATAGTCAGTCACACATCCAGCCGGTTGTTTCACTTTCTCTCACGCTGCTACTGTTTCATGGATATGCATTCAAAGTATGTATTTAATGCAGAACAACTGGTGTTAGCCTCACTCACAAGGAATCAGGAAGCTCCCAGAACAGCTGCCCTGATTTTGAACCAACCGTCAGTGAGGAGCAAGATGACAGATAAATAAAAATAAATGATCTATTTGAGTGGGTGGCAGATGCTAGTTTTCTGTCTGCATGTTTGGCCTGACTCTGTCTAAAAGTGGGCTGTGCAACTCCGCAGACCTGTTTTCTTTTCCTGAAGGCTCTCTTTGTCTGGAGCACTTCCTCACTGCAAAGTAGGCTACAAATAAAAGATACTGTCATAACACAAAATGCAATCGAAAATTATCTAGATTCATTTTTGTACATCAAACACATTTATATAAAAAAAATAGTGCTTAAATAATCAAGAGATTTGTAACACGTTTGTGTCTTTCTATTACATCTAAGTAGGGGAGACCAGGGCTTGTTGTCACATGGGTAAGTTGTCACATTGCAATTATCTTTGCCACAAGAGGGCACAACTAAAAAGTAGAATAATAGTTTTCTTCCTTTACATGGTCAGGGGTTGTGTCCTGTCTGAGAAGAGAAGAGCACATTGTGAGCTGAGATGAGCGCCAGTTAACCATTTTGTACAACCCAAAGTAAAAAAATAATTCATATATTTTAAAATAAGCTTCTTCCAGATAAAAATCCTAGCAGTGAAACATGTGGACTTGTCAGTGGACAGATTAAGGCATCCTGTCATACCTCAGTCATTGTTCTGTTTTAAGCTAACTTTAAGCGAGAGCTAGAATTAGCAAACATGGTAGTAACATGTCTCAGTCATTTTGGGGTTAGTTGTTACATGTTTAAAAGGGATTTAAATTAAATGGAGATGGAGGAGAAAGCGAGAAAACAGGAATTTCGAAAGAAAAACAGAACGTGACAGTGCAGTTCCTGACGTGATGTTGAGGGCAGTCAGGCAGGTGACCCGAGCTAATAAATCAATCTGGAGTCCAATAAAGGAGTTTAATGTCAACTACCAAACTTTGGCTCGGTACTGCAAAACATTCACCTCAGCCAAAATACAAAGTCAGACAGCTCTCCAAACTACAGGGTGTGTTGCACAATATTAAATGTTAACATTTGTTCAATGACTTTTTCTAGCTTAATGATTAACATTTTCTGTGCCTGACTTTAATGTTCACTTTCAAGTAAAAAAAAATGAGAACCAAGAAACATATAAGAGTGTAAAAAGTGTGAAAACAAGCCCCGTTTTCCCCTATATATGGGTTAAGTGGATTCAGTCCCATAACTTTCATGGAATATCCAGAGACACACTTGCAGCTGGTGTCGCTGGTGTTTTCTGGCATTGGTATCAGCCAAGCTATTTCATCTGCACAAATCTGAACAAAGCCGTGAGAAGGCATAATGCTGTTTCTACAAGCACACATGGTATGACTGAATGTTTATGCCAATAATGACAAGCAAGTATGGTTAAGTGCAAACAAGATCTACAGACCCACTGAGCATTTTTTGATCTAAAAGAGGTCTAATAGACATCTAAATGTAGCCTAGATGACTGGTCTAAAATCAGGCTACCACAGGTCTAAAAGGAAAGTTTTTTAGACGTCTAAATTAAGACCAGGTTTAGATCAAGTCTAAATCTGGGCTATCACTATACCATACTATATATTGCTTGATGGCTATCATAATTAATTTGGTTGAGTACTTGGAGATCAGTCATGCAACTCACAGTTGCTTTTTGAAATAAATAGTTATCGAATAATGGGTTAAAGTGCAACATCTAAATTCCGTCTAAAAATAAACAGAATCTAGACAGCTGAAATTAGGTCTAAAAATAAAAAAATACTAGACCTCTACTTGCAGACAATTGCTCAGTGGGGAGCAAAAAGGTAGGCATATGGCAGATGGACGAGTGCAGTATATTTTGTCAACCTGTTTTAAATTTATTTGGACATTTTTTTCTAGTTTTTATTTATTTTTTCATAAAGACACACTCACTGGAAACACTGCCAAAACATTACTGTCCATTGATGCTCTGCAGAAACAAACATTTTGCAACGAAGCTGAAGGCTCAGGATTCTGGTGGCCAATCAGATCTCAGAGTAGGAGGGTCTTGGTTAACCTCCAGATCGACCCCTGATGTAAATTTAGAGCTCAAGTCATAAAAGACTGGTTTAAGACTGGTTACTCGTTTAAGAGAAATTGTATTTTCCTTTAATTTAGAGAAAATCTAATCTTACTAGGTTCACCCCCCGGACTTTGTTTTGATTGGACTCTCCCAAAGTCGAAGTAATAAAGACCAAGTCAGTCATCACGTGGTTCCTCACATTGAAAAAAAAAAACTGCGCGCTCTTACCAGCATTTGTGCACACAGGTGAAGCCTCACCATGTGACCTGTGGTATGAAACATCCATCTATTGTTAGAGGGATAAACAAAGAGTACCTCAACTTTCCAGCATCCCGCTCTGGGCTGCATACCAACTGAAATACCTCTGACAGGTGATCTGCGCGCGCACTTCCAGCGGTTTCATGGCTCGTTCTACGCTTCCACGGCCCCTGTTCCACTCATGATCGTGCTTTATCGCGGAGTGTTCAAGAATATAACGTTTGGGACTCGTGTCGTGCCCAACAAGTGAGGGAGATTTTCAGCTGTGTGGTTCTCCAGCTGGGGGTTCAACTTCTGAAGTGGCTTTACGCACGAGCTCCTCTCCTTTTAAAGCCATAGATCTGCACGCTTGGAGGTGATCACTGAGCGGTAGGATGGCGGAGGAAATCCCAAATGATTCACTCCCAGATCTGAGGGAACTGGAAAATAAGGTTGGCAGGAAAACACCGGAAAGTCTGCTGATGTGGATGAGGGATGCTGCGGACCGTGAAGATGTCTGGAGGTCTGATGTTGTGGATAGAAGTGAGCGCAGATTTGCCCTCAGCGAACATTTTTCTGATAAGATCTGCAACTTGAAGCAAGAAATGGTGAGTTCTTTACAACAAAGATAAATAATTAATATTTTTTTACATAGGTTGAACGTCTTGTTGCTGTTTTATACTCTTTTAGTGCTCCTTTTCTGTGCCAGATGGCCGCAGACTTGCACTACTTGTTTCATCAATCACAGCCCTGTGTATTCTCATGACATGCTTTCTGTTGGCTTCACAAATGCCAGAGCACAGAGTTCCGAGCGACTTCACCTGCTTATTTTAATGTCTACTGACAACCACTGTCACCTGTGGCTCCACCACACCCCTCACCTGGCTTCCTTCTTATTCACCTCTATTCATAACACACATTCTGCATGAATTCCTCCACTCAATCTCTGTCACCCCTCTAGTCATCCTTCCTCATTCCTCTCATTTAATCTGCTTTTTTCTTCTTCAGGTATGTTTGGCGAATGCACATACAAATTAGGACCTCGTTTTTTCAGGGGTGGTATTAGTTCTTTTTTTTATTATTTTTATTTTTATTTTTATTATAATAATAATAATAATAATAATAATTATTATTATTATTATTATTTATTATTATTATTTAATTGCAAACATTTAACATGACATGCAAAGGGGTGAAGTGCAATCTGAAAAAAATTTGAAACAAAAAATAACAAGAAATTTTAAAAACAATACCAACGAAGACAATAACAAGAGACAAAAACAACAACAACAACAACAACAACAAAAAGATAATGGTACATCAGCAAAAAAGGCAAGCGGAGCAAAAACACAAATGAGACAGGAGTAGGGAGTATTGGTCACAACTGTTCAAAATGTATGGTAAGGAATATTGTCGCTTGATTGTGTGGATAAGTACAATGTATGTGATTTGGGAGCAAAATGTTATGTAAAATAAAAATAATAATAAAAATAATAAAGGAAAAACTAATAAGCAATTGAACACGAAAGAAAATCAGATAAAATAATAATAATAACAATAATAATAAGATATAATAATGATAGTAATAATAATAATAATAATAATAATGATAATAATAATGCTTTTGAGACATCACTTGTGAGGTTGGGGGGCCAGGCTCACAGGCAATAAGTGTAAGGCTCTGAGAAGAAGAGGGGTCCAGGTTGCTTCAAAATAATGACTTTGGTCTTGGAGAGCGGCTGAGAGTTTTTCCATAGATATGTATTCTGTAAGGATTGGGGCTGGTATTAGTTCTGTTTAGGGGTCCTGTGAGTCTAAATGAAAGTCACTAATATCACAGCTTTTATTTACACCTGCATTTCCTCTTCACCTTTCCTGCAGAGGTGGCTGCGCTCTGCTGATGTGAGGATCCTGAGACAGCTAGTGGCCGTGCACGAAGGAATCGAGGCCATGCGTTGGCTGATGGAGGAGCGGGATGCTTTAGTCAGCCGGGGCAGCAGCCTGACAGGCAGCCTGAGCAGCTTAGTGACTGTGGAGGAGCCTGGGCCACTCATGTCCCCCAGCAGGTAGTGTGTTAACTGTAGCAGATCTAGAGCTTCCTGTGGGCACAGACACCACTCTTCCAACACCATTAAGATGGAAGAAAAACAGTTTTAAACTGTTATCTAGAGGTGTTGTAGCAGCTTCAGCTTTCAATGAAAAGTTACACTTAGTCTCCCAATGACTGGACAGGCTGTTATCACTGTAGCATCCTAATTTGAACTGTTGCATTTTTCTGCAGATATTTTCTCAGGATATGCAGATCAGACCTTATTTTTTACCCAATGTATCTTGAAATATGATGTTTATCTAGACTGTCATATAAAAGTGCTTTATATTAAGTCTTATTAGACATTTTTGACCCCAAATAAGGCAAGTGTACTTCTAAGTGATATATTTCCAACTAGCAAATGTTTCAAGCCTTTTAAAAAGTTTTGCTCACAGAGTCCAGAAACAATCATCTGTATTGTAAAAGAAAGCAACTTTGTTCAGCACACACTCATAGGCAATTCAGTTTGCAAATAACAGAAATATCCAAGGGAGACTGAAGACATTTACAAACACATAGGAGACACAAATATTGAAATGTATATAAAATACAGAACTCCAATTATACTGTTTTATACAGTATAATTATACAATTATACAGTTTCTAAGCTGTGGAAAAATAGTAGGTTTAAATGGTGATATGTTGGAAAAATAAAGTGGAGGTTGGATTCATGCAAAGGCACGTGAAAACAGAAATGTCTCATTCCTCAATTTATGGATGCCCACGTTTTGGGCGCCTCAATCAGCGGGTGAATGTGGTGGGAATTGATAAATGTGACAAGATGTAGAAACACTTTCAGTAGTCAGAAAGAACGAAAAGCTTTACTAAACATAAGTACAAAACCATTTAATCATTTAATAATAATACCTTTATTTATTTACACTTTTCAAAGCAGAGTTACAAAGTGCTCCACAAAAACAGAGTAGAAATAGAAAAAGAATATACAACAGCAAGACAGCAATGCAATTTCCTAAAACAATCAGTAACAAGAATGATTAAGAATTCAGTAAAAGACAAAACCCCAACTATGTTAAAAGTTTTTTTTTTTTTTAAATAAGTTAAAAATAATTCTGATAAACATAATAAAATAAGACTTAATTAAAAGTTAGGAACCAAGAGCTAAGTTAGAACTCATATCCAGTAAAAGCACTCTTATAAAATAAGGAATTCGCCAGTCTGATCTCCTCAGGCAGTTTGTTCTAGACAGAGAAGGATCTGATAAAAAAAGAAGCCTGGACCCCCTTGGTCCTCAGCCTGGACTGGGGAATAGTCAGCAGACCCAAAGCTGAGGACCTCAGGGTAAGAAAAGGCTTGTAGATCAGTGATGTACTTTGGGGCAGGTACAGACAGTACTTTAAAAGTTATGATTAAGATCTTGAAAACCAACTCTAAAATTAACTGGGAGCCAATGAGGAAAGGCTAAAATAGAAGTGATATACTCTCTCGTTTCTGTTTTGGCAAAACTGGCAGTGTACTGTAGTGCCTAAATGCTGCTTTGCCATGTTTAGGTAGGACTCTTTACCATACGAGTCTGACCTGGGTCTACAGATTTGAGGCTCTTATTTGGCTGATAGATTCTGAATGAACAAGATTTTTTTTTCTGGGCCTATACAATTAGAAGACTTGCAAACTACTAGGAACACTTTAAACCATCCCCCTGTAGTTAAGTAGAAATCAGTTTTTAAAACTTAAGCAATAGTCTCAGTTTTGTAATAAGATTTCTAGTGATGGCATCCTGATTTAGCTGCAGCTGTTTTTGAGGAATCCAGCAAGAAGACTATAAAGTCTCAGAGGGCACCAGAGTTGCACATGATGTGTGCAGGGTCTTCAGGTTAAAAACTGATCCGTGCTGCATGTCATCTTTCTTTCTCTTTTTGGTGTCCTATCTAACACAGGCATTTTAAAGTACCACTAAAAAGAAGACCTCCATAATAATCCAACCAACTTCAAATAAAAACATGTCTTCTCCCTTATTTTAAGATTTTAAAGTCAGTAAAAGGCATTCACGCATGCACTTCACCATGTGAGTTTTTGCATGTTTTTAGGGTTTTGTGTTCACATGAATACAGCTTTAGTTATGCAAAATTTTGCCAGATTTGTTCAACCTGCCAGGAACTGTGTAGATATAAGGTTTCTACCTGATTTAGGTTTTGGATTCCATTTGTGGATTAATGTTTCTACTCTTGCTTTCACAGAGAAAACCGAAGTCCCACTCAAAATATGAGTGAATCCACGGGCGATGAGTTTGCGAATGAGCAGTCACACACTGACCATGACGATTCAAACCACAGGAGCTGCTTTGACACGCTGAGCTCTGACTCTTCTGAAGCTGTGCCTCCAAGTCCTTCCACCTCTACATTTGAAGTCACCTGTTTCACACAGAGCAGGAATGATCAGTTATCCTTCTATCCTGAAAACTGTCATGATAATGCCAATTTCCTTAAATCACAACCACAGGACTCAAACACAGCTCCTTCAAAAACCATGAAATCTGGAAGTGACATCATCAGGAGAGCTCTACTCAGGTCAAGCAGGGCGCGAAAAGAGGTGAGAGCAGATCCTGATATTTTGATCAGCAGTCAACACTCAGAGGAGAAAAAGACAGAGCAACAAACTCAGGAGACTTTCACAGACTCTCAGAACAATATCATGGAGGAGGAAGAGGCTACAGCAGATAACGGGGCAGTGCTGCTGGGCTACGATGCTCAGTGGTGCTGGGTGGAGTCCCAGGACGATGTTACGTTCCTATGATTTTCATGTATAATTCTGGTTTGTTGCATAAATCTTAGTAAGCAAAATGCTTGTCGTGAAGTGGACTTGCACTTTGACACTGCTGAATGATAAAAAATCTGAAGTTGTATGTCCACGATCACTATCAATATGTTACCAACATCTCTGTCACTGCTGTAAGACACATGCTGTTTCCCTTTCTTCTTGCTCGTTTATCAAATTCAGTTATCAGAAAACTTTATTTATTAAAAGTCTCATCTATGAAGAAAAAATGTAATAAAATGTATAAAACAAGAAAAGAAAAAGTATTTTATTTCAGTCATTGTGATACTGAAATTAATCTTTATTATGGTCTACACAAGTTTCAATAAATATATTCAAAGCTTTTGAGAGGAACTTTCTGTTTGTCTGTTTTTGCTGAAGAAAAAAATTAATAAAAAATGTTTCTGCAGCATGCTCACTGTGGTCTGTCTGGAGCACACACAAACTTAATGTAGTTACAGGACCCACGCACACATTTGCCAATCAAGTGCCAGTCACACTTGATCCCAGTCACTAAACACACCTGACAGCACTTGAAGCTCAAAACAAGAGGGATTACTAACAGAGGAATTTTACAGGGGATTTTGGCAAAAAAAATTTGAGTACTACCCACCCGTGCTGCTTATTCCACAAACGCAGACCCTAACAAGTTGTACCCATAGACTGTATATACTACAGTATATGTATACTACAGTCTATGGTTGTACCTTGTTGTAATGGTGACAATCAGGCTTTCCAACAATATAAAACACAACACCAGCTTATATTATTAAACAGGAGAAACAAAATAATGTTCCAAACTTTTGAGAGGTTTATTGAACATGAGTTTAGTATGTTCTAGTATATTCTCAATTGAATATATATATATATATATATATATATATATATATATATATATATATATATTTTTTTTTTTTTTTTTTTTAATGCAAATTTCTATTTGATTTTTCAAAGATTCGAATGGAGGCTAAAATTTACCGTTAGCTTTGCAACAGAAATAGAAAGAGAGACTGACTGATGAAAACAAGTTAACATTGGCCATGTAGCAGGGATAAAAGAGGAAAGACTAATGCAGATGAATTAACATGTGGTAAATGCGACTCTTGGATGCAGACACCATTGTATATGTCCTTACCAATATCACACTTACGAATAAAATAAAGAAGCAACCTCTTTGAGAAGGGCTAATTTAAAACGTTAGTGGGCGCACTTGAGCAAATTTTTGCCGTTCTTTTTAAAAGGTCAGTTCATTAAATAAAATAGTTTAACTTAAATAAAATCATAAAACAAGATTAAAATCAATACAAAAAAGTTAAACCTAAAAAAGAATTTATTCAAACTCATCATACTGCAAGTAAAACTGTAAAATGTATTATTTAAATTTAAAAAAATGTGTGAGCTAAAGACACAATGACTGTGGCAACCAAACAGGGGCAGTGATATTGTTTTCCTTATTATTGGCCCTCTGCTGACTTGTAGCAGCATCACTGTTCAGCTGCAGGTGAGTAATTCAACCAGCAGGGGGCGTCTGCATACAAACAGTCGGCTTCATTCAACTCTAATTAAGGATGGTGGAAACAGCAAAGGGTGACTGAAGAGGTGATGCAATATTAATCTGTTGATCTTGAGGTTAAAGAGGTTCAAATTTCAGAGGAAGTAAAAAGAGACATGAAGCAAACCTTTAGAGAAAGAAATGAGAGGAGTAATTGTGTCGTAAAAACAGCCAAACTGGACCATTGGGGTGGTTTTTGAAGTATGAAGTATGAGTATGCTGTCCAATGATTAGGTTTTAAAGCAGGTAGGAAAATACTGTACAAGATCTGAGATCCCTGTTTTTCTTTTCTTTCTCTTTTCGTCTTTTTTTGTCACACTCCACCATTAAAAAAATCTAATTTCTATCAAGGTTTACCAAATATCAAAATGAAGGTTGAGATCCTTTCTCTATTGCACTTAACACTAAGTACAGCTGTGGTTTGTGGCACTCATAAAGCTAGTGCTCCTCTCAGGTATGTTGTCCTCCCTGTCAGTCTGAATTTGTGTTGAAGTACAATAGTGCAATCACATCCTCTTGTTGTGAAAGGTTGCACTATAAAGGCTTGTTTTAGCCCTATGCATACAGGACTGTATCTGGACAAATGGGAGGAGGATTCAGGGTTCATTTGTTAAAAAAATTTCTTTTACCCATCTCTGGATAAACCCTTCTCTTTAAGACGCTCAACACCTGACCTATGGGCAAATGTGACCCACCATCCCAAGGCCCCCATCAGCCAACCTTGCACCATGTTAGTACATGTTTTTTCTTTGTAAATAATATAGCATGGATTCAATGTACAGTTACTCACAAATGACTACATCTATGGCGTTGAATAATAGTGGTTAGCATCCTTACATTCAGTGTCAAAAAGTGAAAGACAATTGTAATGGGGCTCCTAGTTTTCTGGGAAGAGGTTCATTTCCCTGAAGTGTCCAGTTGATTTGACATAAACATGAAGGTCACTGTTTTTTCATTCAAATACTTGTTCAAAACATCTTTAATAAAATTGGATGAATAGGTTTTGTCATACCTTTGAACCACATTAAGTTTCCATTTTGCCAATAATGACATTCAAAGAAGCAATACTGTGTTACATTTCATTGTTTTCTCACCTTTAGATCCCATTAGACCAAGACCTGATTTGAAACTCTTAGATTTGCCAAATCTGGACTAGATTGCATTTTATTTAGAAGACACTTTATGAAACACAGTTTAAAATTTGTGCAATCTTAATTCTAAATGTGAAAATACTTACAAAGGCCATTTCACCATTGTTTTTTTAAAGTCTAGACTAGAAATATGAAAGGCTGGGGAGGAACTGTCTGGGAAGTGCTGAACTGATTTGGATTGAATTCTGATTTCATCCGGTGACCTAGTTACTTTACAAAGAAAAAGAAACTCTGTGGTCAAGCCAGCCACTCCTCTTGTTTGTTGTTGACCCAGTTGCTCTTTTGAGTGTGGAACTTTATACATGCAAATCAAACCACAGGTTTCAAAAGCAGTTAGTCTAGACTGATTTTTATGGCCTGTGTCCTAGATTTGAACCTTCGACCCTTTCATATTTCACTGATGAGGCATCAGTCTTCACCACTGCACAACAGGTTTGTGTGGTAGAACTTGCTTTAGTAGACGCTATGTGCTTTTATTTTCTAATAATTACATTTGAAAAGCACAGATTAAATGTCACATCAGGTTTCCTTTCTGGGTTTACAAGGTGTGCCTCTGTCCCAGTCTTGAACCCAGGATCCCTTCATTGAGGGGCAGTAGCATGTTTTTTGCCCCCATGTTATTCAACTGCATTTCACAGCCAGTCTAAGAAAAGACTGATAATCAATGCTTCTGTTAGCATAGGACGAAAACAGCTCACTCTTAACACCTACTCACACCGGAGTATGAGCGTTAATCGTAATTATTCCAGTAGCCTTTGCATGTATATGAGTTCGGTTGGATTTTTTTAAGAGCTCTCATTCCTCACATCTTAAACACATTTGAAGGTCATAAAATTTCCAACATCAACTCTATTACTACGATACCAGTAAATAACTCATTACTAGCCATTTAATCTTCCAAGTGTTTCTTTCAGTCTCAAGTTATTCTCAAGTAGAAATTTTTGTGATAAACACAATTATGACAACAACAACAACAAGAAAGAAAGAAAGAAAGAAAGAAAGAAAGAAAGCAAGAAAGAAGTTTTTCAGGCATAAAGGAAAACGTTGAATTTGACCTTAACAGATGGACTAATTTCCCAAATACCCATGGAGTCGGACTTCATTTATAAAGATGAATACCCTCCGGAAAAAAAATAGGATAAATTGGATAAATCCAGTTTGTTTATCTCTAAGTTTAACTGTGATCTATTTATCAATCATAACTGTAGAAAAAAAAGCTTACATGTTGTTGTGGTAGATAGCTACTGTATTTAAGGTCACAGGAATCAGAGCTCCTCACTTTTCTGATTTCTGAACCAAACCACCAGTTTAAAAGTAGGTCAGCTGAGTCCAGAGAACTCTGTCCAAACTACATTTCATACATTAATTCAATAAACCTGAGTGTTGTCTATCTAAAACTACACAAAGTGCATAAGGGACTCCAGAAATGTGTTCCCGAAGAGGCTTTTTGTTTTTCCGATGGACCGCGAAGGCAGCACCCGATGACTCCCGTGACGTCACGTATTTACAAAGAAAACCGGAAGTGTTGAGCAGGTAAAAATGATTCCCCGCGGTAGATCAGAGTGACATTACAGGTGGACAAAGGGCGATGTAATGGTTTGGAAACTCGAAAGGGAAACATGGAATTTTGTTTTCTTCGTTGTCTTCTTTTCGTCGTCCTGACGGCCTGGACTTTTGCAGACGGTGAGTTCTCCTGGCGAAAGAGACGAAATCAGTTGACTGTTGTTAGCATGTTTGCTAACTCTGCTGTTTACCTTTGCCACAGGTGCGCTTTGTGTCATAATCACAATCATTTACTGTAAAAAAAGAGATAAGGGGTCTTTGTCTAACAGCTCTAAACTATTTAAAAGTGTCAGGAGATGTTTTTACAGTCTGTTCAGTCTCTAATGATCATTATTTTTGTTGTGATTATAACTGTTTAACTGTAAAGTTAGTTTTTCATCCTCAGCTCTCAGGACTGTTATTTTTGTCCGAGGTTTGTTTTTGTTAGTGTTTTAAATCTGACTGTTTTGTCAGAATAGATAGAGGACTCGGGCTATTTTTGAATTTAATGTAATAATAAAATCTTTTTCACTAAGACATACTAAAATATGAAAAAAAGTGTCCTGTAAGAATGAACAATTTCTCTCATTTTAAGCTCATTTTCTCCCTCACTATTGGCAAAGATCACAGCAGCATTACACACAAAGATGTTCTTAATTTTATAAGCTCCTGTCAAAGTTTACGTAAGATTACCAACAGAGTAGTGATTGATGATGACTGCTGCCTTTTCAAGGTGATCAAATGATTTATTACTTTAAATCATTTCTTTTGAGGCATGTGTACAAGGAGTGCATGTATGTGCACTTGTGTATCCAGAGGCTTGTATGGGGTTTAACAGAAATGTCATGTTTACTCTTCTTTAGTTTATACTTGAAAGATTGTTTTACTCACTGTGTTCTTGATTGACTTTTTGACAAAAATGACCCTTTGCTAGGACTGGGGGATAAAATGATTATAGATCGCAAATTAATTTCCCTCAATATCAATATAAAACATGGTCAATATGCTTTTCAATAGTCGGCATTCTACCATGTTTTTGTAGATTATACGAATAGCCAATGAAAAGAGGAGTTGCTCTGGGTCCGCTTCGCGCTGAAGTATTCATGTGCTGAATTAGAATGCCTGAGCAGCCGAAACAGCCGACCATTCAGTCCGCTTTCTCTAACGCAACACCTTACGAAAAAACGTCAGAGATACAAAGACCTCACAGATGCAGTAGCTTATTGTATTGCAAAAGACATGCTACTAATAAGCACTGTTAAATTTCATTTTTTATGTTGTGATATGGATATCGACTGATATGAAAAAAATATATCATGATAAACTTTTTCCCATATCGCCCAGTCCTACCCTTTTCCATGAGTTTGAAATTTGAATTAGAGGTTTTCTGTTGCTGTTTTGTTTTTCAAAGTGTGTGATTTATACTGTGGTATTTATAATTTAATCAAAAAGATATTAGTGATCTCCTGCATCTCACTTGTTTTTTAGTATTTCACAGTTTGGTATCAACAGTAAATGATCTAAACCTCAATAGTTAGTTTAAGTTTTTACTTCAGATGGGACCTTTTTATATAGTCATCTGGCCTTCGTCTTTAAATCCAAGACCATTTGTTCTTATATTTGTATTTATCTGTTATCATACTGACCCATAACTTGCTCACTATTATCCGGCAACTGTGTTTTATAACTCCTGTAAACACTGCGGCCTCACATAAACTCAGACATTAATGTCATGTTTTGTGTTTAGGTCCAGTATTATTTTAGATGTTGTACTTGTGATGGGTCGTCTGGGACTAACATATTGAGTATGCTCTATGAGTTTTTTTTAAAGAGTATGGCTAAAATGACATTATCATTTGATCAGTTTGAACCAACACATTGACTTAAAGTTACCGGGATGACCTTTTTATCAGTGAATAAAAAGAATAAAATGTGATTATTTCCTTCTTCCTGCTGGTAAACAGGGTAGGTCAAAGACTTTTGGGTAGGTCACAATGGAATTTAATGACACAGATCGGCTTTTTGTTTTTTCATTAAGTCGATAGATGAACTCATCAACTCAAATTAAAGTTACCTGCAGAATAATTGATGAAAACAATGATGAAGGGCAGCTCTACACGTGACAAGGACTAGCAAAGAACTCTTGTTTGTGAGCCTTCACTCATCAAAGTCTGATTCCCTGCAGATGAACAGGTGACACTTGTATCCGAGCTCTCTGCCAAACCTGCACAGAAGTTGTCAAAGTACGGTTGGTACGGCAACGTGAGGCTGCAGAAGTTTCACATTCCAGAGGAAACTGCCATCGCTCGCTGGCTGTTCTCAGTCACCAAAGGGCACAACTTTAACTGTGGACAACACAATGTCACCATGTAAGACATACACAAAGATCTGCATCCTCCTCTCTCTCTTCCTGTTGATCAGATTTTTTTGTTTTTTTTCAGGAACTCAAACTTGCTCTTTGTCATTGTTAACTAGGGGTGGGTATTACTAGTGGCCCCATGATACAATATTATCACGATACTTTTATTAACATTTTGCAATACAGTGAGTTGTGCGATACAGTATATTGCGATTTATATAATTTTCAACTGTTTAGCTAGTTTAGCATTTGGCTGTCCTTTACGTTTGTCTTATTTATGATGAATTTTATTTTCGTGTAGCACATCTTGCAGACCTTATATATATTTGTTGCACTAACTTTCTCCTGCTCTATGATGCCATCTTTGCCAACCTCACTGGACAAACAGCTGATTTTATTTTTCCATTATCTTAGATTTGACTTCATGTTAGCAATTCATTCAAAAAATCAATGCTTGGTAAATGGGACGATACGATATATCACCAGACAAAATATTGCGATACTATGCTGTATCGATTTTTTTCTCCCACCCCTATAGTTAACACAGTTTTCTGATTTTTCATCTCATTTTCTCTTCACTCTTGAAGCCATATTCGATGGGGAGCCCCTCCAGTCATAAACCCCACAGGCTCTTCATTTCCCAATTCAACACACTGGAGCCCCGGTCTGTCTCTTGTCCTTCTTGTGACATCACACAGCTCCACAACCTTTAACGTCTCAAGTCCCGCTTCAGGTGACTGGTTCATTGCTGCCCATTTGCCTGAAGATGATGGGCGCATAGAGCAAAAGGTTTGTATGGCGTGAATTTTTTCTTACTAACTGTTCTGTCTGTTTTAGCTGTGTTAACCATATTGTCTAAATAATACTTCTATGTTCTATTTAATTGCCGAGATGTTGCTGGAGTTATTGTCATTTTCCACATGAGAGTTTCAGCGCTCACCTAACCTGTTCCACCGGTAAATAAACCACATTGTTCCTTTGCTGCATCTGTTCCCAGCTTCTTTTCAGATTACAAAATTGGAGGTGACAGCAAAAACTCATCAACCTTGATGCTATTTGCATTGTATGTGTCTATTTGCGGTGGCTTTTTTATGCACTGGTCCTCCCACTGAATTGCTATTTAACTATGTACTTCTGACTTATTACCTAATTAGTTGTCAGTCCTGTTTGAAAGGTTCTGAACAAGGGAATCCTGTTTATTTGGAAGAGTACGGTGTGCCACTGTTTATAAAAGCATTTTATTGTTGTTGTTTTTTTTTTATTTCTTAGGGCTTTCCCTCCTGCTCCTACTTTTTCCAGCCTCAGCTGTCCATCAGGAGAGTGGTGGACACGCCCATTTTACAGCAGGGCACAGTTCTCAAGCAGACAGCAGCCCCTGACAGACCTGCACGCCTTAAGTAAGAGCTCTCTGCATGTGTACACGTGAGCACTAAGAACCCTGAGACTACTCACACTCTGTCAGTCAACTCTCTGCACTTCTGGTCTCCAAGCTTCTCTGAAAGATGTGTAAACTTTCCAAACATAGTACTTCAATGACCTTGAAGGGTTACCTGTTCATGAGATTTATACTAGGGGCGTAACTATTTGTTGAGATCTGCTTAAAAAAACACACAAGCACTTCACGTGTGAGCTACCACCCATAAGGTACAGCTGATCGGACTGCTGTCTGTGGGAAACTGCTTCACAAAAGCCAGCTTGGTGTTGCAACCAAACTGGAACTGCTGAAAAGAGCAAATACACTTGTATTAACCATTAACCATTAACCATTAGCCATCACTGTTTGTTAGCGAGTCGTAAAAATCGTCTCAGAACAACTGCACTCCATATCGACTATGATTAGACATTTTACACATGTACTACTGCAGATTTCTTACTGTTAAACAGAGTTATACTTTCTAAAAATAAGCACTGCTCTTCAAAATACTCTGAAGCTGTCTGGTCTTAGACCGCAGTGGTGTAGCAGTACAATATTTATTTGAATAACAAATCTGGAAGCAGGATTATGGAGTACGTTTTCTCTATTGGTTTGATTCTTGAATCAGAATTTCTTTTTGTTGTAAAAAAAAAACAGTTTTGGACTGCAAAATAAACAAGTTCTACACATGCAAGTTATTGTCATCAACCACAGAAATTCTGTGATTAAGTCAATGTTCAGCGGCCTTAATATACTCAGCATTAAAGCTTGTGTAGGGAGCTACTTTGTTGGTTATGAACCAGAGTTAGATTGAAAGTAAAGCCTCAATATGAGCTTCTAAAACAAACATAACCAACAAAAAGTAAATAAACCATTCATTTGAAGTTATTTAAACACCTTTAAATGCTTCAGCAGGTTAAGGCGTCAGATGAGGGGGGTGAACAGGATGTGATGTATTTTTGGAAAGCCCAACACATGTGTAGTATGTACAGGATAACAGTTAGAAAAGAGTCAGAGGGTACACTTAATACTGACCAAACTACAACTGAAACTGCCGCACTGCATCTTTAACTTGAGAAGATTAGGATCAATAGCACATGTAATCATAGTCAATCAGAGAGAAATATGTAATCAATAGAGTAAATTCAAATTAAATAAACACATTTCACAGCAAGGAAGAGGTGTCGATGTGCAGTTTTAGAGTTTGGAGTAACTGAATGTGCAAAGATGAGTCATGAGAAAAGTTAAAGTACTAGAGACACACGGTCAGCTATTATAAAGATTTCCTGTTCCTGTCTACAGATAAAGATCAAAACTTCAGATAGACTAAGAGCTTTCTAACCATATAATGTGTTCAAACAGCTTGACTTGCAACAGTTTGAAAACAGCCAGCTCAAAATTTTCAAAGGTGCAGTTTACGGCGAACCTCTTACAAACATTTGTCTTACAGCAGACGCCTGGCGTAGAATGATAAAGGAGTTTCATCCAGCCTTTACTTTCAGAGGAAAAATAAGTCTGACTTAATTTAACCCGCCCTGATCCTTTGCTTTGTTTCTCTGTCTTTTTTATTCTAGGTTTTATGTCCAAGAGTTTACCTCCTCTCTCTCCGTCTCTGTGACCGACTGCTCCTCAGAGGATGGAGCAGCCGGTGGAAACTGTTCACTGGTCCTCAAGCTGGGCTCCACCTCTCCTCTGTACAGCCCGGTCACAGTGAGCTGCTCAGGGATCAAATGCACCGCCACTCTTTCTAACCCCCCTTGGGACACCTGGTTGAGAGTTGTCGTTGAGAGCGGCAAAGAGAACCGCACCGTGTCCTTTACTATCATCTCCAACTCCACAGGTGAACACACACACACACACACACACTGACCTCATACTCAGGATTCACTCATTATACACCTGTTCTCACCCTCCACCTGTGTGTCTTTTCTCCTCCTGTCTCCATTTCTGCCTCAGCGCGGTGCAAACCAAAAAGCGTCACCCTCAAAGCAGACGATGACATCAACAAATTCCATGGCAACAGCATCTATAGCAACTCAACATTAGCAGGGAACAGCACTGTGGACACAGACGCAATCGGCTTTGGCAACAAATCAATGGCCTTGTTAACGCCGCTGTCACCCTCGGCGTGTGTGTGGAGCTTCCCCGTGTTCTATGAGGAGGTGGATATTCTATCGCTCAGATTCACACCCGTCAACGGACCCAACGTCAGCGTCTCAAACACACACCCCTCTATGCTAACATACCCCCTGAACACACAAGCCACTGGTGGGACACTAAACCTACAGCTCACACTCAACGTCGTGAGTACCAGCATATCAACACACAGACACAAACATGCGTTATACTTGTAAATCCAGTGTGATCAAATTTAGCATTTTCACTGTCATTGTGCTCTAAATATGTTTTTGTATTTGTGTGTGTAGACTAATGTGACCCTCGGCAACAGCAGCAGCGTGGTGGCCTGTTTCTCCCCCTGGGCTCCAATCCTGACACTCAACAATTCTCAGCCCTGTCGCTCAGGTATCACAACTGATGCATTTAACACCTGAGATGACACTGAGATTGAATGTCACTTAATATATCTTAAAGGTTGGTCATGCATACAGATGCTTAAAATTAAATAAGGGCTCTTCTGTATGTGGACAACCTTGTGATCAAATCCCTGATCTTAAAACTTTACCACTGAGCCACGGCCACCTCTTAGATACGGCAAAATAAGTGCACAGTATAAGATACTCATTGCCTTGTAATCTAAACTTGACTTTGTTCAAGACAAATTTATTTCTATGTAAGTTTTTCCTGCTGTATCAGCTTCCATGTCATTTTATCATCAATGACCACATCTACAGAGTGTCCCGAAACTGGGACATTTTTTTAGTTACAGAGATTTATAATACTTCTTTTGATTTCCAATACTTAGTTTTGTCCAAAGGACAAAGGAGGCCATATCTTCATCAAACCATATTTTAAGTTTGACAGTTTTAATTTTTACAGTGAAACTTAAAGTCTTTAAGTTCTCCCCCAAACAAATAAAATTTGGGTCATCTGCAAATAACACAAACTGCAATGCACTTAATACTTCACAAATGTCATCAATATATAAATGAAAAAGACCAGGTCCCAAAACAGAGCCTTGTGGCACTCCACATTCAATGTTCCTATTCCTCAGACTTAACATTAGGAAATTCCATATATTGTTGTCTGTTATGCAAATAGCTACTCAACCAGTGAGATTCTCCAGTTTTCTGTTCCTCACCTCTTCTATCATGTAAAACCCCCTAAACAGTCACTACAACTGTAAATCCAGTGACTGTAAACTGAACTTGAGGTGACTATCAGACCAACTATGAAAGTGAATAAGTGAAAATGACACCATGGTGCCAAATCTCAGGTCTGATTTCAGTATTGAGTCCTTGTTTAAGTCAAATTCAAGTCTGTTAGTTAGAAGAATCTGAGTCAATGCTAAGTTAGGCCTCTGTTTTCATCTATACTGCTCAGTAAGAAGAGAACTGCTCTCTCACTCTGAAGTATTCACTGTCTGAACTTGGACTGAGACCATTTGGAGGTGTAGAAAACACTTTCTCCCGTTTCAACTGGATTCTGACTGATCCTGTCGGCACGTCAACCTTTACATTTCACCGATTTCTCTGAGTGCAGACTTGTCTTCTCTGCACTGATTAGTTTACACATTGAACGTGTCACACTGCTCTTGCTTGCTTTTGCTGCATTCATAGTGCCTCTCTGAGCCTTCACATCTGTCAGCCATGTCAGACTCAGCGCCGAATAAATGATCAGAGCCTCTGAAAAAAAACTTAGCTATTAAAGATGCCTGAGTCATCTTCCTCATCTTCAGGTCCAGGCACAAGTCATCTGTGCTCGAGAATAACTCAAGTTAGGGCTTGACAATAAACTGAAAATTTTTACGATACTGACATTTATGACAATAACCAACGTCATTTTGCCCATACCGGTATATTCGGTGTCAAAAAAAATGAATAAATAAAAGTTGGTTTTGGATGTGTGTAGGTAGGCTATGGTTCCATGTCCCTGTAAGACGCTGTCCTACGTCAGAGATGGGACTCCACCCAATCCAGTCTGTAACAAAGAGGGAAAGACAGTTTAAAAGATGACAGTTTAAAAGTTGTAGCAGCTGGAGCAGCGGCTGAAGTTGACAAAGTTAATGTGGGAGGGGGTGAACAGCTTGTGGAGTAGTTATCGTCCATTTAACATTATTGAGGTGAACTGCTCAATATATTGTGATATTGATTTGAGGCCATATCGCCCAGCCCTAACTCAAGTCCTTAACATCAGGATGCAGGTTAGACAGAACTAGTCCTGGACTCTAGTATAACAACACAGGAACAAGACAAACAAGACAAAACCTGGGTTGTCCAACGGTTTATGTTTTTTACTAGTTGTTGATAGTTAAAACTCTGCAGTCTCAACTGCAACCTAATTCTCAGAGTATCACATGGAGATCTGTTTCACATGTTCAGTCTGTTTGTTAAACAGATGGAAAATCTCCTCAGGTATCACTGATGAAGACTTCTTTATTTTCTGTATTGGTTTATGATAATGCAAAGTCAGGAAGCTTGACTTTGCATTATGGAAATATTTCAGACAATACTCATGTGTGTATCTGTGTGTGTCTGCAGGTCTGCATGGAGGATATGGTCTCAGTATAGATGTCAGTGCTCCCAAAGCTGTGATCAGGCTGCCTTTCCCTCCATCTACAACCTGGTACCTCACCATGCAGCTCATATGCAAGAGGTAAAAAATACACGCACAGTCACTCTCGTACATTTAACAAGCAGGGATCCCTGTATTTAAAAATATCTGTGATATTTGTAACTATTTTACAAATCTGGAAGGTTTTTGTTCACATATGCCTTCCTTTAGAGAGAGATTATAAGACATACCCATCCTTAAAAAAGTCTCTGTGAGCTTGTGATGATCAGGGGACCCCTTTTATGTTTGTCCTCGGTTGAATCCTGCTTAGCCATGACAAATACGAATTGTATGATGTTTATGTGTAACCTTAGATTAGTTTCCATATCTTAGGAGCTTAATTCTCAATCCGCATGTTTTTCTTCGCAGCAGTGACTGTGGAGACACATCTGTGGTGTCCGTGGTTCCTGAGGTCTCTATCAGTGCCTGCGTGGAGGACTGTGGGACTTACGGTGAATGTCGACTGCTGAGGTCTCACAGCTACCTGTATGCTGCCTGCGTCTGTAAAGCTGGTACGAAACACTCACACACGCGTACACAAACAATGACCTACCTCTTTTTTCTTTGTAAACAAATACCCAAAGCCTTCAATCGTCCTCAAATTATATGAGTCAGCACGGTGTGTGTATTGTTTCCATTAATTTACAAGCATTTTTTAATTATTTTTATTTCTGTGGGTGTTTTCAGGTTGGAGTGGTTGGGGCTGCACTGATGATTCATCTGCTCAGTCATACCTACGGCAGGTCGGAGCGACTCTTCTGCTCACGCTCAGTAACCTTTCCTTCCTCCCTGCCATCGTGGTTGCTGTCAAACGCTATTACATCACCGAGGCCTCCGTTTACCTTTTCACTATGTTCTTCTCAACGGTAAAACTCCCAGACACACACACACACACACACTCATTTGGAAATGTAGCAATACTGGCAGGTTTCGACAGTATTGCTCATGTTATTGAGGCCTGTGGTAAACTCTTGTGTAAGAGGAAGGTTTTATTGTGATGCACCGCATATTTTCTCGGGTTAATTACACTTTCACCGAAACCGGGCCACCTCAAGAAAAACTAGTCTTATAAAACAGTGAGGAAAACTTGTTACAGTTTGTACCAGTTAAGGCACAGAGTGAGGAAAACACTGAGGTCGAGTGTCCTGAAACCCCTCACCTCCCATCAAACACACTCATGTCCATATCCATACGTTCAGTTAAATGTAATTATCTCACATTGTGTTTCAAGACTTCTTGCTAAAAATTTACTCACAGATGTGGACACAAATCTTTGCCTGTAATTTTTCTGTTCAGTGTATGTAGCTGTTAATGAACCTGTTGGAAGCAGCCCTCTGTGAAATATATTTCTGTGTAAAAACGTGTATCAATCTAGACCACCAGAATCAAAGATACTAATATTTCAACATCTAGAATGAGTATTTCTGTCAAGTTTTGTTTTGTATTTCTGTAAAAAAAAGTGGATTCTAACTTTTATGTTCAGATTGGTCACCTTTAAAGACAAGCGTTTTTCACTATGTAAAACTCTTGTTTTAGTTTTAAGGTTAACACTAGGGTAAGGGTTAGGTGAGGGTTAGGGTTAGGCTCAGGGTTGGACTCAAACATACTCCATGGAAACCCCATAATAGCACAGTGTACAGCAGCAGCAATTATCTCTAATAATATTCTCATTAATAAGTGGTTATCACATCATGATGTAATGCTCCACCCTTTTATTCATCTTGCATAACTTGTCTATAATTGAAGGCTCGTGTAACTTTTTAATGAGGCTATTAATGCAGAGAATCTTCACCAGCGGGTAAAAGCTTACACACCAGTGTTCACTTCAGCTGTTAAGTTACACAGAGGCTTCCTACTGTTTTGACTATGCAAGCCAGACAGCAGCAGCCGTCATATTTCTGACAGATCAGTGGTGTGAGAGTTTCTTTCTTTCTTTATTTCTGGTCGTGGTTTAAAAAAAATGTATATAAAAAAACACACAAAACAACAGTTAAGAATAAAATAAAATAAGTGCCTCACTTAGAAGCACATCAATCGTACTTATCACAACAAAATGAGAACAAAAACAAAACCAGAGTATCCACATGTCCAAAAAAAGGGGAGGAAGAAGTCAAAGACTTGTCTAGTCTTACCCCTCTGTTACTGATCTCATATAACTTAACTTAAACACTATAACTAAATGTTTTGTTTTTTTTATATATACTACTGCTGCTTACTGACATTTTTTATTGATATTAAGATGTTTAAGTAAGTAGAATAAACGCAAAATGCAATTCAAACTCTTATAGAAAAAGTATAAAAATCAAAACTTGTAACTTGTCCTTTTTACGCTCATTGCTTTGACTGGTTATAAAGGTTCATTTGTTTTTCATATCAGTAGAACAACAATGTAATTCCTTTGATTCACCATTCAGAAAATAGCTGTTTGTACTCACAACATGCTTAAGGCTTTAGTGAGAAACTTTTGGGCTGTATTGACTCTGGCGCCTCCCTGTGGACAAAACAGTGTTTGTTTATCTTGTCCTCTGCTTGCCCAGTTGTGCCTGCTGATAAAAAGTCCCACCCAGCTGACTTTCAACAGTTACATTAATTGTTTACCGCAAATATTATATGGGGAAATGATAAATTAGGGGCTGTTTCTCCAGCTGCTTTGCCCAAATCCAGTATTGAGAATGAAAACCTAAAACACAAAACTAAAACATAAACGTATAGTATGTAAACCATAAAAAGACAGTATAAATTTTAGTGAATTTCATATAGGTGAAAAAAATTACTTGAAGCACTTTAAGTGAAATGATGGCGCTGTATGAGGTTGTTGCTAACTGTATGTTCATCAGAACCTATACTACACTTAAAACACTTCACAGATAGTGCTATAAGCTCTTACTATCACTGATAAGGATGGTTATAAAGCCAATTAATAAGGCTTTGTAAATGCGTTTATGTTGTGTTATGTCATATAAAGTGTCACTGCTTTCTTTTCTTCCAGTCTTGTATCATTGAAAGTGAGCTCACACCCCTCTCCTTCTGTGTTTGTGTTTCTCTTATCACACTGTAGTTCTACCATGCATGTGACCAGCCAGGTGTGGCTGTAATGTGTATAATGGACTACGATACCCTGCAGTACTGTGACTTCCTGGGGTCCATCTGTTCGATCTGGGTCACCATCCTGTGCATGGCTCGCATCAGAGACACATTCAAATATGTGAGACACGGAATGCCGCCTGATTTTCTCAAAAATACTCTTTAACTCTTTCCTCTGAATCAATCTAAGTTTCATTTCTTCAAACTTTAAAACAGACGCTGTTCATGCTCGGGACTCTGCTGATAGCCATGTCAATGCAGCTGGACCGTAAAGGTCTGTGGAACCTGCTCGGCCCTGTTCTGTGTGCCCTCCTGATCATGGTCACTACCTGGGTAAGACGTGCACCAGCAAACTACAGTGATACTTCTTCTAATAGTTTGACCAAGTACAGCATAATTTATTCAAGTTTTTTTTCTTTTATGGTGCAGATATACCGAAGTGTTCGGCGGCGCCATTGTTACCCTCCGTCGTGGCAGCGCTGGGCCTTATACCTGATCCCTGGAGCACTCTGCGCCCTGATCGGAGTCTGTTTGTACATTTTTGCCGAGACAGAAGACAACTACTTTTACACTCACTCGCTGTGGCACATCCTGGTGGCCAGCTGCGTTGTGTTCCTGCTGCCACCGAAAGAGAAGGACAGGGAGGCGTTAGGGTGGAACAGAGGCTGGAGCTGGACCTGGACCTGGAGCTGGAGCTGGAGACCCCGGGTATGTGGGTACACGCTGTGTGAGAGCGGCAAAGATGAACTCTACACTGTCACGTAATGAGCATGTGGAAACAAAGTGGATTGCATTTGAAAGCATTCATGATATTTATTCAAGTTGAAAACACACACACAGGGTGTCTGCTGGGCCTGAAAGGGCCGTTGAATAAACCTTTATTACCTATATTCTCATAGGCTTGTCCACTCTGAATAAAAAGGATTTGTAAAGATTGATGAATTTACTTTGAAAATGAAGTTGCAGACACCCTCAAATACACTAAACAACAAACACACACACAGAGACAAAACCACCCCATTGAACCCAAATCAAACCTGCTGAAACCTCCAAGGTGGCCCGTTTTACCAGCTATGGGAAGAAAACCACCTGCCCTTTGACCTCACGACCAAGAGTTTGTACATATTTGGTATGTACATATTTTAGCAGTCTAGAAAACACATGTATGACTATTTATAGGGAATGTTAAGCACTTTGTGGGACACTTTAAAATCTTTCTATTCAACCTGTTTGTGTCTTCTGATCAAGTTTACTCTATTTACATTGAATACAAACACTCATTACTCTTGTGTCTCCTCTGTGTTGTCATAGACCTGAAAAATGAGTTCTGACTATGTTTATTCTGCCGCAAAGTCTTTAACGGCCTTTTAACACAACAGCAACAACTCCAGCTCTTTACACATGTGACACTGCCTTCATCATCAGTAGAGGAGCTCTTCTCTCACAATATTAAATTGCAGAATTGTAATCAATCAAAGTACGTGATAAGAGTTTAGGAAACTTTACTTCACATGTCTTTATGGTAATGATTCATTTCAGCTCCTGAACAGAAGAGAAAGCTCTTTAGTTTTGATCAGTTTTTAATCAAGAATATGTGATAAGTGGTCAAATTTAAATGTAAATCTTGGTATACAGGGTGCTTCCTTCTCCAGATCTTTATTGTTTTGTGCAGAAACTTGGTGACTGTCTTCTTGTCCTTTTTTTTTTCTTTTTATTCTCCGGTGTCTTCATATTTCTTCCTTCTTAATCCTCACACGTTTCTGTCTTTTTTTTTTTTTTTTTTTTCATTTTACCAAAAATTTATCCTGAAGCACTTTTATGATCAAAAAATGGAATCACTATGTATTGTAAATAGTCCACATTATGTGTGAATGGGCACTTTTATGAATGTATAATATTCAGACGACTGTGTCCAGTGCCTCCTCTTGTTTTTATGTACTGTACAAGTTTTTTTGTCTCTTGCACCAGAAGAGCTGCTGAACACTCCTTAACTTTATTTAAAGTAAGAGATCTACATATATTTCATGTGTTGTCTGTTTTTAAGTGCACCATGCTGTGATGATTTTGTTTTTCCTCTTTCTTTGTGATTTTTGCACAGGTTTCTCAAAGCCTTCCTTTTGTTTTTGAATTGTTTCCTCACGTGTGACAGAGTGTGAATAACTTCATATTGTTGTTGTCACCTTTTATTATCACCACTACAACATACTGTAGATGTCAATACTTAGGGATGGACAATATAATGTAATATTCAACTTCAAATGTGATCTTGCTTCCATGCAGTGAACAGCTACTTTTTAATCTCTCAGAAAGTCCAAACAGCATTTAGCTGACCAAAAAATAAATCTGTCGTTTCAAGATGAATGTTTACTGTTTGTTTTTTATGCTTTTCTATGGAGGATGGTAATGTTATTTGTTTCCCCAGCACCACACACACACACACACACACACACACACACACACGGTACACAGAGAATCGGATTATCCTAATCCTCAGGAATATAGAAAGTGTTCACAGTGTGGAAATACCCATTGAACTGTGTGTGTGTGTAAATATATTTGCTCGTATGAAGTGAACCTCCATTAGTAGATTTGATGAGCACTCAGGTTATGCAAAGCCGATACAGATCAGCGCTACAATCACAGCATAATGGATGACTACTCAATGTGTTTTAATGGTGAAAACAAAACAGCAGCTGATACTGGATCATACATTTCCTATGAGTAACCAAAGAATAGGCCTACATTTATGTCGCTGTGAACTGTAGTCTGAAAAATAATGTCTTATTGTCTTAATTCATTGTAAAATAATTCAATTTACCACCTGATCAAACAAGACCACATTTATGTTTGAAATATCATGATACTTTTACCTGAATGGAAGCTTTGATAAGTTTATCTACATATACATGAAGTAAACTAAATCTGGATGGTACTGGGATGTGTTACGCCCCACCCTTAGGCGGCCCTATGGGGCTAACAACAATCTTCAACTTTTGACCCATCAAATTAACAAAACACCTTCAAAAGTTTAACACGTGATTTATTGTGACAAAATAACAAAATTGCAAACTAGACACAAAGCACCTACAACACAAATGAGAGGCAGCAGGGCGGCAGTTCCCCACCAAATTGCCTCTCCTGACTGCAGGCAGCTCTGGGCTTTTCGACTCCCAGCACCAGGTGAGTCTGATTGGCACTCAAGTGATTTCACCTGGGCAGCTATGGAGAGACAAAAGGGGAAAAACACATGCAAAACAAACACACAGCCGTAACACCCCCACCCTTAAAACAATGAATAAATCATTTGTACTGCAAAAATAAACACCACAATTGCACACCATAAATCCAAAATAATACAAATATTTATTCATGGAATTAAAGTGCATTGTGTCAACTATATTAACACAAGAATTTAACTAAATGGGTGTTACTCACCAAGGCTGTGTGTAACAAAACACACACCACTGCACAAGCTTAAAAAAAAAAAAAAATACCCTTCACTATTTACCAAAACTGAAGACAACCACTGCTGACAAAAATGTGCAAAATGGGTCTTGAGGAACACAAAATCTTAATTAGGGCCAAAGAAGATGCTGCAACCAAATTCAAAAGCATCCATCACAAAAGCAGCCAATTAAGTGGGTGCCACGCCCACAAAGCAAAATGGCTACTACCATGAGGTTAACACAAACACAAAGAGCAAAACACTAAATTTGCCAATACCACACACAGTAACAGATATTCAACACTAAAGGGGAGTGAGCAGTCACACACACAAACGGATCAACAAAAGTAGTAGAACTACAACACTGCTGTCATTCACAAACAGCACACAGAGATCCAACAAAAGGTGACTGCCACCACCACAACACAAATGGACACAAGTCTTCAAAAGACACACGAATTACTGTGATAAGGTAAGCAACAAGCCAAACAAACGGAACATACAATTAGGAATAAGAAGCAGTAACACACAAGTGACCCACCAAATGTGGACTGCAAACCACTACACAAAATGGTCACATAGCAGTCACCACTACACAACTTTTGCCACCCTACACCTAAGATGCAACTCACACGTGGCCCACCAAATGTGGAGAGCAGTTACCACCAACAAATGGTCACACAACACAAGTTACTGCACAAACAAAATCCTAATTGTAATCACACAGAGTGACCAAGCAAGAATGGGTAGCCTTCTGAAACACACACAAAACAAAAAAAATTTAAGAGCAAAATGAGTCACCCCAACCCCGACCTGCTTGACAAGATGTCTGACTTACCTAACTGGTCTTCAGTGGCCTGCCGAGCTCGAGGCATCACCTAAGTGTGCCCCCTCCTCAGGATTACCACCAAAAATAAGAAAGGCAAAATAAAAAAAGAGGCAAGCTCTTCCCTGCCCGGCGACTAAATAATCAGGGTGCTCAGAAGTTACAAATAAAAGCAACTACTAATGATAGTGACAGAAACAGAAGACAAACCCAAACTATGGTCACTAGTTAAGAGAGGAAAAAAAAAAACCTCATGGATGTTTGGATTCCGGACGAGCCCCCATTTGTTACGCCCCACCCGAATGCGGCCCTATGGGGCTAACAACAATCCTCAACTTTTGACCCATCAAATTAACAAAACACCTTCAAAAGTTTAACATGTGATTTATTGTGACAAAATAACAAAATTGCAAACTAGACACAAAGCACCCACAACACAGATGAGAGGCAGCAGGGCAGCAGTTCCCCACCAAATTGCCTCTCCAGACTGCAGGCAGCTCTGGGCTTTTCGACTCCCAGCACCAGGTGAGTCTGATTGGCACTCAAGTGATTTCACCTGGGCAGCTATGGAGAGACAAAAGGGGAAAAACATGCAAAACAAACACACAGCCGTAACAGATGACTGAACCTATCAACTAAGGAAGATAAAAATGCTTTTCAAAAATAAAAAAAAGAAGACGCTTTAAATAATGTGGTGAGCTGTATTTGATTATTTAATGACATGTAAGCTCTTGTGCTTTTGCTCCTTGTGCCTCCACCTGTTTAAATTCCTCTTTGCTCTGCTGGTGAATTTTATACCAGTTCATAGTAACAGGATTATTTTCAGATCAAACTAAACTCTAAAACTGTTATAATGCCAAAAAGTATCCCCTGAGATTAAAAAAAAAAAACCTAGACAGAGTAAAAAAATCCTGTTTACACATAATTTTACTATTCAGATAACACTGGGTTATGTGAGTCTCTCCTCTATACTCTGTTTGTACGTGCTGTCAATATTTTATCTATAAATTCACCTTGTTTTTATTGTAAATGATGTCATCAGGCCCTGCCTTCCAAGTCCATTGGCTGGTGAAGAGTACTGCCCCCTCAAGAGGTAGATCTTTTACATTTGGACCCTAACTGTCGAAGTACACAGTGTTTTCTGTAGGAGGTATCTAGTTCCTATTAGGAAGGTTCCTGTGGTCAAAAAACACCTAGAAACACTTCTGCTTCTTTGTCACTGTTTTCCTCTGTTTTTCATTTGAGCTACTGAATTTGTTCCCCACTGTCACAGGGATTTTTAGACGGTGAGAATGTTACTCACCCTACAGGTGTGTTTGGACGCAGGCTGTTGATTTCAGTCTGTTTCATTACCAGGTTAAAGATAAAGTCAAATTTTAAAAAATAATAAAAACAAAAAGCTGATAAAAACTTATTAAATGGCTTTAAATAAAAGATCAGAAATTGGTCAACTGGTTGCAGAACAACCATTTACAAAGTTGTAAAGTAGGATATAAACTTGTGCTGCTGTAACCAAATACATCCAGTAGAGGGAGACAGTCAAGTTCAGAACAAACTGCAGCTCCTGTAAGACTTCAGGTGTTAAGGGTTACCTCTGCTGCCATCAGACATTAGCAGTGGATCCTTCAGGTTGTGAGTTAAGGCCTCTGTGGATCAGACTTGGTTGTCAGACCAAGTCACCATTGTTATGTTTCTCTGGACCACCTTCTCCCATCACACAGTGAGACACAGCTCTGATGCTCTTGTGGTTGTTACAGGCACTGTAGACAAGGCATGGGGATCATCATGGGAGCCCTGACTGGTCTGCAGCAGCCCCATGCACAGAAAACAGCAGAGCACTGTGTTCTCCAGCAGCTGATTTTCTGATGTAAAGGTCAGTGTACCCTAGGAAACAAAAGACTCTTACCTTTGTTACCAATTTAATCATGATAAAAAATAAATAAATAAGAGGAACTTTGTTTTATAAGTTTTTAATAACTTGATATCATGAATTCTTAATGTGGCAGAGCGTCTAGAGTTCAGTAAATGCAAAACATAAAAAGGATTTGTGTTTAAAAATAGACCCAAAGACAACAAAGGGATGGGAATGAGAGGGAGAGTAACAGAAATAAAATCTGGATTCACACTCACATTTAACCACAGAGCTAAGAATTTGAAACAACTCTGAAAGCTGTTGTGACATTTTATTGGGATGAGGACATGCTCAAGCAAAAATAGTCACAACAATCATCACAGGGTGAAACTCTGACATGGAGAGAACACACGCAGCAACCTCTATGATAATCAGACAGACTGAGGTGAATTCATGACAACATACATACTTAAAAACTCTATTGCTCCACTAAAATCCCTCCGATCATTATAGAAACAGAAGGTTCAATATAAAAGCTGTTTAGGGAAGACTTGGTACGATCAGCCAGAATCAAGACCAACAGGATAGACTTCATGAACGGAGACAGGATGATTATGCAGCATTAAAGTAAAGTAATCAAAGCTCTAAAATCTGTTATACTCTCTGCTCGTGCGCTGAGAAATAAGTGACACTGCTGTGATTTGCATGGACACCTGTGCTCTAATGCTCAAATTCTAACTCTGGTAATGATACACAGTGAAAGACAAACTCTGACTTTTATAGAGAGTTTGACTTGAGGTACAAGAGTGTAACTCTTTGAAAGGTTTCTATTAGAACAAAAAGAGACAATGAGGGCTGGAGTGATTAAGTCTGACATGTTTTTGTTTAGGCTCCACTTCAGGTATGGGAACCACCTCCGGAGTTCGCAGCAGCTTGACTGCCGCCCTTGGCTTGTCCATCCTCCTCAATTCCATGTCTGGCAGCCTGAGCAGGGGAGGGGCTTGCATGCCGTTGGCGTCTCATAAATGGGAACACACTTAAAAGAAAGAAAATAAAGAAAAGCATTGTAAGTAAATGAATGTATGATATTAAAGGTGGTTATTAGTATTAAATCTTACCTTTTCTTGGTCTCCTGTGGAACAATAGCTTTGGCCAACATGTTCTTGTATAGGTCAGACTTCAGATATCTTGGGTAAGAGTCCTAAATGCAAAAACAAACAAACAATAATGTAAAAAGAAGCTTCACAAACTATTAAAGCACGAATAAGTTCCAGTTATAGATAGCTAACCGTAAAAGTTGCCATTTTAGCTGAATTTTGCTTTAAAACTGAAAAGCAGAAGGCTAATTACCTAAAAGAAAATGTATTTTGGGTAAATTAAAATGTCCCAATTGTTCTCAGGTATCATTTGCCTCCAATGACCTGAAAGTATTTTGGGCTGTAAGAGTCCATCTGACACAAAAAGGAGCAAGTCCAGTGAAAGTCAGGACCTGCATAAAATGCCATGAGAATTTTCATATTTTGTAACCAAAGGATTTTATTTTGTTTTCCTTGTAAATTATTTTAGGTTTTGAAAATCTGACTGATGTGGTGTCCCTCAGGGGTCTTTACGAGGCCCCTTTCTTGTTCATTTGACCATGTAGCAACTAGGCCATTATAAATATCAAACCACAAATTACATTGTGCTGGTGATTCTGGATGACCATAATTCTTGTTTCTCAGATAATAAACCCTCATAGAAATTTAATGACTCACAGCCCACTAATAATATTTTTGGCTTGTTATACAAATTAACAAAACATAACATGCATCAACCGTTTTTAATCATCAATCATGCAGTTAAGCATTATTTTAGTTACTTAAGTTATTACTGCCCCAGGGTGGGTGTCAGATGAGACAAATGAGTCCATGCTGCCAAAACTGTCTTTTCAGACAGCACAAAAATCACTCTGAGTAACAACTATATTTTAATTTGAAAAGACAGCTGGATAGGATTTTTTTTTGTTTTTTTTTTTGCTGGAAATCTAAAGACAGGACAATCACTGGATGGACAATCACTTTGTCTACGGTGGCTGCCAAAATCAATACAAACAGTCCATAAAAGCCAAAAGTGTCCTTTGGAGAACTACACAGGATTTTTGTACTGGACGGTTCTTGAGACAAGCTGACTTGAACATGAATTCATCTTCTATTGGTGACAGGGTTGCAATGCGACTGCTTTGAAAGACAATAGACAAACTATAGCAAACACAACACGCTAACTGAGTCCTAGCATCATATTAGAGCAGACTGTACCTGGCCCAAGTTCTCTACAATTTTTTTTCTGGTTATTGAGTATTTAGGTTTCTCACGAGCATGCTGTCAGCACCTATTTTGTGACTTCTGTTTGACCAAACCAAGGGTCTTCTCATAAAACTGTCTTTTCTCTCTGAAACCGAGCTACCTTTTGTTAGTCATTTCTTTTGACTGCAATCTTCATTATTTTTGTTTTTGTTTTTTTTTTCTTTTGAACCCTAAAAGGCTACCTTTGCTTGCTTAATTTTCGGCAGACTATCTGTGAACCAACTCCAAAGATGTCTGACCTTCTTCATTAGAAAGTAGATGTGCATTTGTGCGTCATCCATAACGAAACGATGTGGGTGTCTGATCCCTTCTAGAGTTTTATCCATTGTCTTGCTGTCAATGTTGACCCAACGGGCAGCTCCAGGGGCCAGAAAATTTCTGATGCACACAAAAAAAGAGTCAGTATCATGATCTGATGGTGTGCATAAGTCTTTGTTTGTATGTTGTACATGTTTTATGTGCTTTTGTTCTTACTTGTAAATCTCTTCCACTTTCTCAACGATCCTGGAATTTTCTCCGTGCCTCACATCTTCACAGGCCTGCCAGAAACACAGGTTTTCCGCTAGCAGAGAAACAAACGACAAGGCGCACAGACAGGTAAATAAAACAAGCATGATGCAGGAAAAAATGAGTCATGATTAAAGGCTGTTTATCTCCTGGCAGGCCTCTGTGGAAAACCTTACCTTCTGGCAATAATTAACATGTCTGCATGGATGAATTAATGTTCCTGCACTATTATCTAACTACACCTCTCCTCTCATCCCTCTTTCTCATTACCCTCATGAACTGATCATGACATGAGGTACGTGTCAACAGTCTATTCCTACAGGAGATTGCTCAGCCTCTTCGTCACAGTCTGCATCCCTCTCTAACCAGCTACGTGCCTTACTGAACGCAGCTTCTTCAACTTCAACGTTAGCGTAGTTGTTCAGTGCTTGTTCCCAATGACTGCCCAACAGAGTGGTGAGATCTCCTGAGAATAATAAACATAAAGCTGACAAGTACCTCCTACAATGCAACTTTAAAAACAAACCATCCCTTTGATCTCAATTTCTGAGAAACTGCAGATGGTGAAAATCTGTGGCCATTCTGACCATTTGACAGAAAAAAAAATTTAATATTGAAGTTGTGCAAAAAATTAAGTGGGTGGTAATATCATGAGTTCACAGTATTGCGGTCCTGCACAGTGGATGCCACATCATAAAATGAACAGATGAAGAGGCAGACTGCTAGCGAGCTAGCTAAAACAGCCTTATGAGAGATGATTAGGCACTTTTAAAACTAAGACAGAGAAAGATATCAAAATAAAGGCATTACAAACAGTAACTGGATGAAGCAATGTCTTCTCTGAGGAAGTCTCTATTTCAGGGCTGGTGATAAATCATAATGATGAGTCTTAACAGAAAAAGAAGATGAGATTTAAACTAACTACGATTATTAGTTAAATTCATAAAGTGATATTTTGCTCTCTTCTTGTCCTGCTCCTCATCCATTTGACTGATTGTGTTGTTTATTTACAAGTTTTCAATAAGAACAGGATGGAAATCATGACCAAAAAGTGATTCTTTAATATGTCTCAACCTAATACTGTGCTGTGATGTTTTGTGATTAAAGGGTAATTTTAGGACATTTTGATTCTGCGCTTAAGTTGGCTCTTGACCTTTTATTACCATTATTTATAGTGTCTTTTATTTTTACTATCCTCTTTTCCACTTTCAACCCCCCTTTTAATTGCATTTTCTTTTTTTAAATTATTTTATGTTTTTATTTTGGTCCTCATGGTCTCATTTTATGTTGCATATTTCTTGATTTGTCTGGGTTCCTTGTGACATGAAAACGGCCTTCAATTCCATTTTAATTGAGCGTTCTGTTTTTATGTCTTTTTCTATGTGCTTCATGACTATATGTCAACGCACTTTGTAAACTTCTGTTTTTAAAAGTGCTATAAAAATAAAGTGATTATTATTATTATTATCATTATTAGTACTATTATTACTTGACCCTCTTGGTTAGAAATATCACCACTTCATCTTTTTATCCTCATTAACAAATATGTGAAAAAATGTTAGCATCTATAAACCTGTGTGGATTATTTGTGCCAGATGTAAAAGTTCTTTGGGATCCCCCAAGTTGTTTCTTGTACAACATTAGGATAAACAGATACTTGGACATGATGGACCATCAAAAACCCAACTAGCAATGGCTGTTTCTAGAAGGGTAGCTGGGCATGGTCAGAATAATATTCCTTTAATTTCTTCATTCTGTCTTACCGCTGAACTCTTTCTCCAGATAAGTCATGAACTCCCGTCTCCCCATGGGGTCATTGAGCAGCTCCACAAAGCTGAAGCTCCAACGTTCCACTCGTAGACGTGTAGGTATGGGCACCCTGCTCTCAGACACACAAAAGAGACACAGACATGTACAAACTACTGTGACTGCTTTGAGCTAAAACACGAGTAGCATGCAAAAAAAAGCCACAGTTGTGAAACTTGATCTATCTCAGGCTACTGTAGTTCATTTTGAGTTTATGATCATGTGTGCATATTTGTAAGTATCGCTCACATGTCTGCGTTCATTGTCCAGTGGGCTGTGTCATCAGAAATCCAGGGGTTGCTGGGAAGACAGCCTTGCATAATAGGGTCGTGGTTCAGGTACTGCTCACTGTACTTCACAAAACTGCACATTCACACACAAATGTAGAGGCATGCACACACGTAAAACCACACACGCACACACACACGCACGCACGCACACAAACACAGTATTATTGTATTAGAGCTGCAGATCATAACAGTAAATGGCCACTAATTCCAAGTTGCCTCAGGAAGCGTCCATTAGTGGCTCTTACAGTGGAAGCACTAAGCCTTATGCGCATGTGTATGTGTATGTGTGTGCGTGCGTGTGTGTGTACGTGCATATTGAAAAGACAAAGTTCGGAGTAGGCAGCATCAAGTCCATTAGTCTACGTGTGCATGTGAGTGTCTGCATACATGCACTCAGCACTCTGACACATACCCTTCAAGGCAGATAGATGACTTCACACGATTTCTTCCAAGAGCCCTTTTACAGTTTTCAATCTGTAAAGTAAAGAAAGACAACAAGCGAACAAATAATTGAGAATGAAAGCTTGTGGTAAACACTCCTATACTTGAAGTGGAAGTGTGTTAAATATGTATGGTGTTTACCTCAGTTTTATAGTAGTCACTGTTCTAGTTCTGTGTAGAGAAACACATGAAGTATCACTTTAGGTGTCACAATGGCTGCATTATATATTCATGTCTATAGTTTTATCTGTTGCGAAAGAGACGTTACATATGTGCATTTGTTCAACCACACAATCATCACTTTTAATTATTAACGCAACAGAAATTCTGACAAATACACAAAGATCACTGTATACCTGTGCTAAAATCATACATTCAACTATCCTCACACATAAATATTTTCTGGGTCGCAACTTATAAGAATTTTGAAGTCGATGGCTCATCTTTAACACTTCTTTTATATTGCTGAAATGTTTTTAAACCAGTTCAAAAAATAACAAAAAAGATGATGAAACTTCAATTTAAAAAAAACATTTCTATGACACTTACTTTGATCAATCCCAGCAGCAAGGAAAATTAGACAAAATAGAGCATTGAGAGACAATATGAAGTACTGCATGTCATGATATAAAAGTTTTCAGGAGAGTATAAACATGAAGATGTCACTAACCAGAGTAACTCGTGAGCTGAAGTTATTTGGCTTGTCTAGACCCATGTCCAACACATTAGGAGAACCAGGCTGAAACAATTCAAACAAAGATGAACACAAATAAATCTGTAGTGTGTCTTTGTAATTAGGATTGTGTTTGTGTGTGTGTGCATGTGTGCGTAGGTCGCTGATGGGAGCCTGTGCGTGAGGAAGTGCTTTACTTTTGCTTTCCACTCCAATACCCCTCACTTTTATTCTGCTAGTTCTTTCTTTTTCTCCACATCCTCGTCCCTAATTCATAAGGCCCAGGCAAGATGGAGTCCTCCATTCAAACCCTCCCCTCCTCCTCCTTCCTCTACTTCCTTGGTGCCTCTGCACATATTCTCCTCTTTACCCCTCTCCTGATCCATGTCTTTGTCTAAGTATCAGATGGACTGCTCTGGTGTTGGGAGCAGGCAACATACAAAAGGTGAAATGTAATATTCCCCTTCTCTCTCTCTTTTTCTCTCTGCCTCCGTTATTCCTCCCATAATACTGCAGCTTTTACCAGATGGGTTGAATATTTCATGTAGGAGGCAGAAGGGACTGTGAGTGAATATCAGAGTGACATCTAAATTTTTTAAAAACTGTTAAGTATACTACTGTAGTTTGTACCACACAACTGAAACAGTATAATATAGTATTAAGTATAGTATAGTATAGTAGTATAGTGTATAATATTAAATAGTATAGAACAGTTTAATGTAGTAAAGTAAATTATTTTATGGTTGAGCACAATATGGATACAGTAAAATACAGTATAGATTTATGTTGTTTAGTATATTATGTCATTTCCCAGCCTTTTTCTCATTACCACACTGTTTTTAAAACTTGATCCTGACTGGTCAAAACCACATGACAAAGGTTATTAACTGTTATAAAAACTGACAAAGGAGAACCTGATCACCTTCATTATGTCTGTGAGTTTCAACTTGCCGGTTGACACTGTGGCAAAACAGTTTCTGTTCACTGTCTGAATTGATAAACATTGTGTAAAAAACATTAATTCTTGTCTCAGACTGGTCTCAAGTGTTGGAAAGCACTGACATTGATCGAGCATAGATCTCAGAGCAGCCTGAGGAACTGCTAGGCTCAACCGTTTCCAATAGTGGGGCAAGATCCTGTCCTGCAATCCAGGCAATGACAGCAGAGTCCCTTGAAGTAACTTTATTGGTAATTTTTTTGTGTGTTTTTTGTAGAAACCACAAGTGGTACTAACAAGAGCAAAAAATTTGAATGTTGTGACACTGGATGTAGTCAAAGGTGTGTCAACTACAAAGCTTTGAGAAAGAGGTGAGCTGAATGAGGAAAGGAATATCAGCACAAGTATTCCTGTGCAGGCATGTCCAAACTATTCCACAAAGGGCCGGTGTGGCTGCAGGTTTTTCTTCCAACCAATCAAGAGCACACAGTCTGACCAATCAGCTGTCTAAAGACTGAGATCAGCTGATGAAATGAATCAAGTCTGGTGAGCTGCTGCTTGGTTGGAGGAAAAACCTGCAGCCACACCGGCCCTTTGTGGAACAGTTTGGACATGCCTGCTAGAGGACCTGTTCACCCCGTCTGACATGTAAGTGTTCTGTGCAATGTGAATTATAACAAATACTCTGGCTTATGTTTTAATTTGACCATGAACTTTATATTCAGTTGAATGTTTTTTCATCCATTTTTGGCTGTTAATAAATCATTAAATTTAAAAAAATATCTTTGAATCAATATTTTGTGTCAATAAGTTTATATATTTTATAGTTAGTTAGGTAATAAACGGGTCAATGTATAGTAAAAACATACTTGGCACAAGGGTCTTGTCACAGCCTTAAGAGATTTTAGTTTTGCATAATCACCTGATCACTATTCATCAGCCCTTATGTATTGAATAGTAAAACCAAATATGCTTGTAGTCTCATCCTGTTACTGGACCCTATAGTGTAACATAGTATAGTTTCAAATGTTCAATATTAGTGTCATTTTTTTAAAGCAAATGAAAGAATAGTGATACTTGTGGTGTTGTTAAGGATAATGAAGGATAACATAATTTGGTTCAGTTTATTATAGTTTAGTGTAGTATAAGGGGGTGGAGGGGAGGTGAGAGTAGAATAATGTAGTAAAGCATGGAACATACTGTACTAAATCAGCACACAGAGGAGTAAAAAAACACTGAACCTACCGGCGGTCTGTTGATAAGCCAGTAGGCCTGCTCCTGACACTCTAGAACAATGCGGTCTGCCTTCCTCCTCTGTTTGGATGCTCTGAACATAAATCACAGTGTAAGCTCGTGTGCATGTGTGTTTGTGTGCCTGTGTGTATGTGTATAAATGTGCACCTGAGCTGCTCTCTGGCTTGCATCACCACAAAGTCCCAGGTGTGGTTGATCCTCTTGTGCAGCACACTGTACCTCTCCTAAAAACAGAGAGGACAGGAAGAAAAAAAATAGAGAGAATAAGGGAAAAAAAATCAGCTTGGAGACTTGCTGCTGTTTAATTATAGTACACTTACACAGACACAGACTTTGCCTACCTTCTCATATTCCATCAGTTCTCCTTGTTTTCTAATGTTCTTTTTAGCCAGGTAGATTGCTGATACAAAAGAAGTCAAGAACAAGGAAAAGAGAGAAATGAGCTCTACTGTGTGCTATATCACTCAAAAGTGAGTCAAATTCTTCTCACAGTTATTGCACTAACCTATGTTTTATGTATAGCATGGAATTAAGGTCATATTTGATAGTAGAGTGATTGGTTGGGAATAGACTGTTGCTGTGAAATCAGAGAGGCATCAAGAGCTTTCCTTTTATACAAAACAGTACATTAACTGCTTTATATCTTGTAGTTTGTTTTCTGCATTTTCTTACCATAGTCTAGCTCTGAGGCAGGCCAGCGGGTACTAGTCCAGAAGTAAGGCGTCTGAGAAAAACAAGGGGCAAATTCAGACATTTCTGTCAGAGATTGATAGTGCAGTAGCAGCTGATGAAAAAGTGGCAGATGGATGAGGGATTAGAAGGTGGGTTAATGGAATGAGAGTAAAAAGGGAGATGGGCAGTGAGAGGGAAAAAGTGACGCTTAAGGCAAAGTGGTTTTGATCTTGAAAGAGGGGTGTGGGGTTTTTAGAGAATGGCAGAGCAGACATAATGCATGAGGGATGTGAAACTTACCTGGAAGCGGTAGGGTGACTCATCAGGCCTTAATACAAGGGATCTGGGCTCCTTGAGAGGGTAGATGTACCCATATTTCACCAGCATGCCACCAACATGGAGTGCCTCTGTTAAAAAAAAAATTAAATTAAAAAACACAAAAGAAATTAGACATACGGTGTTGCAAAGGCTGTGGACTTGAGTTCATCTGGATTCTTATGAAAGCTAACAAATCTAAAGATAGAGCAGACTAGATGTGAAAAAACTCCTCACAGGTACTTGAAAATATTATCTGTGTTGTTTACAAATGTGATTATAAACCAGCCAACAGATAGAGGTGAAATCACAACTAATGTAAAAAAGCCAGAATCTTTTTCTGGGTTTGATATGAGAATCACATAACTATTGTGAAAGGGTTTAGGCCAGTCAGAATACGGTGTTAAACTAAGGTGAGAGGTTGGCAAGATCTCACCTGAGCATTATGATCTTTTTATTGATAAAGTCCCAAACTACAATGAAATTTATTGTATGTCGCAGATCTTCATAATGACATTTACAGTAGAAGAGACCAAATATCTATCAACTTTGACCAAGAGACTTGGAACGGCACCAGTAATGCCTTCTCATCACCTTAAAGCTTATGTAAGGAGTTTTTCTATGAAATAGTACACTATAATTATTATTGATGACTTTTTATGATATTTATAAGCAAAGCAAAACCACTGATGACATGGATGATGATATATTTATCGAAATTTCTAATGTCTGACATTGGTGTGCAGGGGGTTTGTGTTGGCCGAGCAGCTGAAGAAACATCTGTTTATATTATTTACAATATTTACAATCAACTATATATTTGACCGTCAAAAGTCAGAAGACTACTATTTTTGATTCATTCAAGCATGTAGAGAGCAAGATAAGTGAAGACCACGTTGTCCACGGGAGGCGCCAAAATTGACACTAACCAAATTTCCACAAAGGAGCTTTAAATATTATTCTCAATTAATTTGCAGAACACAGAGCTAGTGGCTGACAGAAGAGATAAAAGAGAGAAGAAAAACAGCACAGAAACTAGCAAAATGAGGTTAAAACACAAGGAGTGGAAGGAAAAGTAATCAATCAAATCGAAATAAACAGATACGAACTAACACACAATGGGCTTTGCTGGTGTTGTGGGACTGGTTAAGGGGTGATGACAAAGGCAACTGAAAAGTTGCAGAGGAAAGACCTTATACAAGATCTATCTGGAATGGATCCACATACCCATGGTCTGTCTCTTGATTGGTTCATTGTATTCTAAGCAGTAACCTATTGGTCTGTAACCAATGTAGCTACCTCTAGCAACTCTGGTACACCAATATAACATCAATGATGTCAGAAAAATGGTCATTTCATAACAACAAACAACAGCACAGTCTTACAAAGTCATGCATCTGCAGTCACAGCCAGAAAAATGTGTGGGATCAGTGTTGGTTCATCAGTGACAGAAGTTTTTGTCACTCAATTAAAGGGTGTATATGGTATCGGCCAGTTCTCAAGTCTCAATACCAGAATTATTATAAGGAAGGAAAAAGCCTGTACCACAAATTCTGTATCCTAAAATACTATTCAGCACAGTAAACTACAAGCTTAACTAATTAAGAAAAACATTACAGTTTAAAATACTGGTAAGTTAAAAATTAATGACTGTACCATGATTGATGGTCTGTGAAAAAGCTATTGATTCTGTAAGAGCCACAGTTCTCAAACCTGAAAAATACATAATATGGCTACAGGCAATCAAAGTCATAGAAAATGCTGTGAACCAAAATGAGTCATACGTTTATTTAAAAAAAAACCCTGAAGCCTGTCAGCAATCTCTCTTAAAACAACACTTTGTTCCAGGGATAAAATGCATAATCAATCTCCATTCCTTCCTCATTTGTTAAAGAGCCCTACTTTTATGACTGACAGTTTCCAAAAAAAGCTGTGTGATGCATTTTAATCAGCTCTTATCACCCTCTCTCTCTCTCTCTCTCTCTCTCTCTCTCTCTCTCCCTTGCATGCTGACTCTCTCCTCCTTTAGTCTATTCTGAAACCACTGGGACCTGCAGGCTATCTTTTTTCCAACTTCTAATTTAGTTCTGGTTCTGCGAAGTCTCTTGAGGTGCTGATCTCCACAGGGACACTAATCAAACCCTGATCATCAGGTGAGTTAATCAAACTGGGAACCTCTGGGGCTCACCCCTGTCCTTGTTTACTGGAAACAGCAGCCCCCATAATACACTCATAAACGCATCACTACTATGTCAGCTGTGGAGAAAGCTCCATATCCTGGCAACACAGTGGCAACGAACACAACAAACCAGCCTGAGTGAGACATAGAATTACAGGAAAATGCTTTCTGTCTCTCATCTTGAAATGTTTGCATCAATCCAGCTACTTACCCTCCTCACAGATATTGTATTTCTGCATCAGCCAATCAATGATATCCCTGCCTGGAGAAAAAAACAACAACAAAAACAAAGAGACAATTAGGAAAGAGATTTAAGAAATACAGAAATAAGGGCAAACTTCTTTACTCTACTCTGCAAAGCACACAGTCCTCTCCCAAATTCACTGCTGCATAATGCATGACCATTGGGACCTGAACACTGGCTGCAAAGTGCAAGTCCACATAGATGCTGATGCACACTGACATACAGGCAACCCACACACTCGCACACATTGCTACCTGTCATGGCGTGTGGTATGACTGTAATAAGCAGCCTCTGGTTTCTCATCTTCATGCCCATGTCAGGGTCCTGCATGGCCACAATCACTCTCTCCATCTGTCAGGGGAACACAAACACACATGTAGTCACACACAGAAGTAAAAAGCACATGAGCATACAGTCACAAACATTTTAAACACACATACGAGTTTGTTAATTTAAAAGGAAAAGTATTATATTGAACATTTCACAGCGTTAAGACTTGGTTTTATCTTTATTTATGATGTTTTCTTTCGGATTATTACATGGACGCATATGCGTATAACATGTCAGAATCTAAAAATAAACTAAATTGGAATAAATCGCCGAGTTTTACCTTACGAAAGCACGCCATTTGTTCCCTATTCCAGCCTCCTTTCGCCAGAGTGTTGATGGTCATCTTGCGGGCTGCTTGGGATCACTCGACGGGACGATAGAAAGTGCAAGAGCAAAGTGGTGACGGGGGCGCGCGGCACCGGGTGCACCGCTGTTTCCTTTTTTTTCTCCAATAGGCGGTTCAGTGCATGTCAGGCACGCGCATCTGTAGATTATACTGGATTACAGCAAAAGAAACGCATATGAAATAGATATAAAAATAGATAATAATATCAGTATGATTCCATAAACGGAACTTCAAATATTCTACACAACATTTGTACTGCAACAGTGTCTTTGACATAAAAGGACATTTGGAAATCTACTGTCCCTGTCATGGTATATGACACATCAAACATAATATAATATAATATAATATAATATAATATAATATTTACTTCCTGGACCCAAGAAAGACTAGTTTTGTCTTAGAAAAGCTAATGGGGATCCTAATAAATAATAATATAATATAATATAATATAACATAATGTGTTTTTATTTTAATATAATTTGATATAATATAAAGTATTATAATATAGTTTGATAGGGTATAACAACACTCTCCGTTTTTTTTAATAATATTAATTAATATCTTCTGCCTACAACTAAACTTATAAAACATTCGTTTTCTTTATTGCAATTGTGAGTGAATTAAAAAAAAAAAAAAAAAAAACCTTTTCTTCCTGAAACTCATTTGTAGACCGCAACATCAGGAGGCATTACTTTGGAAAAATTAAAGCAAGACATAATTCGCTTTTTTATTGAAGCCCACAATATTATTGTTAGATTTAAACAAAGGGGTTTTTATGTCATACTTTATGTCCATTAATCGGAAAAATAGCTTCCTCCGACGTCGTTTTTCATAACCCCACAAACCACTTTACAATACGCTGGAGTCTTCGTTGACATTCACCCAACAACATATGCAATGAATCCCAGAGACGCGTCTATGGTAGCTATTTTGTTCCACGCAGGCATCCGTCGGTGATCCGCGAGGAACCGGAAGTGATTGATTCGCCGTTTGGAAATCCTTCACTTGTCTGATTATTGCCTAATTTATCAAGAGTAAGAAGAGTTACTGGCAGAGGTAAGAACTTTACCGAAAATAAGCTTTGTTTGAATGACTATAGTGATGATGAAAGAGCACGTAGAGTGTATGTAAAGAAAGAAAACAGTCGTTTGAGCTCATCTTGCTAAGTGTAGCAGGCTGCAGGAGACCGACCTGCTTAGGAGCTGCTCCTCCTCAAAGTGCTCCAGCGTTCAGTATTAAACTTTAGAGACTGATCAGAGGACATTTCGCCTTCAATCTGGAGCTGTTCAATCGATTACTGTACTCTTGTTAACCTTACACCTGTGGAGTTCATGTAAACAAAGACAGAAACGAAGGCAGAGCATCAGTGCATTGTTTAGATAGATGTATTTATTATTACTAAATGCATCAAGCTATTCCATTAAACTATTCTTAATCTAAAACTTCACATACCTACCTTGTTGTTTAGAATTTTTTGAGAATCACATTTTCAGGATGTCAGACTTGGACTTCAGACATCGTATCAGTTTTTCACTGAAAACAGTTTTTTCAGCTGTTGATGCTGATAGAAAGAGAGAGTGGGTAAACAATGTCTGTGTAATATTTAATAGAGTAAAATAGGTTACAATTAAATATAAACCTCTAGATCAGGGGTGTCAAACTCAACCTGGGGGCCACACAGGGTCAACATTTCTCCAAAACTGTTAACCTCCTTTTCAAAAAATATGCAAAACAAAAACAGCAATTATTATACATCATTTGGAAATTCAAAAAAAATAAAAAGATAAGTTTAAAGGCAAATTGAGATAGAAAAAAATGTTCTCTTTTCATTCTTTATTCTATTTTTATTTATTGGTTCAAAAGATCAGAACATGATATTAAAAATGGAAAAATAATGTTTTTAAAGAGCAAATGAATGTTGAAATCAGATATAAAAGGTCAAAATATGACTAAAACTGGAATCTAAAGTATAAAAATAATACAAGACTAAATACTGGGTTGGACAAAATCAAAGCATGAAATAAAAAATCCAATCATGTTTGACTCGTAATCTTGAAATGCAAAATTGAAAACATGAAATAAAATACCAAATATTTTCCCCCACATTTTTGACTATTTATCAAATCTTCCTTACTCTTTAATTTTGCGGATTGTTGTGGTTTATTAAGGACATTTTAAATAATGGTGCTAAAGTTTACTTTATTATACTGAAGGAAATCTGCAGACTTTATACTGGTGGGCCAATAATAATTAAAATAAAAATATGATATGATCTTGTGGGCCAGATATAATTGTTCCATGGGCCAGATTTGGCCCCTGGGCCTTAAGTTGGACACCTGTGCTCTAGATTTATGTCCAACCATGTGTAATTATTGAAATAGAAAAAACAACAAACCCATGCCATGTATTATTCCATTATCTCATGCACATCACAGTTTAATAAACATGGTTATATACTGAAGAACATGATTTAGATGTGTGTTAAAGAAAAATACAATGCTGTTGATTTCAAAGCAGGACTTTTAGTTTTGTGAGAAACTATATTAAACTGCATTTTTTAATTGTATTTTTTTACATCGTAACAGAAATTGAAGTAAACACTTGACAGTTTCTGCTAAAGGTTTGATATTGAGTCATCAAGGATTGGTTATGACCACAGGCATCGTTTGATGATTATTTTTGAATGCCATAAATCTGCCCGATTGATTATTTTGCAGACCAATTCATTTGTCTATTTCTATCGCAATGCCTTTTATCATAGCCATACTAATAATTGATACAATAAGTATGCAGACCTCATATACATATTCCCGGTAGGTATTTATAAACAAGAACATATGCTTGTACAAATGCATGCGTGAAGGCCTAGATATACATAAACACACAGGTTCTATTTTCTAAACACACACATATGTAAACTGGTTCTCACATGCATACACCATAGACTGTATCCACATGTTATATTATATCCAGGCTTATGTATTTTTGTGCATGTTTAAGCCATAATGACCTCTTGAATCACAGTTTTCCACTTAATAAAATCTGGAGGTTTTCTTTCATCCTTTTGTTGTCTGCTTCAGCACTGTGACCACCATTTTTTCAATTTGGTAGCATTCATTTGTGTGTACACAAGCTGGAGACTATACCAGTTTAATGTGCTGAGTGATTTGCTTTTCAAAATTTACTCCTTAAGCAGAGGAACTTTTAAGAAAAACCTTAAAAATATAAATTTTGTATTTTACTTTTCTTATTTTGCTCATATCTTGTAAATTCCCTCTTTATGTTCAGTATTGAGCAATTTGAGGCACTTTTATTTGCTTTAAGTGAGTGTGAGAATGGTGCTCAGGGATTTAACTTGCATTGCCTTGTCTTATGTATGTGTCACTGTTAGGTGGTGATGGGTGACATCCGACAGTCGTTGCTGCCTCGAGATGTGCTGAGTGCAGCCAAGGAGCTGCTGTATCACCTGGACATCTACATCTGTAACTTGGTGCAGTCAGGACGGCAGCCTCCTCAGGTTGATTCCAAAACCCTCGAGTTGGTCGAGGAGTTCATCCTGCATGCACCCAAAGACAGAAACGCCCCAGCCAGGGTAAGACTGGATACTTATAGACCGTTTATTGATGCATGTGGGTGGACTGCTAATAAACTGTATGTACTCTTTCAGAGGATGAGCGCTCTGCAGGAGCTCCAGCTGCTGGAAATCATGTGCAGCTGTTTCCAGGAACAGAGCCGCGATGCTGTCCGTCAGTTAATGTTCTCCGCCCTCTTTAGTCTCCAAGGCAACCAGGCGGATGAAAGTCGCATGGCATTGTTGGGCAAGCTGGTTTCCATGGCAATTGCTGTGGGCAGGGTGCCTATCTTAGAGTGTGCCGCTACCTGGTTACAGGTGAGGGTTCACACACATAAACTGACTGAAATATGTATCAAATGTTTGCGTGTTTTGGGTTCGTTCAGTTTGAGTCCCACTTTTTGTGTGATGTTTATCAGCTATTAAAGGTCGGGTAGGCAGGATCTGGATCTTTCTCAATTCATTTGTTTTGGTGGACTATGAATGTACTGAAAATGTGCCTCTGATTATGTTTGTATCTTGCAGAGAACCCACAGAGTGTACTGTGTGCGTCTAGCACAGGTGCTTGTCGATGATTATTGTAGTCTGGTGCCAGGCTCAGTGCCCACCCTGCAGAACATCCACAGTGCCAGCCCACGCTTCTGCTGCCAGTTCATCACTGCTGTCACCACCCTTTATGACCTCACCTCAGGTACCCCAAAAAATATTTAAAAAGTGTGTTTGTCATTAGAGAGATTTGAAATCTTTTGAGTACGATAAAATGATGCGATTAAAAAAAGGGAATCGTGTCAACAGGCTCTCCTATTTTTGTATTTTTAGAGGAGCTCACGCCTCCTTTAGAGCTCCTCCAGATGATTGTGTTGTGGATTCAAGAAGACCCTCGTCTGGTCCTCATCACCTTCCTGAACACACCCCTTTCTGGCAGCCAGCCAATCAGCTCACTGGATGTCACACCATTAGGCGGGTTAGTGCGCTGGTGTGTCAAAGCACCTCTTGCCTACAGAAGAGGAAAGAATCAGGCATTAACCAACGGCACCACTGAGAGTGAGCCTGAGGTGGGGTCTCTTTTCTCCGGTCTCCATCTGAGTGTCCTACAGGTGAGTGTTTAAGTACATTCTTATCTTATATCTATAAGCAGCTTACTTAAAACCTCTGCCAGGATGATAATCAAGTTTTTGTTCGTCTACTGCTACATTTAGGTCTTCATGCTTTTGCCAAACATACTAAATGAGAAGGGGCTGTTTGGACGCTTGGGGCTGCTCCAGGTGGAGTCCCTGGCTGCTCTGACCTCTGACCTTTCCCGGCTGTTGGACCAGGCTGACAAACACACACATACCTCATCCTCAGATTCGCATGCACTGTCTCAGCTGACCCTGGACCGGCTGGCTCAAGCCCTGCAGGTTGCAATGGCCAATGGAGCTCTGCTTTGCTCAAGGGGTAAGAAGGTGGACAGTAACGTTACTTATGGAAAATTCTGCCCCATACAGTCCTTGGTGTTTATGTATTTTTACTAATGATGAAAACTGATAATAGGGTCAGCATTAGATCAAAATCAGAAGGTTTTATATCCTCCATATTTACAACAAACACTTATCTTTAATGATGTACTCTGGTGATGTATGAATGATTATTTCATCCACCTTGTCTCCATTACAGAGGACCTACGAGCAATCTGTTCCCGACTCCCACACAATAAGTAAGAAGTTTTGACTACAAACTTACCTAATGAGGATTTACAAAGGGTTATTTGGTTGTAGCTCAAGATACTGTACGTATAACAAAAGCATGATTTGATCTCCAAAGCAAACTTTTTTTTTTTTTTTTTGGTTATGCACAGTAGAATGAAAATAAAACCAATTCAGTTTAACAAAACCAAGGAGGGCCACAGCAAACACAAATTTTAGTCCTGCAGCTTAAGTTCAGAGATGCATTTCGAGACACAAAAAAATCAAATTTTTAGGCCGTACTCTGGGATTTTGTACAGATCCTTAAATTGTATCCAGAATAAGATGACAACACAATTTGGTCACTGCACAAACTACACATTTGCACAGTTATAGATTATAGAAAGCCTATCACATTGATCACGTTATCTACATACAACAAATCCTGGACTTTTTATTCATGGTGTGTAATGTAATTGTAATGCCACAATGTTAAAGCCACTGTGAGAGAGTTTCACAACCTTCACTGAAAGAACAATCACTAATTTCTGCAAGCTTTTTAATCAGATTTGTTCTACGATGTATGATTTATCAAAATAATTTAGCTGTATATTAATTTTTTGACTCTCTTTTCTCCTTTTTGTGTCGTGTTTGTGTCTCCAGTTTGCTCCAGCTGGTTTTGTCTGGCCCGGTGATGTACTACAACAACATCCACACTCCTCCTCTGGCCTTCAGCCCGCACGCTGCCCACTCCCCCATCGCCTCACATCCCACACACCCAGCTCACCCTGCCCACCCCACACACCCCACACACCCCACACACACACCTCTTGCACCACATTCCTCCTCTCACGCGCAGTACCCTGCTCAGCCTTTCCTAACGGGGATGCCGTTTCCCTTCAGACCCAGCCACTAAAACTTATCATGTCCAACCTTTCTGCAGATGTGGAGCTGTGTGTGTGTACGTCTGTGTGTGTGTATAGATATGTGTGAATGTTAGTTGTTGTTATGCTTGAGTTACTGTGTGTGTGTGTGTGTGTGTGTGTGTGTGTGTGTGTGTGTGTGTGTGTGTGTGTGTGTGTGTGTGTGTGTGTGTGTGTGATGAATTATTACGTGAATAAGTGGATTAGCTATAAGTCTGTGAGGCTGTCTGTCCAATAAATATTTTTTTACCTCACTCCTGATGTTGTTCTTCATTTTCACCACTAGTGTTCACTGTTGCTCTACTGCCAGACAGAGAAAGTCTCTATAAACCTTGAAATTTATGGACATCATTTTCCTTTTTTATGTATTTAAATAGGAGTTGAGAGCTTTAGAAACAGTCATCAGATGAGTGTATCAAATTTTAAAATTGTGCATCAAATTTAGGGGTTAAGAGATGTGGTTTCAAGTCATCCACATGCTGAAAAAGAGTTGTAAAGAATCCAGATGGAACATTTTCAGAGGAAGATTTATTTCCCCTCATAAAAAGGACCAAAATTCTCCTTATATTGGCAGTGTCTGACAAAGTGCAAGACACTTTCAAGTGTTTTGGTGTGATAAAAAAGAGGGCATGATCATTAAAAAATAAGCAGTTACAAAGAAATGTGCACAAGGTAGCTTTATGTAAGATGGAGCTGATGTGCATCTACAGTCCGTCATTTAAAATAGCAGCTCAGGCATCTTAATCTTATGGCTTTCAAACTTCTTCTTGAGTCCAGGTTTTGATCTGAGTTCACTTTAAATTTGCTCAAAATAAACACAAAAATTCCTTTGATTGTCACACTGCAGGCGCTTTCCCTAACAGGTGCAGATCCCGACTGTATCAGGGCGCCCTCTGGCTTCTGTATGACTTCTGTATTACTCCTGTTTCTAATGTGCACAATATAAGATCATTCCTTTGCAGTTTAATTCTTTCTCTGTTTGTGATCTTCCCATGAGTCTTCGCAGACCAACAGGTGCCTGTGTTGGCAGGAATGTGGGCACATGTGATGGGAACGCTGCCATGCTCGCAGTTCTTGCGTCACTGTCAAGGTCCCTGTTGCAGTCAGACACAACTGTCCTAAGAAAAATACACACAGAACTGGCATAAACAGTGCAGTTTTGGTGTTAAAATTCTTGAAAACTTTCCTTTATGTGACCTATGCTGAAAGATCTCAAATCCATCTCAGCAGGTTAAGGTCAAACTTGGCCAAGAACAGCCTCAAAGTACAAAATTCGTCACAGCTTTGAAGAAAAGGAACAAAAATTTGAATGTTTCCCTCTTTTTTTTGTATTCTTGGGTCATTTGGGGGACACTCTTTAAATACTGGGCTTAAAAATTACAGTTTGGGTGGTTATACTGCTGTTTTATGTCAAAACTGGTCCTATTTGACTAAAACTGAGTGTAAGTGTATAACTTTGAAGTACCTCATAATGAATTAAACTGTATGTATGTGCAGCCATAAGGCTTGCCTGAGGCTCCCTGCTCAAATATCACCTCTGTCTCAAACCATCAGGGGTTCTTGCGTAAGCAAAGATGTCTGAGTCTTTTTAAGCCAAACCCTCTGTGCATACGCTTGGCCCTGCTGTCCAACAGATACCATATCATCTGTCTGCAGCTCCCCTTAAGACATGTTATACCCTCCCAGTGACCCTTGGTAGCCTCATGCTGGATTAGAATTGCATCATCCATTATTTTCCCTGCACATGTTAAGTTTAACAGGAATAGACAGTGAATTATGAAGCCTTACAGGAGATTTGGTGTTGTGTCATTTGGATGTACCTGTTGTTTTTGTACATCTGACTTCCTCTTGACCACCTGTCATGCATGCTCTGCCCATGCTGAGAAGGAAATAAACACTGAAAAATACCTTTGTGTGCTACTGAATAGTGTTTCTATAATTACCAGACACTACTTCCTCATCTATTTGACCAGAGCTGTTTCACCAAGGTGCAGCTGGAATTTACCGCAAGGACATGAAAGCATCTTCACGCCCAAACCTTTAAATTCCAGAGGTGCCTCCCATTGTCTTAGACAGTACAGATGTAGATAGTACCGATAGACAGATGTACTGCAGGACAGATGATAGTAATGTCCTAACATACTGTAGACTGTACTGTCTGTGGCCTTCTCTCTAGTGAGTTTATGGGTGGGACAGTGATAAGGGGACGTTTCTGGAAAAGATTGCTGAAAGGCTAGTTGGAGCCAACAAGAGATAATGTTTGAGAGAAAAAGGGCGGGATTAAAAAAAAACGTTCATATATAGAGTGTGGGGTGAGGTCCTGAAACAAGTAGCTTTTCAGTACACTTTTGCCCACACAGACTTTGAAATTGAAGACTGTTAGGAAATGTGCTTTTCATATGCACTCTTAAAAAAGCCTCGAAACTGAGATTTTTTTCATTTGAAACAATATCAAGCACAAAGTTGACTTTTATTGTCATCCAAAGAAAGACATATTTTATCAATCTCCAAGGTGAAATCTTTATGCATTCTTAAGCTGCAAGCACACACATGCACAAGAAGGAACCAGTGAACATGCTCTATATGGGAGATATCAGAGTGAGAGGTGCACATGGATAGTCTGAGGGGTCCAGAGTCCTGATCAAGGGGCACCTTAGAGTGAACTGGCACTTCTCCATCTAGACTTTCTTTCTAGATCCATCTAGAATTTCTAGACTTTATCTGAGGCTGATCTGTCTATCCTGAAGTTGTTGAAGGTTGTTAGTTCTAAGCAGTGTCATAATGACTCAGTACAATAGGATTGCATTTTCTGCATAGAGAAGAAAGTTTGGATTAGTTAATAAATAACATTATTTAAACAAAAGTTAACAAGACAGGCCCTGGAACTGATCCCTGTGGAACACCTCTGTTAATATTTTGACATACTGAGGTTTTTGTGTGAGGTGATTTTTAATCTACTTACAGGCAGTGAGGTCAGTCCAGTGTTATAGTGTCCTACAAAGCAGAGATCTATTAACTGTCTGAAAAGCTTTTAGAAATTCGTTAAAAACATTAACACAATACTCCCTCTTATCCATACCAAACAGTTTTATTCACAGCTAATGTGATGGATGAGATGGCATACTCTGAAATCAATACATCCACATGACCCCATTTTTATAGGTCAGGCAAAGCTTGAAATACCCCAATCTTTCCGTCTTTACTTTTTAGGTATGAAACACAAACCTAGTTTTTCTTCCGCTTAAGTTTTATTTTTAACAAAACATGATGGGTTGGTTTCACAGTACTGTGGTTTTGCCTCTGTGTAGTTGTATCTGGTTTACGGTAAGAGAACGGCAGCTTTTCCGTGACTGTGTGAAGGAACCTGTTTGTGTTGGTTCACTTCACTGCAGGTGTGCCCTGTGGTTGTGGGACTGTCTGAGTCTGCAGCTGCAGAATCATGGTTTCCTTGAAGAGAACTTACCAAGGCCAAAAATCATACCAGAGTCGCAAAGGGGGCAGATATTTACCAGTAGGCTGGACAAGAGGAGTTTAAATCTTGAACAAAAAATCATACCAGAGTCGCAGAGGGGGTAGATTTTTAACAGGAGACTGGACAAGTGGAGTTTAAATTTTGAACAATGTTAAACCTTGTATCTGCAAGATTGATGAATATCTGTTCTATTTAGGGATTCAAACTGTAGTGCAGAAAGAGTAAAGAGAAAAGAAAAGGAGAAGAGAAGAGATTTTCACAAACCGCTTCACCTATGCAGTGCAGGTGTTCATGGTTTCATCCTCCCACACTTCCTCTCTCATCATTAAACCACTGCAAATAGCCCCCAATGTTCACCACAGTCTCATGCCACCTAGGCCACCTGGGTAAACAACAATCTCACATTGGAGGGCAGAGACAGAAGTCAAGCAAAGCTCTTGAGCCTGCTTCTTTGGAGTCATTTTTCGACAGTATCCTGTGAATGAATAAGTAGACAGTTTAAGGTATTCTTAATCAGCTTGTTTAGCCCGTTCCAACAACACAAGACTTGATCCAGAACAGATTAGAAACCAAGCAGTATTTGACATAAGACTGCTCTCAACGGCTTTTCTCAAAGACAGGATAAACACCACTGAGTTTGCATCCTGAGAGCCTGATCTCATAATTGGCTTATTGGTGAAAACAATCATGTTTGGTTTTGTAGTTCTCAAAACAGTGTTTTAAAAGGATTTAGTGGCATTATGGGAAAGTGAGGACATTTATTTCTCATGCAGTCATGAGCTCCTGCAGTACAATCATAGCATAACGGCTTCACTGATTTGGACATTGTGGAGAAAAAGCTCAATATTAAAGAGAAAATAAGATGTATTTATTTGGCCCATGACTTTTAAAATGAGGTAGGTATTAGAAAAGTGGACATATGCTTACATGTACAAAGTGACAGCATGTGCAGGCTGAAGGGCTGCTAATCTTTGTTTAGCAGCACAAGAACACCTGAGTCTTTGTTTCCAAAGAGTTTTGTCAGAAACCCAAAAAAGACAGCAAACTGGACATTTAGCCTGATGATAGTGCAAGATGGAACATTTTTGGATTACTTTACCTGATTTCAGTGTGATCACTCAAATCTTCGGATTGTATGCACAGGTGACCATGAACTTAGAACATCATGAAATGGGTATAGCTGTTCATTTCTCAAGAGTTGTGCTCACTTGTGGAGTAGATGGCAAGCTACCCGAACAAATTAATGAAAACTGTAACCTGCTGGTGTCAACACATAAAGTGATTTGAGATAACTGAATTGAATTGTTTTAGAGAAACAAGAGTGTCCATCTTTAGAGTCTGTTGTAGATAATTCCACATATCTGGAGCCCAGAAACTAAAGCCGTATTTCCTATGTTCAGGGGAGATGGTACTTGAAGTCTCAGATTGTCAGTGGAATGAGTTTGATGTGGTCCAGTGGTTCAGTTCAACATACGCATTATATACGTAGGTGAACATCCAATGAGGGATCTGTAGATAAAAATAAAAAAAAAGATCCAAGTGCTTTTTGTGCCAAAAAGGATTTGTTATACAGAACACAATAATAAGAGTCATGGAGATCTCCAGTTGTAAATCTAAGAACAGGGTGATGGACTGTGTTCAGGGATTTGAGGGTGGAGGCTGCTTCAGGTCTAAACATAGTATCTCCATGATCAAGAGCTGAAAGAAAGACTCTTTTGATAACACTGTTTTGAAAAGTAAGAGGAAAGCTGGACCTGTTTGTACTGAAAAATCTGGGTTAAGTTTGCAAAGAGGTCTCCGATACAAATTTTAAATATAAACGATTCATCAAGCCAGATAACAAGATATTTATATACTAGAACTGTTTTAATAGCATTACCATTTAGTGTGGAAAATTGCAGACTGATAATATCAATACATCTTGCCCTGGAAGATAGTGTGAATTTAGTTTTGCATGCATTAAGCATCAATTTAAGACTAACAAGTGCATTCTGTTGGGCATAAAAACAAATTGTAATTTCTCAACAGCAAAGTGCACATTGTCAGAGGACAATACAGAGCAGTGCCATCTGCATGAAGATGGACAGTACAATTAGTAATACAGGAGGCGATGTAATTATTAAAAATGGGAAATAAAGAGGGCCCAGGACTAATCCTTGCAGAACACCTTTTGTTAATGATAGAAGCTCTAACTTTGACACAGTCAAACCTGCCAGAAAGATAACTCAAACCACCGCAAAGGTCTGGATCATTTATTCATCAGAAACCTTGAATACATTAAGCAATTTCCCTGTGATCCAATGAAGAATGGGTGTCCACTTTTATTATGGTGCAAATGTAATTTAATGCTATCAGTGCCACAGTTCTCCTTTTACTTTGTGTATACTACAAAATCTGTGCTGACTCTGTCATTATGTGAATATGTTATGTATATTTGGAAACATGCAGTACCTTTGTAGCTGTAGTAATCAACACTGTTTGACTGGACTGGACTAATAGCATTCGTTAGTGAATGAAGAACAGCAAAAAGGGAAGTAACCTCAACATCCTCATACACCCTGTCTGACTGTTTTCAAGGTACTTTGTCATGCAGTATACGTTCTATATTTTTTCAATACCCAAATTTTTGTGCTAAGCAGTTTTGACACTGATAAGCTTACTTTGTTGTTTAACAATCAGAACACCATTTAATGAAAGCCATAACAAAAGAGCGTATTTACACAGATAAGGAGGAACCAGGATGTTGCATGTGTTGTTTCTTAAGTTTTTCAACACAGTGATTTCTTCACACAACCTATTGAGTCTGTGTTTCCTGTCTGAACAAGTGTGTATGAACACATTTGTAAAAAGGTCAAGACTTTTCCAGTGAAATTTAAGAACTGGCTCCCCTCCTCCTCGATTATCATATTTCTCTGAGAAAACATTTTCTTTATTGCTTTTGCACAGTTAAACTATTATTACAGAGAGGTGAGTGGCGGCTACAGATAGTGTGGAAGCCTGTAGCATGCTGTGCTGAGAGTTACCACTCGAACCTAACAACAATAGCTGAAGCAGTGCTTCCTGTTGCTTAACAACAACCAGGACCTTAACAGAGTATCAGGTAATGATTTCACAGAAAAAGGAGACAACTGAACCTGCTGACAGCCTCGGAGGTGCCTTTTCATTCTTGGCCTGTAATGAACTGACACTACAACAACTGCTGTCTGTAAATAATGTGGTTGAACTTTCCAAACTCTAAATCCTGAACAGTGGCACCACTTTTTCTACAAGAACAGAACTCAATTCCCATCATGTCAGCTTTTCTTGTTCAGTAGAAGATATAGGGTAGCGCTAAAGGGTAATCTTCAACACGATGGGCAGCTGTGGGAATTCAAGTTCTTTTAAACACCTTTTATATGTCACAAAAAATTTCACAGCACTGACCTAAAAATGTGCTGAAATGGTTCTGTGGGAAAATGATTCAAACCTGAGCTCAGACCACCCACGACTGCTGTGCACTAAATACCTGTTAGCAGCTTTGCAGCAGAGATAAACATGTTATTAGAGAAAGGATACCTTAGAGAGCAATTACAGGGATGCATTCAAAACATTACTAAAGCTGTTTTGTCCAAAAATCAATAATTAAAGGTGATGGTAAATATGGGATTGTGAAACAATATAAAAAAAAAAAACGCCACATGTTTACAGACATTTACAAATAATTTACCACCAGTGGCGACTGATTTGTCATGCCCACCAAATGTGTCCAATCCCAGGGCTGCAGATAAGTCAACTCTGTCTGTATAACTACAGCACTGGGTAATATAATAACAGAATTATCAATAAAGTGATGTTGATTTTTCTGACCAATAAAGGTTAAATAAAACGACTTCATTGTGCCCTTAATAATTAACAAGTACTGGCTTAAGTGGTTTGCAGTCTTTTAGAGATTACAGTCCTATGACAGTGCATTACTTCTGGATGTTAGAGAAAGGATCAAAAATAGAACCAGACATTTGGAAAAAAAGAATCCATGAGTCTGACTAAGTCAGCAGACTGAAGACCAAACTAAACAGGTCTGCACGCCTCTCCTTCCCCTCGAGCTGATATTTTCACAGCTGCAGCATAAAGAGTAATACTTTGTGAGCTGTGGGGTCTGAAATGTTCACAGTCTGTTCAGACTGGTACTATTGGTTTGTTCTCATTTCAAGGTGAGCTGCTGAAGGAAGTCGCCAGTTTGTCTGTGACATTCTGTGAAGGTTATTTGAGGTTGTCCATGACTGATGAACTATGGACTTTATTCTGAACAAAATACATGATGTGCTTGCAGTATTCCACTCAAAAACTGAAAAAGCTTAGCGTCAATAAGTATGTATTTCATAGAGAGCATCAGTGACTATATTTGGTCTGAGTTACCAAACATAGGTTTCTTGGTCTAGAATATTTTAGGTTAAAGGGAGGAAGTTAGACAAATAAAGAGGAAATGCTTTTGTAAACAGTAAAAAATATAAACATATACTGAAGTGCATACTGAAGTGCAGTTCTTGAGAAAATGAACTTTACTCTTTTTCCCCTGCCTGCAAGGACCTGATCTTTTACAAAAATCTTATGAGAGCTTGATTGAAGATTTGGTGCAAGCATCCTGATTGCACAGTTATGCAACAGCTTCTTTCTCTCTCTGAAAAAATCAACAACATGCAAACAAACAAAAACATAATCAAAATATACTCCTCTTCCTTATGAATGTATAAAACATACTAGCAGTCTTTTGTTGCCAAGTAAAACTTCTATAAATTGCACGAGTTGCCAACATACAGTATATCATTTAATTTATGCTTTTGTCCAAAGTGACATACATCTGAGAAACAAAGATCTAGACTGGAGGTGACAACGTGAGTGAGTGCAACACTTGCTTTCAATTCCAGTAGGACACAGATGCTGACACACAGTGTTAAGAGGCCAAACAAAGAGTTTTTTGGCACTGGTTGCCAAAATATAATAGGCTATTACAACATCAATTAGTAGTGACCTTTGCGTTAAACTCCATACAGTTTAGCAGTGACATACTCAGGCTGTTTGTGGGCAGGGTGAAAAAAAATTAAAGGCCATCTGCTGTATAACATGGGAGAGACAAGAGCTGATCAGCAAAGATCTACCTCTGACTTCATTTTTTATAATCTCTTCAGTGTACTGTCTCTCCTTCACATACTGTATTTAATAGGTCACTGCAGGCCTGGTTCAAGCCTGTTAAAATTAAAAAATGGGCTGTTAAAACACCAGGCAAGCAACCTGGACATCTGTAGCCTGAAGGTTAGATTAGCTTTTCATTAAATGAAGTGAGACAGGAGAGGGGCTGGATGTCCTCCACTATGAAATTTCATTTCAGTTTGTGAGGGATCACGATTACATAAAATACTTGTGCAAAATTATTGAAATGTCAAATAAATGCTACTTCCTGCATGAAATTTACATTAAAGTAAGATTTGATTTGTTATTTATCACATAGTCATTTTCTAAAATAGTGTAGAGTGTGCAAAATCAAACTTTAGCCACAAACCTTGCCTGACAGCCAAATATAATCAGGTCACATTACTTCTGGGGCACTATATCACACCGTGTTCATTAAATGGGGACCTGAAAGGGCACTATTACATTATCCCATTGTATTCATCCAGTGGGCACTTATTTGATAACCGTTTTACCACCACAAATGAACCCATTGTGCCTTTTATTATTTTCAATACTCTAAAAAGCCAGCTACCAGGGCATAGTATAATGCTTTCTCAAAAACAAAGGCATCCAAGAGAGAAACTCTGCTGCGTTTTTTAGACATATGAGCTTCAGGCAGGCCATCTCCCTATTGTGTCCTCTCTGTGCACACCACTGCATTTAGACAGGAGGGAACACCATCATTAAGTGGTATAATAATCTATCCAAAGTGACACCACCATAGTAAATATCGCCTTCATTAGAATATCCGTATCATTCAGTTAAGTTTAATACAAATACTGTTTGATTTTCTACAATATTTTAGATTTTTCGCCAACTTCAGTCTAATGGAGTTTTGTCAAAAAATAAATTTTGACATCATATTTGATCAAACGCTCTGTATATAGTCTTCATCAATAATATATTTGATAAACAACTGTAGCCAGGAGTGGTAGAAAACACAGAGCTGTTTCAAAGAACATACATTCAGCCACTCTCTGATCCACAATAGGGCAACATTAAGTTCCGTCTAAGACCACGTGTAGCTCTGGGACTCTCGCGATGAATATTTTGGCGCGAGAATTATGACGTTGTACCCACGTGTATGTGCGTGTCCCGTAGATAAGACTGAAGGAGTCAAGGACACCGGCTGATAGGTAGGAAGGAGACAAGCAAGCAGGAACCAGGAGGCGAGAAACCTCGTGTGAAGAGCTGTCAGTCAGTCATTGTGAGCCATTTTGAAAAGAAGGTAAGACTTTTATATTTTATGATACAGCCAGCTTAGTCTGTTCTCATAGAGCTGTGAGAGGAGTTACACATATGTAAATATTAATTTTTATACAGCTTTAACCCTTAATAAAGCCTTTATAAGTGTGAGGGTGTCATTACCGAAAGATATAATCCATCTTTTGGTCACTAATAGTGTCAGTAGATGCTTTATAAACGTTAAATGCGGTTTAGTTTCATTTTACTCCTTGAATCAACTTTTTAATCGGTCTCATTGTAATGAATGTCATGCTAACGCGTACTAGCATGTTCATCAGAGCACACCGGAATAGAGGGGCTTGCCCACCACATGTCTCCTGTTAACAGACATTGTATGTGTAAGTCGGTGTTCATGGTTTTAGTTTTCATGTTGTCAATGCGACAAGGACGCCATAGTGAGCAAAGCCCGTGGTCACGTCCCGCAAGTCTCATTGAGCAGTCTAATGTTCAGTGGACTGATGTTGAATCCAGCTAGCTTCCTCGGATGACCCTCTCTTCTCAGGGTCAGTAGTCAGTCACCGTGTCAGTAGACTGGCCCTGTTTACTGACCTTGACAGGCAGCAATAGACTGCTGCAAAGATAAGATATCTGTACTTGAATAGTATTGACAGATACAACCTTAAGTCTAGACTGATTTCAGATAAACCCAAGTCTCATTTACAAGTCTCATTTACATGTTATATTTCACGGTGAGACGCCTCATGGAAATGTAATGTTAACATATGGTAGGGCAGGAGCTAGATATGGCTGTGGTTGAATAGTCCCCATGAAGGGGAAGTGTTTTAGTCTAGACTGAAATCATTCAACACACAGTTAAGAGGGGTAGCAGGTGAATTTGACAAGCCTAACTGTGGGTCCAGGTCTACATCCTCTTTGTGAAGAGCAGTTAAATCAACCCAAACCCTGAGGTGTTGCATTTGAGGTCACTGCGAGTTATGCTGTTTTAGCCTGCTCTGTAGACCAGCAATATAGATATTAAACATATTTGCAGTTTCATCAATAATTTTGTTTTAATTTGTCCGACCAGGAAAACTACTTTGAGATGAAAAATCTCCTTTACAAATATATCTCGGCCAGATTCAGCAGCAGCACATTCCAGCTTACTGACAAATGTATTACATGTGATAGTTACACAAACAATTAACTTTTGGTATATGCTGCTGCCTAGACAGTCCTTGAAAGAGATTTTTCAATCTCAGTGAAGCTTTCCTGGTTAAATTAATCTAAATATGATTAATAAAGTAATAATTAAAAGTGCAAACGTCTAATGTGTAGTGCTGATCTGTATTGGAAGTTATAACAGATTTTTCCCTCTGAGAGATTTCATTGTAGCTGCTGTAAGAATCTTATGGTTAGATATTTTACCGCCTCAATTTGGTCTGCATTTCCTCTAAAAGACACGCACACCATAGTGCCACCTGCTGGGACCCCTGTGTATGTGGGTAACAGGAAGGATGTACTGCTGCAAAAGTAACCGCCAAAACTTACATCATGGTGAAGAATTGATAAGTAATTACAGTAAACAATAACACCTCAACAGCTAAAGGGGTCATTGTTTCATCCGTAGTGAACACAGCTGCAGCCTGTGTTGCTGCTCATGCCTGTAATTCAGAATGTGCTGCTGTTTAAGATTACTTGTGCAAGCCTTATAAATGGGATTTGCCTGCATCACTGTTCTGCTGCATTTTCCCATGAGCTAGTCAGAGCTTTGCCTCAGTGTGACTATCACATGATAATTCTCCTACGCACCCCTGACCTCTCTCCCCCTCTTTCCTCCTCTATTGCTCTCCTCTGCCATTTTTTTCTCAGCATCTCTTTTTGTCTCCCACACCTCTCTTTTGTGACCCACTTAAATGTTTCTCACAACGAGGTCATATTTCCTGGATCTCTTTTTGCGCTCCTTTTATTACTATAATGCTTGTATACACTTGTCAGTTGGAAAGGGTGTGTTTGCACCGTTAAACTGGTCATTATTCACATGGCTAACTGCCATTAAGTAGCACAACACTGAAGTGTGTGATGCATGAGTTAGTATCAAAGAAGTATTTCTTTGTAAAATGCCACCTAATGGGCCTCCTTTGGTGGAAATAATGTAGAGAAGTTTGCTGATTCAAGAGTAATGTTTGAAGATCCTCAGCTGCAATCAATAAGCAGCAATAAACAACACATTTGTCCTTATCTGAAAATCTTAACCATCTGGAGTCTCCTCCTTGGTGCACATTATGTCAAAACATCCTTTCCTGGTAAGCTGTGGTTAAAGAAGGCATATTTACTGGAAAGCGTAAGAGGCTGGGTTAACTGGTTCGTCTCTCAGTTCTTCGGCATTTGATTTTGTGATTTGTGAAAAGCTTCAGATCACTGACGGTAACACAGAGAAGGAAGACTACATTTATCAGCAAGGAAGAAAGAGGATGCATGTGCTTTGACAGAAAGTGTGTCCAATAAAATCTTCTGATACTCTGTCCCAGCTTTTGTAAAAGATTGAACTGAGGTGTGACTACAATGCCAGATTAGCTGATAAGTTGCCCTTGAGAATGTTTAACTGTGTCTCTTTGCTGTGTGCCATTTGCAGCTGCCTCATATAAATACGCCTCTTCTTGCATGCCACGCTGACATTTATTTGAATGTCATGAAGATTTCACTAACTTGTAATTTTAAAGTAAGAAAGCATGTCAGAAGTTTGAAACACTCATCCCTGTGGCTCTTTTCTTCCAATTCTGTGAATGTGTGATAGATTCAGTCTTCGTAGAAGAGGAGAGGGAACTTTCACTCCCCTGCTTTTCTCCTCCTCTTGGTGACCCTCAGCTGAGTTCACAACACATCTTGTTGTAATATTTCAACTAAGTCCTCTTGCAACAGCTTTAATAACCTTGTGAAGCAATCACTTTTTTTTCTTTGAAAATGAGGCACAATTTTCCAAAGAAAAGAAAACTATTAGGAAGTTGCTGTTGCAACATGTTCAACCCCATACCTGAAAACCAAAAAGGAAGACACCTCTTAAATATTGGCAGTGATACTTGATATTTGAAAGTAGAAATAGACTCATGCTTAATTTGGATCTATCTTGTTGTTTCCCTTTTCTCTGTTTGCTTTTTCCCTCTTTCCATTTGAATTATTTGTGCAAAAAATCTTGAGGGCAGCATTTTGGATTGTACCACATTACGTGTTAACTCTTGCATATCCTGTTGTAGTCAGGTAAACCACGCCATCCTGCCCTCATTTAACAAGTTTAACCGGCCATGAATGTGAGAGCACTTCCCAGGAAGGTGTGACTCAACTTTGCTCTCACTATCTCCCGCACACACACACGTCTGAAAGTCATTCAGAGATACAGGTTGGGTGTCGAAGGCTTCATGAAGCAAATGGCTGCCTTCAAGGACATAAAGCACATGGTGTCACTTTTCAGCAGCAGAACTCTTTTGTTTTATTGGGCTTACATCCATAGGTCTCTCAACTGAAAGAGCAGCTAATCTGATTAAAGTATTAAGGCCTGGCTTGGTATTTTTGGTATGTAAGATTATAGACATAGCTCTGCCACCTTACAGAACAATTAGCTTTACAAAGCAGCTTAGTCGGCCCTGATAACAATTTAAAGCCTGTATTTGTCAATTGTCTTCATCTTGTGTTACTAAGAGGGCTCTAAATAACCAAAAGTAGGGTTGAAATTATTATTTTTTTGTCGTTTTTGTCATTGTCTTCTGCTGTGCTGAGTTTTAGCAGGGGCGTTTAAGGCCATGCTGTGATCTAAAGTTAGCTGTACTTCATAGCACCATGCATAGTCAACATGTTTTAAGAAGTGAGTAATTGTATGACACTCTACTGGCATGTCTGCAACCTCTCTTACCTTATTCAAGTAGACTATTTTTTATGTATGCAGCCTTGGAAATATGCTGTTGGAGTTTAGAGAGGTCGTGCTTTGGCACTGCAAATTAGGGCGGACAGGCCTGCCAGCCCAATAGTTAGTGTCCCCTTGGCTTTCTCCCAAACCGGCTCTTCTCACGCAATGTCCAGTTTATGATCTACCTTCAGTGGAGCTTGTAAAATGGCACTTTAGTCATTATAAGATGATCATAATCCATCCAGGCATGTTCAACATCTTTTTGCCTCTTACTCTCAAGGTCTATTTTTGTCTCTCTTTGTTCCCTGTCTTTGTTATTCATGTGTTTGAACAGAGCAGGTAGCCCAAGAATACAGTTAAAAATGGCAAACAAATAAATGTTAATACTTATTTGGCTATGTATGAGTGGGGGCCTTTTGTCAACACATCAATGTTTAATTTAGTCCAAAGTTCATGTAATGTGTGGAGACGGTTTAACAGCTGAGGCCACATACTTTTCACTCAGAGGTGGTTGATAAGATGAGACTTGTTTAGGGCTGATTGTCCCTTTTTAAAGGTCAAGCAGTGTGAGAAAGGTCGATCCTTCACAAAACATTTAGCTATGGCCTGAGATAATGTTTGGTTAAACATGAAACTGTGTGAAATGTGACTTTTTTACAAATATGTTGTTGTTACACTTGATCAGTAGCCAGAGAATAAAGTTGTAGTTCAACATGAATGACACCCCGTTATTGAATTAGGACTGTAAAGTGTAAGTCAAATGACTAGTCGATACGAGCTGAATGGACTCGTCTGTGGTTAATTTCATCAGGAGGAACGTACAAAGTGCAGAGCACCCCCGTTTCACAGGTAACAGCCTGTCTCAGAACACCCCCCTTGTTTTCACCATTTTGGATTCGCCAAACCCACTGGAGACAGGAAGATTGAAGAGCGTCCACGTTAATCTGTAGAAGATAATATATTTTTTTAAATGCCTTGCCGTTAGAGTCCCCCCACTTCCGATTAGTTGATTGTTGGTCGACCAAGAATTTCTTTGGTTGATTACTGCCCTATATTGAATATAACAGGGTACTGCATTATATTTATTGAATTTTCCTCCTGGGATCAATAAATATCTTCTTCTTCTGCCTCATTTGTGCTCTCTACAGGCACATTGTCATCAGCTGTGTTGTCTTGTTGGAACATTGTGCAACTTTGTACTTCTTCTATTTTAAGGGTCCCTTTGTTTGAGCCTCATTTAAACACAAAAAACAAACTGATGCACATCATTGTGCTTTTGTTGGGAATAAGGAAGTCATTCCACTGTTTTTTTGCGCTGTTATGCCTTTTGTATTGTCCCAAAGGAGGAAATATCATTGCAGCAGAACAGAAACACAACTGTTTTGCAAGCACACAACCTCCAGCCCTTGTGAGGGGGTTTGAGCTGGTTAAACTGATTCCTCAGCATGACGTACAAGAGCAAAGACGACCATCAGCAACAAGACAGAGAATTTCCTTGTTACAATATTATGACTGCCAAAGGGGTAGATGTAAGACCAAAGCTACAGAGACAGACTTCCCTTCAAATATTCAATGGCTGATATTCACAATAAGCTATATGTTTGCCTATTGAGTGACGCAGAAAGAGAAGTGTGTGAAAAAACGTACTTTGCATGGACACAACTGGATCTGGAAAGCTTAGAGATAAATAGGCTGCTGAAGGAGCCTAAATCAACACAAACTAGTTCCTTACAGTAGTTTGAACAAGAATACAGCAGTATAAATGGAAGAAAATATATACATGAGTGTGTCTATACTGATTATGATTCTTCATGTTGTTTTGATACAATACTTGACCTTCACTTTAAATTTAAAATGCTTAAAGGTTCTCATAGTCATTTTCAAACACAGCACAGAATTCACACATAAAACATCTATTCATAGTGAACCAGACCTTCTGTTGTCTATGTGCTCTTAGCCTGATGCAGGTCAACAACTTAGATATCAAAAATAAAGCAGCACTGGGAGTGCTGAACATCAGGTTCTCACAGTCCACACTCCTTAGTTAGTCCATGTTGTTCTGTGAAACAATTGATTTAAAACAGAAATGGGAGTGCTGAACATCTTGTTCTCACAGTCCATACTCCTTAGTTAGTCCACATTGTTCTGTGAAACAATTGATATTTTTATTGGTAATTTTTGAGCTCGGAGTCATCAGTAACTAATCTCAAACAGATTTCCTCTTTTTCCAGTTTGTCATTGATTAAAGTTAGACATCTTCAGCCAGGCTGTTATTTTTATCACTCACATACAGATGTTTTTTATCAGAGACATTAAAAAGTCCTCCAAAGATTTTTGCTTTTTACCAAAACCTCAGAAATCCAGTTTTTTGATAGATTATAGATGTATGTAAGACTGTGTGTGTTTGGCTCAGTGTATATAATAATAATGCTGAGTGTCAGTCAATTCTGTCACCCTTCAAATTTAATGTGTAATACATCACACTTTGTTAATTTTCAATGTAGGAAAAATGTTGTTTATGGGCTTGTATAGTAAACTGGATTTGCAAACTCATCTTCATTGTTATATATAGACTGTCCTCTCACAGCCGTGGAGGACAATACAACATCTCATATATCATATATCATATATCATATATCAGTGATAGAACAGAAATCCTGCTGACTGCTCAGACATTTTATCAGTGTTTCTCATTTATAAATATGTATTTAAATGGGACAGTGATTCTGCTTTGGGTATAAGAAGATGTGAAAGGTGCTGAAGAGCATTTTACATGAACGCAGAGAAGTCTTGATAAGTTATTGTGAAGTAATCACAGCAAGAGACAAAAGATTGCATAACCAGAACACCTTCCAGATCAGGTCTTCCTCCTGAAGGTCACATGCCCGTCTTTTCGTACACCAATATAACATTACAGTATTTAAGAAAATATTCACAAGACTTGCGTTACAGGTCTTGTTCCAACCCTGCTTTGTTTGGCCTGTCTTTTGAATCAAAGTAAGTGGGAAGCTGGTGGTTCTGTTATTGTATTCTTCTGGCGGTTCAGTTCACATGGTGGCATGGAGTCTGTGTTGACCTGCACTGGACACTGGTCTTTTGTGCTGAGAAACAGTGCTGCCTTTCTAGTTTGCAGCAAGGGAAACCCTGTGGATGTTTGGACAAGAGGTGGGACATGTTCTTCAGATGGCCATTATTCCCCCTAATTGAAATAGTAACACACTTGAAACTAAGTTAAGATACTACAAATGTTAACTGAGTATAAAACACTCAAGAATCATCACCAACCAGCTGTGGAGCTTTTCTTTCTTTCTTTTCTAGTAAAGCCTCCATCCATCATCAATAGTCTTTGCACTAGAGTCTGACACCTTACCGCACCTGAAACTTACTCTGTGAGGCAGGGAGCTCTCAGTAGGTCCTACCTGCTTATGTTTCGGCTGTAAAGTGGCATCTCGTGTCAAATATAAACCTTCTCATACAGCTATTTTAGACGCTACATGCAGTCGGTTGCCGCCAACCCCACCCTGTGCCGTCTTGGTTTTGATCATTGCACAACAGTAGAACAGCAAGTGAAAGATAACTGCTAGAAACATCTGTTGTGCTACTTTTACATCTGTATAAAGTTTAGTGCTAATAGATATTGTCAGAAGTTCAAACACAGAAGGGGGGCACAGTGGAGGGTTAGACAGGACATGCTGCTGTATCTATCCCAAAGAGAAAGCTGCCCCAACTGCAGGTGTAGTTTTTCTGTGGGAAACACTGGGTTGGGGTAGGGCTGGGTGATATTGCCTCAAATCAATATCACAACATATTGAGCAGTTCACCTTGATATTGATAAATGGACGATAACTACTCCACAAGCTGCTCATATCCCCTCCCACATTAACTTTAATCACTTCAGCCGCTACAACTTTTGAACCGTCCTCCATCTCCTCATCTGTCTTTCCCTCTTTGTTACTGACTGGAGGGGGTGGAGTCATGTCTCTGACATTGGACAGTGTCTTACAGGGACATGAGACCATTGCCACACATCCAAAATCAACTTTTATTTATTTTTTTGACACCAAATATTTTGACATGGGCAAAATGACATCGGTTGTTGTCGTAAATTTCAGTATCTGTACATTTTCACCTTAACGCCCAGCCCTATTTTGGGGTCAAACTTATCTTGAATTAAATGAAGAAGAAGATGCTTACCAAACCAAAATTCATCTTAAGCCGTGACTTTCTGTGTTTGTTTCCTCTTTTAGACTCCTGTGAAGCAGCAATGGACCAAGCGAGGTCAACGATTTCCAAAATTGTGAGTAAAGTAGCTTTTATGCTACCACCTAAATCCCAAAATAACAAGCCTTTGCTGTGAGTTATCACCTTCAAAACTGAGTGTTGTTGAGACGGCCTTGGATGCATAATGAATGTTTTTCATCTTTTCATCACAGGAACAAATACTCATTCCTTTACATTTCATCACCACTTTACTAAGTGATTATTAGAGCAACCAAAGTTCAACATCAGCTGTAAATATTTTTCTGCCTAATAGCTGCGGTTGTGTTTCAGATTTAAGATAAGAGTAAGAGTCGCATGAAACACCTGTCCTAACTTGTAAAATGTTTATTTTTTTGCCAGTGACTCTTTCATGAGTAACTCTAACTTGAAGGCCCTCCAACTTTTTCAACGGCTTGGACTTGTGCCACATCAAAATCTTTAGCCGTTTTGTCTCGCAACCACATTATGAAACCAGCACACAGATCATCGGGAGACATAGAATGAAGGAAAGAAAGCATTTCCTCTTGCTCTTACATCCTCTCTGTAGAAACAGTGTTTAACTGCATAAATCACTTCCGCTTCAGCTGTTAAATTTCCTCCTGAATTAGTCTCACAAAAATAGATATTGAAATATTCAACATTTTCAATTTTTTCTTTTTATCGAATCTAACCCTGCACAAACAAATCATCTCTTGAGATTTATCAAAACCTTTTTAAAATAACCTCAACTTGAACATTCAAACACAGAGATGGTGACAGAACAAGGTTACAGTTCCTCTTTTCTTTTGGATGAAGAAAAGTGTGTCCTAACTTGTTCAAGAAATTAACTAGAAATGAAACAGAATATTAAAAGGGGTTAGGGTTCACAAAAGTAAAGGAAACAGAAAGGAGCACTTTTTCTTAGCTAACGTGATTCCCACTTAAAAAATAGACATGACAATAAACCACCTGATTACATTTCTTCAACCAATTCAGAGTTAAAAACAAAACGACCCTTACTTTGAAATCCTTAATGAGAATTAATAAACGGTTAAACATGAGAGAAACTACAAGCTACCACCCACCCACAGCATTTGAATGAAGCTACTAAGTGAGGCACTGATGTTGAATCATTGAAGAATGAACTTTATTTCAATCAATGTGTTTACATATAATCTTCTGTTGTCCCAACAGTCATTGTTTGACAAAAACCTCATGGTCAGAGGTTAATGGAAATTTTGACACAACCAAAAACAACATACGATATGATACGATATGATACGATATGATACAATATGATACGATACGATATAGTTTATTGTCCCTTTGGGGAAATTTGTCTTGAACTCCAAAAGCTGCACAGATAAAGCCGCCAGCTGATGACACAAAGCAATAGACCTAACTAAGACACAGTCACACAAACCACACACATTGCACATGCCCATATTACACAAGAATCCCACAGAAATGGTGAAAAGAAACACATCGACAATAAACAACAATAACAAAGAACAAGACACAACAAGACCAAAAAGAAAAGGAAAAGATAACAATAAAACACCATGACATTAATGCATAATCTGGCTATATTTTTGGAATCATTATTTAGAAACCTAATTGAGGTAGACACAAATGAGTTTTTAAAACGATTCAGTCTACATTTGGGGACTCTGTATCGTCTACCAGATAGTAGGAGTTCATACTTAGGGTAAAGGATGTGAGAAGGATTGGATAAAGCTCGCTGTGTTTGCCTGAGAACAAACTATTCTATGTTAACAATAAATAAACAACATCGTCTTTTACTCGATTATTACAGTTCAATGGGGAGCCACATACCTACACCCGTTTTAACTTGGCCCGGAACATGGAGGGTGACAACAGCCACGTGGAGCTAAAGATGTCGACTGACATGGTTGAGGAGGCTGATGGGAATGGTGTGGGAGAACACCTCAATCACAACTCTAACCACAAACCCTACATGGCCCATAAGCCCGGACGTGACCCCAAGAACATCTGCTTCAAGGTCGCCATGGGCCTCCTCATCTTCATCATTGGTAAGAAAGGGGTTTTACACAAATAAGTGCAGATAAATTTAAGATTTTCATCAACCTGTTAGAAAGTGTACCTCAGGGATCAATCTCTGGGCTTCTACTTTTAAATCCATGTAACGTGTTTTCTCATCTACTAATGAAATGAAATGAGGAGTTTTAGCTGGTTACACAACAGGCTGACTTTCTTTTACATTTTCAATGGGAAAGATTTGCTGTAAGTGATAGGTTTGACTACCAAAATAAAGAAGGGTAGATGTTTTGGTCAGTATCACAAATTACACAAGATAAATACAAAAATATTAGTCTAAAATTGACAAAAAACAGAAAGCTCCTCACAGGAGTTTCGTTGTAACCTTGACTGTTTTCCTCTGGTTATTCCAGGATACCTGATCAGTTTCATGATTCACTGGAAGAAGGACGTTGGACCCAACTGTGCCTCCTCTGCTCCCTCTGTCCCCCCATATGCAAAAGTTGTGGCCCCTGAGACAGGTGCCGCCCCCCTCATGGACTGGGATGACGTGAAGGCACTCCTTGCCAAGAAAGTTTCTGCAGCCAAGTTTGAATCTGTTTTCAGGTAAGAGTAAACTTGACACACTGCTTGAGTCGTGTACTGTTGGGCGGTGTAAACCAGTTTTTAAATGAATGCTTTATTTGTGTCAAAATAAAAAGGAGAAATTAATTATCCTTATTTCCACTCATGTTTATCCCAGTGAGTTTTCCAGTACCCAACATCGGGCTGGTTCTCCAGGAGACGAGGCTCTGGGAAACAAGATGCTCGACAGGTTTAAGGAGTACGGCATGAAAACCTGGACTGATGAGCACTTTGTGAAGGTTCAGGATCCCCCTGCATCTGGATACAACACGTATACTTTTAGGAACCAGACTGAGAGGCTCGATGGATTTTTGTCTTACAGTGGCACCGGAACAAGAACGGTAAAATAAACGCCTAATTAATTTGACTTAAACATTACACTAAATTAACAGCATAATAGGATTCACAATACAAAACTTGCATTACTTTCTTAAAAGCGTGTGTGTTCTCAAGTCATAGAGGAGAAAGTTTTGTCTTCTTAACACCTTAGTAACCTGATTTTTTTTTTTGATAATGAGCATGCTTTTATTTTGAAGAGACTATTTTATTTGTTAAGTTAAAGATGTATTAGCACAACCTGAGAGGACACAGTTGCCATGTCTACGCAATGTTCAGCTTCTGGAGTCAATGAAAATTCAGAATAAGACCAAGTATAAGTAAAAGCAGATAGCGCCCTCTGCTGTTCAAAAAGGATAGTTTCTTTTTGTTTCACTGACTTGAATTTCTGATGTGTACTGACTCCCGAGGTAGTTTCATCCCTACTGATCAAACATGACAAATTCTCCAATATTAATTGGAAATATAAAAAAACATAATTTTCCTTGGTTTTATTTCTTGCTCAGGGGGCTGCCTTGCAAGCAAACTACGGGCAGGAAGAGGACTTCAAAAGGCTGCGGGACAAAGGCATCAACATGAACGGAAGAGTCGTGCTGGTCAAGACCGGTCTTATCAGCTTAGCAGAGAAGGTGGGTAATTTATAGAGTTTAGATATTACGGTCAACTCTTTATGATCACATTGAAAATAAAGGTAATGTTTTTGGTAATGATTGTATTATTACATAGCTATGGATTCTTTATCATGTTGTCCACATGACCTTTTTGTTTCCTTGTACTTACAGGTTGCCAATGCGGCTAAAATGAATGTCTCTGCTGTGCTGATCTACCCAGATTCGCCCTCGGCAGAAAAGACCCCTCTGTTTGGACATGTGAGTTTCCTCTAACTTTGCTGATTTAAAATTTAGAAGCTTGACAAAAGGACCCCAGGACTTCACTGTGCAATCCTAATGATGGAAATCTCGTTTAAACTATATTACCATCCTTCCCTCCTCTCTCTGTCTCCCACAGGTCCACATGGGCTCAGGAGATCCCTACACTCCAGGCTTCCCCTCCTTCAACCACACCCAGTTCCCACCCATCGAGTCTTCAGGGCTTCCAAAAATTTTGGCTCAGACCATCTCAAATGAAAAAGCTAAAAGCATTTTGGCGTAAGACTGAAATGCACTTTGGACCATCTAAAATATGACAATGAAAGAGGCTGCATCACGCTTTAAACCAGTGCATATTAAAGTTTATTTAATCAGTGTTGGTTTTTATCGTCTGCTCTCTGCAGGAACCTGGGGGGTGAGAGTGTACCAGACGGATGGGGAAGTTTCTACAAACTGGGAGGAGAGAGCGATCTTATCACTGTGGAGATCAGTAATGTTCTCACTGAGAAGAAGATCAACAATGTCTTCGGGGTCATCAAAGGCTTTGTGGATGAAGGTACAACCAGGATTTTAATCAGCTACTTGAGATGTGGACCAAAAATAGGTGACATATGAGGACTCACTCCTACTTTTGTTTCCAATTGTAGATCGATATGTGGTTATCGGCGCCCAGAGGGATGCATGGGGTCCAGGTTTCGCTGCATCTACTGTCGGCACCAGCGTCCTCGTTGAGCTGGCACGTTCGATCTCAGATATGGTGAAGAATGGTAGGTTTTTTAAGTGAGGTCGAGCTGAGTTTTAGGACTCTTTATGTTAGATTCTCCACATGACTTTAATGATAGTAATGATGGTAATAACTGCTGCAGGCTTTCAGCAGCGACAATCCAGAAGAACCTATAAGATAAAAGCTCAGGGACTCGCAGATAGATCTGTGGTTAGAAACTTTTAATGGGACAGGAGATTTAAAGGTAGGCTGAATATCCTCCTTAAATCTTGAGCCCTAAGCCCTTAAGGACTTTGTTGATCTCACTTGGAAAGTGAGTGGGTGTATTGAGTGGCAAAGGCTTAATTTTGTATAAATAGGAACGGGATAGTGTGAGCGTTTCCTACAAAACACCGATGGCTCAAAGTCCTGCTTTCAAAAAAAGTTAGATCTTCTCCAATCTTCTCATGTTTAAGTTTTATTGAACAGAAGAGAAATTTATCAATTAAGTTTTTAATTTGCATCAATATTTTCATAAACATATGAAAAGTTCCTACTGAGAAGGTACTTCTAGATTTATCTCTTTAGCCTGACTGTAGACCTGGTGAAATTGTAGAGGTGTAGCTGCAGTGCAGCTGCAGTGTGATCTGGTTTGATTTGGTCATTTTGTGTTTTTCAAAAATGTTTGTGATCCAGTCTGTGCTATCAAGACAAGACGGTTTTGTCTTTTTCCTGTCTTTCATCTCGATTACTAAATTTCCCGTCATGAACGTGCTCACAAAAGAAGAAGATGTCACAGGATAGGCTCAGTCTAAATAAGATCTTCCTGAAATGAATGTTCATTGGTTTTTCTCTTCACAGATGAATTCAAACCGCGGAGAAGTATCGTGTTTGCGAGCTGGAGTGCTGGAGAATATGGGAATGTTGGTGCCACTGAGTGGTTGGAGGTGAGACTTGCAGCTTACAGGTTTCCTCCTTTGCTTTGTCCCGGTTTATGTAGATGTATCGCTTTTCTGTCTTCTTAAATTTTTTCTTTGCCGTTGTTTCATGCAGGGTTATCTGACTTCACTGAGCATGAAAGCCTTCGCCTACATCAACCTGGATGCTGTTGTGACAGGTACACACCTGAGGCTTCTTTCACCTTTAGATTATCTCAACATCAACGCTTTTCTTCTATAACTCTGAAGGTGATGCAGAGCAACTAAGCATCTTTTGTTTGTTTGTTTGTTTCAGGTGATGGTGGATTTAAAGTGTCAGCCAGCCCCTTGTTGCACAGCCTGATCCAGAGCACGATGAGAGAGGTAGACAGTTTTTAGCTTATTGTTAAATAATGTGAAGTGTTCAAACATTTGTACGTTTTCTGTCATTGACTGTTTTGACTTTAATCCAAATACTGAACAGATAAGAAACTTGTTCAATACTTAATGTGTTTGTTAACTGTCTTTTTCATAGTTGAACTACCCAAACAAGGCCTCACTCTTTTCTCAGTTTGGAAGGAGCGACTGGGAAAAAAATGTGTAAGTGTGACCAGACTGTTTATCTGAGCACATCCTGAATGTTCAGAGTTTTGTTTGTTACCATAAAAAACAAGCTTTTCTTAATAGTGTCATGTCCATGTGTGGGGGTCCTGTTATTCTTACTTTTGGATTATTTAGCTACCTTGACTTCTTTTTCAAAATACTGACACTGAAATCTTTTTTATTTTCCAGGTTGCAGACCATGAAGATGAATGACACTGCATATCCGTTCCTCGCCTTCTCTGGCATTCCCTCAGTTTCTTTCAGATTCAACTCTGAAGCCTCTGTAAGTCTTTTTTCTTTGCACTTACATTTTTATTGAACCTTTTTGAGTTCACGACCCAGAACAACATTTTGAAGATGTAAAATTTTAAACAATTAAAGTTTGGTCCACCTTTGTGCTTTTTCCCCTCAGCACTACCGGTACTTTGGCACACTGCTGGACACCCGCGAAAAGCTGAACATTGCCACAGTTAACAAGGTCACTCAACTGGCTGAGTTATCCGCCCGGTTTGCCGGTCACATGGCGCTGAGGCTCGTCCATGATCATCTGCTGCACTTTGACCTGAAGAAGTACGACAAGGTTATTCGTACTCACGTGGCTCAGATTAACTCGAGAGTGTTGGCTGTTAAAAGGGTGAGTGACCAGTTAAATTTACCCAACAGCTGACATATCTGTGAAGGCTGCATACCCCAAGAAATTGCTAGAGTGAATAAAAATGTCTTTAATTTACACTCATTGTTTCTGCAGGAAGACTCAATAAACTTCTTGTGTTTGTGTTTCCAGATACAGAAGGACAAGCTGCCTCGGGCCCTGACGGTGCAGTGGTTGATGTCAGCTTCAGGCTCGTACAGCCGTGCCTCGGACAACCTGCTCAGTGACATCCAGAACAGCAACCTGGATGACATCGAGATGTGCCGCATCATTAATGACCGCATCATGGCTGTAAGATGTCCCAAAACTCAAGATTGATTTTTGTAGATTTAGAGAGTAACTCGCAAAACTTTTTAGGGCCCTGGACAGTTTTAGTTATTTCTTGTAGAACGCAGTTGAAAAAAGGTTGTGTTCGCTTTTTGAAATAACAGCTTTTATGTAGCTTGAGTTTATTTGATTAAACTATTCACACGATTCTGCTGACAGGAACCAAAAAACAGATAACAAACTGTGTTTTTAGAGCTTTTTTGAAAAAGGACTTTCTGTCATATTGCAGCAGCTGAATTGACAGAAAAAAAAGAAATAGTCTGCATGCATTTGAGAAAAAGTCGTTCCAGCCTGAAAATAAGAAGCGGCCTGCACTTTGAAGGAGAGGGTTGAAGGTAGAGGTGTCCCGATACAACTTTTTGACTTCTGATACAATACAGTTATTGTAGCCTTCAATATTGACCGATACCAATATTGATCTGATATTGGCACAAAATCGTGTATGACAAGTTTTCACTCAGCTGCAACGTCTTTTTCGGACTTTAACAAAAAATACTACCACAAGGCCTACATCACTCTTACTCCTTGCTAGTTTGTTAGTGCCTTGTGCACGCTGTTGTTGTGAGCTTGCTGGATCAGGGTGCTGCTAGATAGGGGTTCCGGAGCGGAGTCTGGAATGGACCGCTTGTATCGGAGTGCTGATATCGGAGATTTTAGATGCAGGCCGATATAATCCAACATTCGGTTTTTGCTGATATCGTACTGATATCAATATCGTATCGGAACATCCTTAGTTGAAGGTCAACATAAAGAACTTTTTTTCAAGATTGAGCATTTAAGATTACAAATGTTGATTTCTTCACAGGCTCATACAGAAAGTCAGTTAAAGGCCATAACTGCATGAGGCGCGGACTTGAAGAGTTATCGATATCAGTAAAAATAACCCAAATTTAAGTTTTAAAAAGGGGCAGGATGTCAAAATGTGGAAACAAAATCAATCTAAAAAATGTCAGCACAGCTCAGAATAGGTGATTTTGAGACGAAAGGTTATTAAAGAGAAACTCACTCCATCCTGATCATCGAGTAAGCTAAACTCAAGTCCACTACCCCTTTAAATGCCAAAACTAATCTCCTTTTTTCCCCGATCTTCTCCTCTTCTTGTTTTTGCAGGTGGAGAGGAACTTGCTGTCTCCCTATTTGTCCCCCAGAGAGAATCCTTTCCGCCACATCCTGCTGGGCTCTGGTCCTCACACTCTGAAGGGTCTGGCCAACCACCTGGACGCCCTCCGAATGGACACCCCAGACGCAGATGCCACCCTGTTCCGCAACCAGTTTGCCCTGGCTACCTGGACCCTTCAAGGCTGCGCCAACTCACTAGCAGGAGACATCTGGTCCTTGGATAATGAAATCTAAGACATGTTTCCTCCCTCACCTTCTTTCTTTGCGGTCTGGCCCTCTCACAGTGTGAAAACCAGTAGGCTGTGATGAATCACCAACAGTCACAGAAAGCACAGATTTTAAATTTAACTTGAGATTATTGAGAAAATGATAGAAGTGGAACTATTTCTTAATGTTACAGACATCACAGCCATCTCCTCTGCTTATTCAGTTCAGCTGCCTAAACTCCCATTGTTCCAAATTCACCACAAAAGCCAAACACTTCTGACAAAACACGCTCATTTTTTCGCCTTAACTGACAACAAATAGGTCATTCTCTTTCCCACGCTCATAGTCAGTCCTGTAATCATTTGAACATAATTTCATTTATTTTATAATCTATTTGAAGTGGCATTTTGAAATCTTTGGTGCTAGTAACAACTACCTGAAATGGCCATTTCAAGTGGCAGTATTACTTAAACTGGCACTGCATTATCAAAGAGTTGAATGTAGTGGAAATGACCTTTTTTCAGCACAGTGTCGTCCGGTCCTAACCTCAGGAAAAAGGCTGCGTTTGCCAGCTCAGACATCAACAGATCTCAACACAGCAGAAGGATATAATAAGTTAACACTTGTTTACCATTACTCTTACCGATCAAAACTGCTGGTATTTCCACTGCTGCTGGAGCCTTACACTCAAACCTGAGCTGCTTTGTGTCGGTAGCAATAATTTCGTACTGTGCTGAAATCTGCTGCTCAACTCGCTGTCAGAGATTCAGGAGCTCAATGAAAAGACAGAAGATACTCTTGTTGTGTTTCCCTGAACACACTTAGAGTAGATTTTGGACAATCAGCTAATACTTGGAACCATTTTTGGATTCCCAGTTACATGCAGTAATGATTTGTTAATGATCTGGATTGGTCACCTCCTGATATGAGAACAAACCTCTGTAGGCCTCCAAAAAACCAAGAGAGAAAGAGACCATGTGGCACTGAAACACAAACCGTACGTCTATTTATTGTATTATTTATTTATCAGTGACAGGGTTCACTATAAATAGTTTTTTTTATCGCCTTTTATAAATAAAAAAAAAACGATGTATAATTATCGGGAGCAGTGCCTTCCATAATTATGACAGTTATACTGTCGAAATGACGAAAGCAGCATCTGCTAACAGAGGTGTACATGTGGACCGACGGCCAGTACTGAACACAGAAACATCAGAAACCTCTCTCTGAGGTGACTTCCTTTAAACTGACACTGGATCGGCGAATATTTACTGAAAGCCTCTGTGCGTCAGTACAGGTCCTTGGTGCATGAACACCTCTTATCCAAGCATTATCGGGAGCAGTGACTTCCATAATGTGCAAAACGTAGAAGGTAGTTTTTATTCTACCAGTATGTGTCTGTATCGGAGGCAGTGCCCTCCATATTTCACTGTAGGGGTGGATGTTTTTATTATCGGGGACAGTGTTTCCCATAATGTTTGTATATACAGTTCCTTGCTTCACATCCCACATGTTTGCATCTGTAGGAGCCCTCTAGGCTGTTCCCTCGCCGTAGCTTCCACAGGTGGTGCTAAGTTTTTACTCGAGCTCTTATTAAAGCGACTCCTGTCTGTCTGCTTTGACACTGCATGACTTTAAAATTCCTCTTTGCCTCTTTTCAATCAAACATTAATCAGGTATGTCGTCTTTCCTTTGGACTTGACATGAGACAGGTGCAGAAGATCTTTGCTTTCAAGAAAATGTTACAGACATGAAAATGGCCTCTGTGGTCCCAGCTGCCTGGTCCAGTTCTTCCAGTAAAGATCAGTACTCTGCTAGATGGGTTTTTATTTCTGTTGATTTATTTACTGGGTGTGAGAGTAAATCCTGTGTTCTACTTTGATGTGTTCATTCATGTTCAGATATTTCGTTGTGCCTTGTTGTGTTTTGACTGCGGTATAGAGCTACATGCAGAAGAATACTTGTTTGATATGTTTTGAAGGATGTACCTTTGACTTGTTTTGTTTAGTTTTGACATTTCTGTTCTCTCTTTTTTTTTCCTGTTTTCTGCAAAAATCAAAAGTTACTGCTTTCAAAGCCTGTTATGACACAACAATTAGAGGAAAAATGACCAGTTACAGTATAAAAACTGACAAAGAAAGAAAGAAAGAAATCGTTGTTGAATGGATGTCAAAAATTACACAGCAGTTGTTACACTTGTTATTGTCTTTTTTTTAGCTGATGCTAAGCCTCCAGTTGGAAAAAAAGAATGTAATTGTTTTACTCTATGAAGAACTCAGAGAGACTTAAGTCCTCATCGCAGCGGTCGCTGGTCCGACTCCTGGCCTCGACCCTTTGCTGCACTTGAACCCCCATATCCCTCATTTCCCATCTCTCTTTAGTAGCCTTATCATTAAAGGCAAAAGTGCCCAAAAGTATAACAAAAACCAACCTTTTTGTAATGAAAACACAGGAATTGATTGATTAGTCTTTTAAAATTCATAAAACATGGACATTGAAAGTGTTTAATGTAACAATGCATTTTCCTTTTCAAACAGTAGAAAATGTGCTTAGCTTTACTTTTCTGTTGCTGCAATAAACAATCAGAAATGAGTCCTGGTGTACATGCCTCCTTCAGTTATATTTAAGTAAGACTGCTCAACAAGGTATTAATATGAGCTGTTTGGATATAAATTCATTTCACTGGCTATAAGACAAACTACAATGCATTTTCTTTACTCTCATTACTATTTTAATTGTACATTCTCAGGCATAAAAACTGTGAATGAACACATGGAATCGTGCTTAAGAAAAAAGTGTGAAATAACTGAAAACGTATATTTTAGATTCCTCAAAGTAGCCACCCTTTGCTTTTTTATAGCGCTGCAAACTTCGCTGTTCTCTCAATGAGCCTCATGAGGTAGTCACCTGAAGTGGTTTTTACTGCACAGGTGTGTCTTGTCAGGGTTACTTTGTGATTGGCAGAGTCAGTCACTCAGTACTTCTGTCATCAAGCGCAAAGGTTGGCCATTTTAAAGAAACTAAAATTAAAACATGTTTTCAGTTATTTCACACTTTTTTTTATAAGTACACAATTCCACATGTGTTCATTCATAGTTTTAATGCCTTCAGTGATAATCTACAATGATCATATAAAAAAATAAAGAGAAGACACTGATTGAGAAGGTATGTCCAAACTTTTGGCCTATACTGTATATATATATATATATATATATATATATATATATATATATATGTGTGTGTGTGTGTGTGTGTGTGTGTGTGTGTGTGTGTGTGTGTGTGTGTGTGTGTGTGTGTGTTTTAATGTCTAAAATCACTCAAAGGAGGTTCAGAGTGATTAGCTTTACATCTCCAATAGTCTTTCCTCTTGTTATACATCACAGACTCTTGAGCAGCACATATAACTGAAAAAGAAGGCTGAATTAAATCTCCATTATCAAGAACACAAATTACACACAACTGCTTTGTCCACCGAGGGTGTCAAAATCAAGACAAACCAAAAGTTGCTCACAGGAGCTTTAAGTCGTTCACTCTCACATTGTTACAGAGCTATTGTTGTTTGTAGAACTTTTTGAGCATTTCTGCTTCATTTGATCTAATTCCAACCTCAATTATTTACCTTAGTGTCATTAATACGAATGCAATCACGGCTATGCTATTGTTATTGACCTGTTGATTTAATTTGCCACAAATCAAGCTTAGATTAGTCTATAATCATTAACATGCTATTCCCGTAAAAAGTTCTTGCTCTACTATCTCTGGCACGGAGACCATACATCAGTATGTACAATTGTTGTTTGGCTCTATCCATATCTCTCTTTCTGTATCTCTCTAATAAGTGTTGCACGCATGTAGATGTTGATGGGATCAGAGTGGGTCTGATCTTGTCCCATCTTGTTGTTGGGTCTTAGTGTAAATATAACTGAAGGGTATGGTCTAGAGCAGCTCTTGTAAAACGTCCCATGATAACATTTGTCGTAAATTAGTGCTTTATTAATAAAGTTTTACTGATTGGTTTTGCTGTAAATGATGAAAGCCACAAATTGCTCCTTTTTTTGCATAAAAATTATGAATTCAATTTTGGAATCAAGGTTCTGCACTTTTTTCCTGCTTTCTGAAATCTCCATTTAAGACATGTATGTGTGGAGGCATAGCTCTATTAAATCAAACCTTTCAAGTATGCCAGTCTCAGTCAGAACACCCACATATTTGTGGTGTCAGATCTTGTTGTTTCTCACCAGTAATGCATGTTTTACCATTTAGGACTCTTTTGTTAAAGAACCTCACACTGACCAGAGATTTACACTTGTCATGACAATATTTGACCAGCTGATGGAGACAAAGTAAATCATTTGGTTTCATTACATTATCAATCTGTCTGCATGTTACCTTTTCCACTCACTTAGGTATAGTTACTCATGATACACATTTACATTTAAATTAGAGGTATGGAAAAACTGTTCCTGAGGGAATATGCAGCAAAACTTTTACTCAAGCTTGAAATTTAGAAACATAATCCAATTGATTTTGTCAAATGTGGAGTTATTTTTACCTTTTAGTGGATTCGATTGTAACTTTGATTTTGAATTATTCTGATTACCTAAATACTAAACTTTCCTTGCAGCTGGGGTCAGTGTAGCAACAGTGTAAATCTGTGACATGTGCCTTTAAGAGTGGGCTGACAGTTTGAATGTGTATCAGAGATGAAAGGGAAACAAGAGCTCTCACTTTGTCAAGGATTTCTGTTACAAATTGGGATCTCATGACTTCAGAATTAAAAAAAAAAACTGGAAATACTTGGTGCTAAAAGTTTGCCAATCAAACACTTTGTCACAGGCTTATAGAAAATAAGAAAAATTAACATTTCTTTTTACTGTATAAGCAGGGCCCAGACCAGTGCAGAACACATGGAATATAATCAAAGAGATTTTTGTTGTCCACTGTAATGTGAATGTCCCACAGACTCAAGTTACAAAAATTGAGCTCTGAATTTTTGCACATTTTCAAAATAGACAAAATAAAGGACATAAAGTACTCAATAATGTCTTCTTTTCAAAGGGGCAGAAAAGTCAGTTATTTGAAACCACTGTTGTATAGACATTTTTCAAAATAAAACATCAATGCACACAGTCTAATCACTGGAAGAGAGGTGTTTGGCAAAAAAAAAAGTAGTTTTAAAAATGCGGCATGGTTATGATAAGTACCATGATAGGGGTGCTTAAAATAATAAACTATACACGGAAACTATAATAATTTTTAAAAAGATTAATGAAATGATATATCTGTGTAAGATTTTAACTTTAATAACAATTCCAAAACAAAACAAAATTTAGGTATGTTTCATTGTGAATGTGAAGGTAACTAACTAACTAACTAACTAACTAACTAACTAACTAACTAACTAACTAACTAACTAACTAACTAACATTGAGTTCTTATTGCGTTCGTAGTTGTGGGTAAATGCCCATACTAAAGCCAAATTAATTCCCGTACTGTAGTGATCCATCTTGAGTTTCATAGACGATCTTTGTATGGTACAAAGACAGCACAGAACTGACGCCAGCAGCAGCCTCTGAGCTCAAACCTCTGTGGGACTCTGTCAGTCTCTGTGGTCCAGGACAGAACTGGCGTGCGTGTTAACTACTGAATACAGAGCAGTGCAAACTTTAGCCAGTGTCAGCCTCACTCACTTCATGTCAGAGGCCATTCAAAGCGTCACACAGTTCAGGACTTGGAAACTGATAGCCGGTTTGTTGGAGTGCTGAAACGCACCGGAACAGGAGGTGACAGCAGGTGACAGGCGCTGAGATTGACAGGTAGGCGAGCTCACTAAAAAAAAAAAAAAACTTCGTACACATGCTTTCATTTATCATTTCTGTTTGGAAGTGTTGGCTTCAGTGTGTAAAATAAAAGTGCATTATAGAGCAGTGGTGAAAACACCTGTTATATTTGTATTGAGGGCTACCATACAAGTTGGCAGAAGCCTGCTGGGCAGGTGCTGGGTTTGTTTGGGGTGTTGTGGTGAACGTGTTTTGCGCACTAAACTGTAATTTGGTCAAATGCAATATGATAGGTAAATACTAAAGCCTACTGTAGGGAAGCTTTCCCTTAAAACACTTGAAAAGTAAAAAAAAACAAAACCCATAAAACTTGTGATAGAACAGTTACAGCTTCATGTCAGACTTACAGTATGTGGTGGCGATGGAAAAATAAACCGCGCAGGTGAGTCAAATTAAACTAAGAAGCTTAATTATGTTTTACTGCAGGTGAGTTCACTTAAAATTTCGACCTTTTCCTGTCATTTGCTTCGTCTAGCAATATTTTCACGTACCTGTGGAAGAGGACAGCCACGTCTATCGACTCTTGGCTATAAAATGTAGGGTAGGAGGCACACAGACGCCTCCAAACACAACTGTAACCTCACATTTTCTTCAAAATTGGGTTCAAGTTGCAATAAACAAAAGAAAAAAGTCAGTGTATTTGAAGGCCTGAACATATTTGTGTCATCACAGAATTCTGCAGGTGACCTAAGAGGGTCCATTTGTGGGACTATGTGCAAATGGCGTTTTTTTTAAATTTAGGCTGGCCTGAATTTGTTTTCCAAAGACTTGTCTCAGCCGCTTTCATTGAGAGGACACATCAATATGATATGGTAAGACTTTATATTTTTTCTTTTTTTATTAATAGCTTCAATGTAGTTTGTGTAGTTGACTGGTTCGTATGGTCAGTATGGCATTATTCTGTAAATCCATTTAATGTACGTGGTTACTGCTTGTTAAAGTTACTGTTTTAAATATTCACCTATTTTTGTCAAACATATTTGACTGATGATAAACTGATGGTAAGACCCTGTGAAGACTTAGTTGTAGTTTCCCGGACACTTAATATACCAATATATCAACCTGACTCAATGTGATAACTGTTTTGCAAAATTATTTTTAATTCCGAAATTTCTTTCATGCTTGAAATACATTCCCCCTTCATTTTGACTTACCATGTCATTATGTATCATGAGTTTTTGAGTTTTGGTTTTGGTATAATAACCAAAACCAAAACTCACCTTTTGAAGAGGAATTTACCACAACCAGGGTGTGACTGTGTGAGTGAATGATTGTTGTATCCAGTGGAAAGCACTTTGAAGGTCTCTGATAAAGCGCTATATAAAATCTGATGCATTATTATTGTTATTATCATTATTATGTAATTGCAGTCAATGCATGATGATGTTTTTGATGTTTAGATAGTCTTGCAGTTCATTAATTAATTCCCGGTATCATAATTAAATTTTTATCATGGGTCGTGTTAGATGTTTTGTCATATTATAGGGTAATACGTCGTCTGTCTCTTGTCTTATTTTAAGTTTCCTCATGATTCTTAACCCAAGGATTAGCTCTGGGTAAGAGTCTGGGGTTTTTGGCTAAATGTCATCATTTGTAAATCAAAGTGTACTCACATTTATGTTCAGGTAATTTTTAAGAAACTCTCTCTCTCTTTTTTTTTCACTGGTATGAATTTGATTTATGACCCTTTTTTCTTTTAAAAAACAGATTACAAGGAAAGTCAACTAGAGTCACAGACAACTTCCCTTCAGAGTCTCACCTTATTTGACCTGTGCAGAGGACTCCCGTATAGAAATGTGACATATGTACATGTGTATGTGCATGGACAAACTTTATTTGAAATCAATTAGAAATAGGAACAAGTTCATATATGAACAAATAGGTATTTTAGGTTTTATATATTTATAAGACATATGGCCGACATCTAATTGTACATATTTTATATATGACATTTATAAGACATGCACAGCCTATTGTATGCCTATATGTATGACATAATTTTGCTTTGTATGAAAGGATCATCCAATGTATCCAATGTAAAGTGCTTTGAGGGTCTCTGATAAAGTGCTCTATGAAATCTGATGCATTATTATTATTATTATAGTTGACCATAGGAGACCACTTTTTTTGGCATGCTATATTATCAAGACAGTTATGTTTACACTCATTCTGTTGGTTTGCAGGGATGCACAACATCTTGAAATATATGCAGATACACTAATTAGAGACAAAACTATGATTGCCTTATGTGGTGATCCGAAATATGAAAAATGGCTCATCTTACCCCAGTCTCCCCTACTTGAATTTCTAAGTGTAACGTGAAAATGTTTTATTTTGAATATGCTGTAAACCTACATCTTTATATCCTGGAAATGTGATAGCAATAAATATGCCAGATTTGTAATGCATATGACAACATCTCTCCTGATACACAGACGTATATTTAATATATCACATTTCTGTTCAGGCCAGAGGATTGAGGATGAAGTAAACATTTTCAGTTTCACAGGTCTGCTTTTGTTCTGGCATGATCAGAAAATGAAAGCTGACTGGGCGTTCTTATTTATTTACCTGTGAGTCACAAACACTCAGCTCTTGGTGCAGACTGCAGTAACACAAAGGTCAGGTGATAACCTGTCACTTTTTAGAGTGTTCTCATGTACAGCAGCAGGTGTTTTTATTGACCAAGTAGATCAGGAAACTCCTGAAAACAGCACTCATAAGAGTCCAAGAAGTCACTACTCTCATATGCATTTCCGCTGCTCTGAATGTGTTTTCTGTCGTTAACTCGCTCTTTACTGTCTGTTTTATGCTTTTATGTTTTCAAGATGCTGAAGGCAAATTCCAATTTTATGTGCCGTTTCTGACAATGAAATTTGCTTATCTTATCCTTAAATAAATTGTAAAAATCGGACCATATTTTTTATACCTCAGTCCATTCCAATTACATTTGCCATAACTGGAATCGCTTTTGATCTGAATTAGAAGAACCTAAAGTTGTGCTGTGTCGAGCTTAAAACCGATGATAAAAAGCACCATAGACTGATATGACACATCAGTCAGTGCTGAAAATGTCAACATACCAAAAACTTACCCACAGCAAATTAAATGTGACACTGCGGCAGCTTATATAGATGCATACTTTTAGTGCAACTGTTTAAAGTCCTCCCTTCAGGTAGGCGTTACAGATCAGAGTACGCCAAAACCAGCCGACACAAAGACAGCTTCTTCCCCTGGGTCACAAAAAGACCACCGTAGCTGTAAATGACTTTTATAACTGTTAAACAGTTAATCAGTCCTCTCATCAGACACAGGCCTCTACACACTGTCATCTAATATTTATTTTAATGTTTATACTGTTAAAACATAATGTATGTTTACCTCATGTACATAACCCAACTGTTATATATCGACATACATTTTCACAACCCCTCTTCACTCCACTGCACTCCTCATTATTGCACTACTGTCTTGTATTTATAAGTTAAATGTCTAGTTCCAAGTTGTACATACTTTGTAATGGAAAGTTGTAAGGGCTAAGAAAAGTGTGTGTCAGAGGAAAATAAGTTAAGTAAAATAATTAAAAAAAAAAAAAAAAAAGAGTGGGCGTCTTTTAACCAGTTTAATCAACTTTTGTGTTGTTGTGTATTAAAGTCTTAAATTCTGCAAAGCTGCAGTGAGTACGTATAGATTAATATTTTATTTATTTTTTTTAAAGGATTTGCATCAACCAGGATGAGTAAAACACCTGCTCGGAAAATATGTGTTTGACTTCAGGAAAATGAAATATGCAGCCTGGCTTCATAGGGGCTCTGCTTGTTTCCACTTGCTCTATATCTCTTCTTCTTTCTCTTTAGTCTCTCTCCCGGTCTGTCTCTTACTACTTCTTTCTCTCTCTCTCTCTCACACACACACACATCTGTACACAATCACCTGACACACCTTGTGTTAGATACAAGGCCTGAAGGCAGCAGAACAAAGCTTTTGTCCTCCTCCAATCTGTCTCTCTCTTTCCCTCACAGACAAGAACGAGGGTAGTCGGTCACTGACTGTCAGTGATTTATCGCTATTGTACTTTCAGAGCAAAAATACACACACTATCCTGTATCTTCACTCCTCACACACCCACACACCTGTCCCATCACACACACACACACACACACACACACACACACACACACACACACACACACACACACACCTCTCGTTTGCTGTAACAGCTGTCATTATCTGTAGATCGATGAGTAATGCTCTCAGTTTTATGCTTGGCATTATGTAAGCCGTTTGCTGATAAGTGATTTTTATTGGTACAATTAACCTTAATGCTTGCCAATGTTGGACTATAAAATCAAATTGACCCACTGTCTTTTGACGGGGTAAAGTCCAGGTTACTGCCCAACAGCAGACTGCAGTTGAATCAGGTTTGTGTGAACATACCAGTCATTCTTAGAGATTTTGTTTTATTGTAGATTAATGCAAATGTTTAATAATTGTTTGGACACATTTTGACATTTAGACATGTTATATCTGGTTGGTTATTTTTAAATAGAGAGAAAAGATGCTACCGACCGTTTGAATGGGCACCCACTCTTGCGATACACCTGGCATACCTGTGTCTTTTGTTAAAAGTTGTGGTGGTAATGTAAATACAAAGCCTGGCAGTGATAGCGCTGACATAGTGAGCATTGTCAAATTAGCAGGAAAAGAAGCTTTATATTGAATCTTGCATCTCGAATCTTTTGGTCCAGTTTTCATTGCTAGACTAAATCCACATTTCAGCTCTGATCTCATTACTTAGAGGACGTTCCATTACTCACCAAAGTAGTTAAATAAGACTGTCAGTCATGAGACATTATTAAGTTAAAGGTAATTACTGACAGTGAGTCAGTCATGCTCTGCTCACTAAGCTTTTACTGAAGGATGGACGGACAGGCTGTGATCATATGACTGAGACTGGTTTTTGCTTTAGAGTTGTTGGGATATGTAGAGCATTTGTGATGTTTGTGTTTTGCTTTGTTTGACTGGAGGTCGTATGTGGTTTCATTTTCTGAATTTGCACTCTTATAAGAGTGTTATTTTTACTTGTGAGACATATTTTGTCTACATGTGTATACAAATAAACTTTGACTTGAAATTTTTGTGATGTTATATTCAGTGGAATTTCACTATAGTGTTGAGATCTTTATGACACACTGATGCTAACATGCTAGCTCTCACATCTTAAAAAACTATAGAAGATTTATGGAGCAAATTACATCTGGTGTGCAAAATTTTACCCTTCGGCCTGAGCTTTTTAACTGAACATATTTGATGTATTTTCTTAAGGTGACATTTTGAAAATAGAGGAGCAGAAAATCTTTGGAGCCACCACTCCTGTACTTGTCATTTCAATGCCGGGTGCTGGTGCTGAAGGTGTTTCCTCCCCTTGATGTTACATCATGTGATGGTTATACTTCCTAGAGAGCCTTTGTTAAAAACCTGGCCCTTTCGCCCCACATGTTTAGACACACCTCAAGAGATGTTTGAATGAAAACTATTATTACTGTACTTATCAGAATCTATTACTGAATGTGAATGGACATGATGGACGCACTGAGAGGAAGCTATCTGTTAGTGCTGGCACGTTGCCCAGCAAGCACTTAGCAATAGTGTCAAATCCAGGGAGTGGCTACTCCCAAATTGGATGTCCGCTCTGTGGGAGTGTTGCACCACCTTCCTGCTCAAGTGAAAATGCTTGAAAACACTTGATGACTCAGAGCAATTAAAGCTGTTTATACTGCCTATACTAATTTGCACTGTGAGTCAAAGTCAATAATTCAGGTTGACAGCCAAGGACAAGATGTTAATGTGTGCAGCGAATTTTTCAGCTCTGCTTCTAAACAATTTTAACATAAATGATAATGTGATGAGTTGTGATCATGTTTCTTTCCTTTCTATGAATACTTATATTGTCTTTATCACTGTTTGATGATTAGCAATTTGTATCTGTTTGACCTTTCCCTAATCATTGTTTATTTGTAACCTGTCTATGTCCTAGTTACTTTGTCGTCTGCACCTTATACTTTCTCTGCCGTGACGGATCTGGAACTTTGTATAAGCCTATAGGCTTTGTTCCCTCCTTGCACTGTTTTTAATCTGTGCTAAATAAAAAAAAAAGTGATACAGATACTAAATAATGTGCAAATCACATGGGACCATCTCCAAAAATAACAAGATATTAACAAAGAAAGATGTATTACACTAGATGCATCTTCAAGCAAAATTTGTTCACATATTGTTTATTCCTCTGTGCCAAAAAACACTTAAACATCGTGGATCCACATCCTTCACCAGGTGACATGATGATTGGTTAAAATAATCAGAAATGTATTTTCATCATGTGTAGTCTCTGTATTTGTGGCTAATTTGATGCATTTAGATATATTCTCCTGCCACTATTTTAATTAAAATGTGTATGAGTTTGTTTGTATGTCTGTACAGTAGACACTAAAAAAGGATACCATACAATTCAATACAATATGACTGATTTGATACAGTCAGCATGTACATCATTTTGTCCAAAATAATAAATAACTTACAACTGGATGAAAAACCCAGAAGAATTTAACTAAACTTCAACAACCAAACAAATTTGGGTATTTTTCAAGCTTAAACAAGGTCCACTGAATCTGTAAAATGTCCAGCTTCCTCACAAAGGACATTCCTCAAGTCACCACATTACAAGAAAACACACCAACTCTTCATACAAGTGTGTATTATTAAGGGAGTTTTTAGGCCACTACTTCAGGTCTTCCTTTTTTTTTCTAGGAATTTCCTGTGAATGGTTTAGCTTACACTAAACACAAGAATATATATTCTGAGTATATGTTTTTCTCTCTTTGTTCTACCCCTTTGCCTTTTCAAGTTTTTTACACTTAAAAAATTTAAAACATACAATTGAAAATAATATTTAAAAAATAAGAGGGACATTTTGTCAGAGAACTATTATCTTTAGTTTTAACTTTCAAACACCAGAATTTTGATAACTGTAAACATGGATCAGGATGACAATATATTGCCCCACTGATATTGTGTCCTTGCTCTTTGTTAGTGTATGAATTAATTTCTGTATAAATGTTAATTGGACGAGCGAGGACTACAGTACAGTGTAAGACAAAGACCATTGTAAGTGTTGAAGAGGTCCTGTCAAAGATGACACAATTCAAACGCTTCTTTTGGTCAGTGGTGTGATGTTGACTTCATCAGCATGGGGAGGCAGAATGAATGAAAGACTTTTCTGTTGACAGTGAAGTGCATGAATCAGCAGTGACTGTGCAATGGAAACTACAGGAGAGGCAGGCTCTCTATTCAGCCTGTTTGATTATTAGCTTATTCAAAAGACAAAGAGCTGGCAGACGGGATGAAGAGGTTTATGTATAAATGTTGTTTCAAACATGAATTTGGAAACACCAGCCTGCAGAAGAGGTGCACTGATTACTACTGATGTTTAAAATCTCCATGTAACTTGCAACAGTAGCTGAAACAGATTGTTTTTGCATTACCCTTCCATGATTTAAGAAGTTAAATAGATGCAAATAGTTTCCAGATCCTTTTTTAAAATCTCTTAAAATGTCTTACAAACTATTTGTTACTGTTCTGTCTCAGGGGCTGTAATATGTCATGACATGTCAACATCAAATTAGGGGAGTGTGATACTGACCAAAAATAATTATATTTTGAATTCATTCAATATTTTCCTTGAATTTTTGCTGCTGCTTATAAATCATGAAATTCTGCATTACTTAAAAACGGATGTAAATGAAAGCAATTGGTTTTATAGTATTAACTTCAGTCAGAGTCATGCAGTAAAATGCAATACAAAATACTGGAATCCCAAGAGCAAGGACTGAGATCAAAAAGTTCAAGTTCCGGTCAACCATTTCAAAATGGTCATCAAATTTACTTTTTCAAATATTGTACAAAAACTACCACAAGAGTTTTTGACTCTGATGTTTGATGCCGGAAGTTTTCTTCAGCATGAACTGCAGACTTCTGAAGCTTTTTGTATTTTCTTCACAGTCTGAGCGGTGGTTCATTCACAGATGATGAAACAAGTTAGTGGTCAAGCTCTCTTTATCACAGTTTCTTTCTAAACCAGTCTGCAGAGTGGCGTTTATTGAGCAACATCTGTCTCTTCAACCAAAACCATCACCACGGGGGATCCACCACTAGCAATGAAGTCTAATACGCTGTATGTTCTCTGTGTGCATGTAGTAGTCCGTCCTACTAGGCTCGATCATACTCAGTGGATGTGTGCAGATACTAAGATGCATAAATAACTTTTTTTGCCAAATAACGGTATTTTTGATATTATAAACAACAATTAAAATATTAGATAAGATGTTAGACAAAATACAACATCATGCACCCTCACATTCCAGTAAACCTAAGACAAGCAGTGGTACACGTGTGCATTAAGGTACTTTGTCTGAATCTGTTCCCCATTTTCCATAGAAATAGGTCTTCAATCAGCCTGAGCAAACACACTTGTTCTAAGGGTTGACAACATTGCATTGTTACTGCAACAACATTGACAACATTACATGTGCTTGACATTACTGTGTATGCACAGGACGCCCAGTGTCACTTAAGTAAGATTAAAGCACATTAAAAAGTTTTTTAGCTAGTTCCTTGTTTGATGCACATGTATCAGTATGTCAGTCAGTATCAGATGATCTGGCACACCATAGTCCTGTATTTCTGTAGTTTTATTTCAGTGTCAACTTCTCATGAGGCCCTTGAAATTGAAAACATGTCTCTTTGTTTACAAATGTTGGCTGAAATTCAGTCTTAAATGAAAGAATAGAAAAAGCTGAGGGACTTGCTCAATATGGGCGGATCCAAATGTTTGACTCTGACCACACTGAGTAACTCCCTCCCTGTATTGCACACTGTAGTGAGGGGCACTCAGTATGAAGTGGCCTCTGTGCTTTGTACACAGTGTTTGTGCAGTTTATTTCTGGCCTTTCTTATGCTCTCGAGGGACTGGGTGGTGTTTTTCTGTCTTCATTCATGTGCCAGGGTGGGGGCTGTGGCTATAAACTACCTTCTCCCAGCTCTGCCCACCGTCAGAGTTGTGTAACAAAAATGTAAAAACTGCAGGGGTCATGTGATGTGGCCCTCCGGCATGTTGCATATTGTTGTCAATAGGAAAAAAGGCACAGCTCCCTGTTTCAGTCTGAGCCATTAATGCATGCAGAGTACATATGTCAATAAATGAATGACATCCCATCAGGACTGTTTTACTCTAAAGCTAGCACTCTGTTAAATGTGTGTATTTGTTTATAGTCACAGTGATGAGCTCGGTGTCCCACGTGCTGCTGTTAAACCACGCACAGTTACATATGTCCTCTTTTTTTCTCAGAGACAAAGGAGACATTTGTTGTGGGTTTGCATGGAGGAAGAATAGCTTGGTGTTCCTGCTTGTTGTGAGCTTCTCTTCTGACACTGTAGGCTCCAGTCAGCCACTTTACTAGGTGGTGGGTGGACTGTGTCCTCGTCTGTCCGTGTGAATTGCATTGATTCATTCATACTGCCTTCTCCTGTGCTGGGCCCCTCAGGCATTCCTACCACAGCCCCCAGACCTGGTTTGGAACAATGTCAAGTCAATTCACATCCAGTACTGAAGGTTGTTTCCGGTTGTGGCCTACATGTAGGATATTGATATGCTTACATGGACTTCTGTGCTCTTTGATTTGGGGTTTTTAGGATTTATATCAAACGGTTGGGATTTTCTTTTGTGGCTGTAAAGTAGATCATCTAAAAGATTATATCCATCCAAGCACAACATTTTCATTCTTGGTTTTGCAAAGTTATCATTTAACAGAGAAATTACTCATCTCTGTGGTTGACTCTTTTTAGGTGTGGCTGGCACACCATTTGGTCATGTGTTAAAGTGAGTGTGGGTGGAAAGTTGTTGCTGAGAGTCAGGCTTCCTCTTCACTCCAGTAGTTTGAAGGTTTCATTTGCCCTGAAATAGAAAGACAGACATGACTGGAGTTAAGGGAAGGATAATGTATAGTGAATGGGTGGTTATGTATTTGAGAATACCAACAGGGCGAGCAGGACATGAAAGGGTCTTGGTTTACCCTGGACTACATTTTGCTGCTTATTACTTAACTATCAACTCAAGCTGCAAACAAGCTGACACAAAATAGTGATTTATTTCATTCATTGAAAACAATAATTCATACAGATGATTATTCATATGTGCCTGTGATGACAGCATATGCCCCTCTTCAACAGGCTTCAACATGCCGGCTGTATGGAAGTATTTTGAAGGGTCAGGAACTGACAGCAGACACATTTCTGAATGTCTGGATAAGAAAGAAAAAGAAAAAAACATCACTGATCAAATGTCATTGGTCTTTTTTTTGTCTGTTTTGTCCGTCTGTTTCTCGATAGTAGAACAGGAGCAACTTTGTTTTCCTGAGAAAAAAGGTGTGCTATTATTATTATCAACTTCAGTAATTGCTACAGTATCAGCAAAAGTACTTACTTTCACTTATGAGAAAAGTTGTTTCAAGGTCAACAGCTGAGTTTATGATCTTTTTTCTTAATAGTTAAAAGTGCTGCCCTGTCTCTATCCAAAACAACCATGCTCAGTTTCAGCCTGTATTTGTGTTTGAAATCGACCCTCGAATACAGTCCTGTCATCTTCTGATGAAACTCCGTAAACCTCTCCAGGGTCCCGGCCCTGACTAATCCTCTTGTCACTGTATCAGGTCTCTGTGGGTGAACAAAGACCCATGGGTGCTCAGTTTCAGTGGTTTAGAGAAAGTGAGACAGAGTGCATGTAAAGGTGGTTATCTATCTGACAGGGCAACCTCAGGGTATTTAGACCGTATCAGATGACAGAGTGATTTTTTTTCCCTCTTTGTTTTGTTCTTTCAGGAAACTCCTGTACACACTTCAGGGACTGTGTTGACCGATGGATGAGGATGAAATCATGTGAAGGTGTGCCACTTTGGCAGTCGGATGGACTTGTAGTCAGGCAACATCTCACCTCAATGGACTGGGGGCCTTGTCTGCACACGGTTGACTTCCTGCCATCAACCTGAGGGGAGTATCTACAGTGTCATAGCAGGCGCTGGACCTGAACCAGGAAAGAAAACCAGGTTCTTGTGACTCAAATATTGCAGGTAAGATAACTTTTTTTCCGTCGGGCCCTCTGTTTGCTTTTCTGCGTCTGTGAGTGAACTATGTAGACATGAGATCATGCTTAGCCGTGACTGTGCTCTCCTCAGTGTGGGGTGGTTTACACACCAGCTCACTTCATGTCTGAATGGGGACTATTCACCTCTGAAATGCTGAAGAGCAAATACCCAGCATGATGTCATCTTGGCTAACACTGTTGGTTTTTCTTGTGTGTGTTTGTGTAAGTTTAAGCTTTGCAGAAGAATAAAGAAAAGAGGAACATTTACGGAAAATGTTCAGGTTTTATGGTGTCTTTGTAGATCAACAGACGACGGTTCTGGTTGTGTATTTCCTGTTTCATCAGACTTGTGTTTGTGTATCTATAAGGGTCTGTCACATCTATGATTTATTTATTTTCTATTTTTGGACACAGTCACTGGATAACAATTCGTAGCTCACGATGTAGAGTGGGAGGAAGTGAGAGTCAGACTTGTTGCATTAATAGAAACCCCTCTGTTCATGAGGCACAAACAGACCCACGCACAGGATGCAGTTCAGCCAGACTCCCAAACAGGTGTCTGAAAGCTTCAGTACACAGAGAAATACTTTTACACTTGCTGTTTTAGAGCTGAAAGGAAGTGAGAGTAAGAGGCAAAGACTGTGCTTATAACACCTTTACCTGTGAACTCAGCCACTGAGCCAACATGACCCACTGTGAGTGCACAAATAACTTGATTTAAAACACCATGCTATATCCAGAAGCTGCAGTAGTTTACTTTAGTTGTAAATGGCAGATCATCAGTGTTACAGTTGTGCCCAGTCTGAATGTGTTTTGACATCAGCAGGGTTAAGGACACATGGAGTGACTGTGATTGTTATAGATGCTTATTTTACAGCACTGTTGAGGTCAGGTCACACCTCCTTCTTTGCTTGCTGTACTGTCTGAATGAATGACTTTCAGTGTCATGATGAAATATTCGACCATAATGCTCAGCTTAGGGGTGGATGTGCACTCAATTCAAGCTACTGTGAGGAGCTGGAATTAACATTGGTGCCTCTACATGATCTGTAAAGCAAATGAGACTATCAAGGACAAAATCTCTGCCTCTGGACTGAAGTTTTAATGCCTGTTGTCACTGCCTGAGGGCAGGAGTCAAGCAAGATCACTGATGGCATTTAGGACCAAAAAACCCCTCCTCATACATTTTCAACAGCAAATATTCACACTGAGTGTTTGATTCAACTATTACAGACAGGGAGGAAACAGTTTATGACAAAACATGACAGAGTTAAATCAGTCTGGAGAGAGGAGGAAGAGCTTTATGGACACAAACTGAAAGTTCCTCATAGGAGCTTTAATAATTTCTCCTTGATTATAGAAAAGGTAACCGACGTGTATTTCAGCTTCATACCCCTGCTACTTCCATTCAACTGTATTTCATGTTAAATATTTTAATTTTACACCACTTCTTTAATTTAACAGCAGAATATTATGCACGTTAAATATGCTAAAAACAAGACCATCTTGCTATATCTAAATCAAAGCAGCCATCAACACACCATCTGCATTTCTTCCCACAGAGTAATTACTCTAAAAACAGTTGAATAAAATAATAGTGTTGCAATTTGTGTAGTGCTTCGTTGCAATTTTCTCAGGAGTTTGTAATAAAAGATTTTGTAAATAAATTATGTTTTACGTGATGAGTGCCTTGATGAAGAGAAAGTCTAAAATTAGTGTCAAATATGAAATGTGTGTTTGTATTCACTCGTTGGAAGCAGCAAAAGTTTCTCCTGATTTGTATAAAGTGATATATAGACACGATGACTCATGAAGTATTTGAGCAATGCGATCATTTAGAGAGACATCATCATTTTGTGTTATAAACTTAACAGCTTCACTCAATGACTGATTATTTTACCCTGATTATTTCAATCGATGGGAGTTTACATGGCATTAAACATGCAAGAAATACCATGTCTATAGTATACCGGGAGTTGTAACACACAAGAGCAAACATTTCTGAGAAGAGATGAAATTTTACTGTGCTGTGATTCCTTGTGGGACACTCAGAGACAGAAAGTTTTAGACAGTGAGTGCAGAAATCTTAATCGCAGAAACATTTCCTATGTTGTGTTTGTAGAGTTGACTTTTAATCACTGAAAGGAGTGAGAATGAGGGGAGGCTGTTGCTTCAAATTTTAATGTGTGAGATCAAGAAAGTGAGATCTCCAAGGTTAACTTATCAGCCCTTCATACTGATGATATCTGCCCACGATTAAGTTCCAAGAAATCACAGCAACTGGAAAAACATTTAAGAGAAATTGATGTTTCTACAGCTGCTCTGGCCTGAAGTTAAAAATGTAGGTTGAGTCCCTGCATTTGCCAAAGATCCCACATAGGGCGTGTCCTGCAAGGCCCTCAAAATGAAAATTTTAGCAAAAAACTCTGGTAGTGTGCTCGTTCTTCAGAATTTAGACTAAAAAAACTGATAATAGGAGAGAAAGGTAGACAGAAAGTATGAGGATGGAGAGAAAGGAGCTAAAAGGGAGTGAGGTTGCGGAAGTGAAGCTCCCAGAATAGCAGCAGTGAGTGTGCTTTTTGTGGAGAGTGTCTCTGAATGCTTGGAGGGCCGCAGGGGCCCAGACTGACAGAGGAGAACTCAGAGGAAAGAGAGCCTCTGGGAGTCAAAGTGTGTGTGTGTGTGTGAGAGAGAGAGAGAGAGAGAGAGGACAGTGTTATTTTAACCCTGAACTTACATCCGGCTGTCACTCTGAACCCCCCTGCTGCTCCAGTCTGCTGTCTCCTCGGTCAGTCTACCTGCAGATCAGCTGTCTTTTTCACTCCTCCACCAGCTCTCTGCTCTCACCTGTACCTGCTTTTTTTCACTGATAATCCTCTCTCTTTTTTCTCTTCCTCACACAGATACACAGGTATCTCGTTACCGGCCCCCCTGAGGGCTGGCATGCTGTCTGCTGCTTCCGGGTGTATTGTATGTTGGCCGTGTTGTAAATGCCTCAGGTTTCCTGATTAAGTGACCCTGTAATAGATCACCTAGTGACACAGCCACGGCCTAGAAAACTGAAACTCCCCAACGTTTCTAACTCAAGCTCTACTTAAAAAAATAAGTGTTTTTAAGAGCTGCATGATGAATCATAATTTTCATCCTCATGGCAATATATGAGCATTCATTATACACACAAATATATCTCAATGAAAAGAAATACATGTCAACTTTGCATTTTACCTCTTGAATGGAGGCCTGTGTATGGGTAAGTGCTGCCACTTCTTTTTGAAACATTTAGGTGAAGCTATTTGTGACCCTTGGGTTATTTTGGGCTCTTTTAATGATTAAAAAAATACTTTTGGATTTTTAGATCATGTGTAAAATATTTGACTAACAATTGTGCTTTATGCCAGTATTTTAACACTGAACTCTGTAACTTTTTGGCATTAGTTTGTCCTTAATAAAAATAAACTTATAAAGTGGCCCCTCAGTCATTCTTGGAAATGAGCAGCCATGTTGATCATCTCCTAAACCATCAAATCCCGCCCCAGCTTCACACCTTTGACTTAAGAGCTATGGACAAAAAAGCCACATAGACTGTAATATAATGCTAAAAGTCTGTATTATATCCATAAAAAAACATCCTCCATGCTGACCTGATATGACCTTTTCATTTTGCTGCTCCTGTGAAATAAAAGCTAACATTAACAGGAACAGATCATCAAGGAATACATGTTTCCCCATAACCAGTATTGCGAAACCTGTGACAATCAGCAGCTATGTGTTGTTGCATGATCCATGCTGTCATCTTGTCAAACCCTGTACTGATTTCTCGAAAACATCAATCCAGGTCAGCTGAAAGGTTAATGTGTGCGTAGATCCTCCGACATGCTGCTGTCTAAAAACTCCTCAAAACTCAGGCCAGTTTGTTTTTTCTCTTAATGGCGTTCATGTTGTTAAATCTTTTTTTTTTTCATTCTTAGTGAAACATCTCTTCAGTTTGTTGATGAGCTGTATTTTTGTCCCTAACATCTGAAGTCATTCTCTCACACACACACACACACACACACACACACACACACACACACACACACACACACACACACACACACACACACACACACACACACACACACACACACACATGGCAACAAGGTACAGTGTGTATTGTTGTATCTCTTATCTGTTGTAACTCTGCTCACTCCTTGTGGATCGAGGGGACCGGAAGAGCAGCTTACACATTGACCAGGCACACTACTACACACTTACACATGCACACACTCACACATACTTACAATCTAACTTCCACGCACATACACAAACACAAACACATACCTGCACACCACTCTGGGCAGTGATGATGCAATTTTTGCTCTCTTTCTGTCAGGCCTTGGGGAGTGCACATCACCGCCCACACACCACATAGACACACACAAACACACACACTCAGGATCTGTCATAAATGATCCATGTTGAGTTCTAAGTGTGAAAGTCTAGATACTTCCTGATATCTGATAATGTTGTCAAAAATAACCGCTTGCTCATATAAGTGATGTAAAAACATCTGTTTCAAACTGTTTCTTCATAATCTATAAATTTCGTCGTGTTAAATCACTGAGGATTTCTGAGGAGGTTTTCATAGGACTCACTTTGCCCTGTATGCTGTAATAATCTTAAAACACCATCTGTCAGGCTGTGTCAGAGGCCACGGTCAGCATGGAGAGAGAAATCATTAAGCTGGCATTTCACTTTTTCCTCATGGCCAACCAGAAGGATAAACACAACACTTGAGTACACGCACATCAGTCTGAGGGGGGGACATCTGCTTTTTCCAAAAATAGATGAGATTACGTCTCTAGAGGCTGCTGACAGACATTAAAGAGAATTATTAACATCTGACCTGGCATCAGTCTGAGCAGCAGTCTGCAGCTTTTTCTCATTTTTGATGTTTAACTTCAACAGCATAATGTCCTCCTCTAGTTTCATCATCATGCTCTCATAAAGATAAACAGTTTTGTGTCCTAGAAATATGTTTTTACACTCACGCAGGTCTTGAAAAGCAACATGTCCACCTCTGTCAATACACTAACATGAACTTTAGACTCCCTCTGAAAAATGTAAACTGTTATTTGTGAAACACTTTTTAAACATTTAAGGTTTATGTTAGTTGCTTATATCAGGCCTAGTCCAAAATATCAGGAAGTGTAACCTTCTTTTTTTATTTATTTGTTTGTTTGTTTTTTATAGCAAGGACAGACAATTAACGTCATCAGAGGAAAAAAAACAGAAACAGAAACAAAACTGTAGAAAATGTAAGTTTTTCCTCTCCCTGCCTCAGGCTGCCCCCTTGTGGTTAGTTTGAGAAGACAGATGCTGACATATAGAAGTCTGTTTTATTATGTTTATTAATTATGTGGGAATGTGCTGCTGCTTATTAAGGCTTGCTTTACCTTTTTCAAAGGCTTGAGAGTTAAAAAATTACAGCTTTCTAACAAATACTATGAAAAGGACCGTATTTACTCCCTTTTAGAGTTCTTTGTGACCTGCTGCTGCTTGCAGATAGAAATCAGGAAAGAGTAATATATAAGGGGTGATGAACAAGATTTGGTGTTTGAATAGACAGAAGCTTCTTTTAAAAGGGTCTGGGATGTTTTGGGATGTTAAAAACGTGGTAATTTTTAGGTCTTTGGTTTCTTATGTGTCAGAAAAGCACTCATTATTTAATGTTAAATATCAAAACTTGAATGTAGTGATGCATGCAAGAAATATTTGCATTAAATAGCTTTACAAATAGTTTATGTCAGAATCATATATACGATTATTCCGGTGTTGAAAGCTCTGTAAGGAGTTTTAAACAGGTTATAGGACTAATTGGAATTAATGGTGGTGTCTACACATAATGTCTAAATACAAACAAGATGGTCAGCGTCAACACTGATAGTTAAAATATTGTTATTTTGAATTCTTGTGATCAAGCAAGCAAACTGACAAAAGAGACTTATTTTTACATTTTATTCATGACATATGAAGTTCACTCAGCAGAGCAAAAAAACATTCAGTTTCTCGAATCTCCACTTCAGGCTGGTAAGTGGCTTCAGCCATTAGTGCATGAACATGTGTGAATTTATTGAGTGCAACATGTTGTGTGAAGCATTTTGTGGCAGGACCAGGAGCATATGATAAAAATGGATTCTGTTTACAGTCATGACTTTGTTTGAGTTTTTTTTTTTAATATACAGCGTTGACTGGAGGACTGTGATTTAATAGGTCTGTGCTGGTATAAGGACAACCAAGTTGGCATGTGAGCTGAGGGTGTGAATGAGCTAGTGTAGTCAATGACAGCTCAATGTCACCACACACACACACACACACACACACGCACGCACACACACACACACACACACACACACACACACACACACACACACACACTCACACTCACACTCACTCACCCGCACACTAACACTCACAAAGCCCCTGGCACGTTGTGTGAGCAGGCACCCAGATGGCATTGAAACACAGAGGCTTTAGCGTCTGATGATTTGAATACCTCCTCACCCGTGACCTTGGCACAGACGCACATACAGATTAAATGAAACAGTGGGACCCTCATCCCGTCCTCCTGTCCCCCTAATCCTGTCCCCTGTTACCCCACACAGCCCAGTGATGACCCTGCAGGTTTTAGATCACCCTCTTAAACGCCACCTGTTCATCTAGGAGGAACGGGGGACACTGGCTTACTCGCACATACAGACTCACATTGGCCTCCAACACTTCTGAGAAAGACAGCATGAGAGCGAGAGGATTATAAAGCTTGCAGATCTATCCATCTCTCTCTCTCTTTCTGTCACATTCAAACACACACATTCATCCCCTCTCACACACAAATCTCTGTCTACAGTGGATTTGTTCAGCGTGCCTGTGCACCTCTGATTCAGCAGAAGTGGAAATCTTTCTGGGAAAGCAGAGATGAGGGAGGATTTGAGAAGGATAATATTCCTTCTGGCAGATCAGTATGAAATATTGTGTCTTCTACAGTAAATGGAAACCATTAAAATGTTTGACCCAGTGCCAGACTGTGATTGATCCTGACTGAGGCTGCTGCTGCACTGGGAATGAGCCCTCTCACAATCGAAGCATTTTCATTTTGGGTTACAGTTTCTGACTTTCAGCTCGGATTAAGAGCCAGGTGATAAGAAATCTTCACAGAGGATTTTCATGTCAATAGAAATATTAGGCTTTGAACATTTGTACTCAGTAGATGAACTGAACAATCTATCAGATGACAGGATGACGGCCCAGATTGATCAGTTTTTTACACACCAACCAACATCCAACTTTTCCAACCAGCATTGTTGAGCTGCTGCTGATGAAACAGAATGACTGATGTAAACAGGAGCACCAATGAGCTTCATTTGAGACTAAGAAGTACTACAACAAAAAACTGATTGACCACTTATTAAAAGGTTAAATAACTGTCAGTATCAGCGCCTCTATTTTTTGATAAAGTGGAAAGTATTTTGTTGGCAAAAAACAAATTTTGTAATGAACATCCAAAATCAAATTGAAACAGTTGCAACAGATTTACAGAAGAAAAAGAAAAGATCAACACTGAAGAAATGCCAGAATAAATCGCTCACATTCAGTATACACTATTACAGTCAGTATATTCGATATATCAATCATTAATCAAATTTTATCTATATAGCACCAAATGACAACAGTCATTTCACAACAGTCATTATCCCAAGACGCTGTCCAAAAAAGAGCTCACTATGTTTAATGTGCAATTCACCTGGAAAAGAAGTGAATACTTTCAGGCCAAGAGCACACTCTCACCTCTTTTGGGTAAACAATTAACGTCCAAAAATTAAAATTCTCATCTATGAAAACTCTTTCTAAAGTTTTTAGGAAAAACAAGTTTACCTACCTTTAATTTCACTTGCTTGAACTTTTCTGCACCCATTTTCATAGCTGGAAATATAAAGTAATGTTTAGTGGCTAAAAAAGAAAAGACATTAGATTTCATCAGACTGGATATTAGATCTCAACACCTTATTTTTTTCATCATTTCACAAATTTTATGAATTGAGGAAAAATTGAGTATTTGGTGCTCCAGCTTTAACACATTGAAAAATGATGTGAATGTCTCAGTTTTTGGAGAAATAATGTTCTCTTCTGTTTAAAGTTTAATGAAGAGTTTAAGAGTTGCAGAAAAAGTCAACCAAAACATCAAACAAGTTTTTAGAAATCTGAAGTTTTTCAGCAAGAAGAAAAAAGGAGTTACTGGGCTTTAAGATGAGGTAAAAGCTGAAAAAATGCTGAAAGGGCCAATGTAGTGTTTATTCACCGTCCACACCCTGACCACAACTCCACTCGCCTCCTCTGTGAGTGATGATGATCTAACTCCTTCAGAGTGTCCACAAGACTCTGAGATCAGCAGTCATTACTCTGCGTTTACACTTCTTTACATATGGTTTGTATGCCTCCTTTCACCCTTTCTGAAGTGAAGTCATTGCTGAAGTCTGACCAGAAGTTATGGCTGGTACTGTGACCATAATCCACAAGAAGAGATAGTTTTTTCTTTTCGGTAATTGAAATTGTAAGGAGTCACTCTTAAAACAGGTCTGTAACCAAGGATTAGACCACTTAGGTTAGCTCGGTAAACAGACTCTTCAAATTTATAAATTTATTAGAATATATTGTGAGCAGTGAAAAACAATTTATGCTAAACTTCAAAATATAAATAGTAATTTTACAGAGTAGATTAGAGTAAAAGCAACATTTGTATAATGTCTGTCATGGATTTTGAGGGTTTGGGGCTGTAATTAATTGTAGTATCGTCTACTTTATAAAAAAATATATAGAAAATATGGATTATAAAGTGGGGGTGTGGTGTGGCCTTTTTTTTTCTATTGGAAGAATAAAAAAAAAAAAGATCAATTCCTGACTTCATTCACACATAATCTGTGTATAATATCTTTAGCCAGGAGCACAGTTTCAGTAATTTAAAAGTTAAGCGTCAAAATCGTAAGTGAAATATCTCTGCTGAATTTTTGTACATAATGTAACAGAGGAGGCACAGAAGCAAATATTTGATGGGCCAAAACCAGAATTTCTGACAATGTTGCTGAAATTACAACTTTAGAAATTGATGACTACTATTTTTTATTTGTTACATGGAACCAGAAACAACAAATATATTTTTTTACAATCGAACTTCTGTTGCCTTAATTTTCACAATAAAAAAAAACAAAAATATGACTCTTTACTTTATACGTAGTATCCTGATGTTATAATGAGCTGCGACAATAGCTTGAATATTTGATTAAAAGTAATTGCCACTTCTGTGGTCAAATAATGTTTTAATTCAAATGTGTTTTTTTTTTTATATGCGTATAGCTTTTTTTATATAGTAAAAGAAAAACACTTGAATGATCACAGAGAAATTTAACTCTTTGTTCTTTGACATTATATTAAAAATTATGCAGACCCACTGCAGGTATCAGGAAAGTCTTTAAAAAAGGCTGCGCAAATCCTGTATATAAAGGATGTTACAGTTGACTGAAAGTCTCCTTCTCTCTCTCTGGACCTGATGATATTTCCATCCTCCATGCCTCACATCAGAAGTAGACATCAGGGACTTTGTGCAGCTCCTGTGTAAAAGCTTACTACTGCCCACAGAGCCTGTGGCCTGCCCACCAACAGTTGTAAAGAGACAGCAGTGACCCCAGGGTCCCGCTTCTTTGGGTCTGTCAGGACTCTAAACGGTCTCTCTGAGGGAGGGTTTAAATGATGTTTGGGCCCAAACACAGGACCGGTACACCCACAGCCTGTCTGCTCTGCGTCTCTCTGCTCTTCATCATGTGCACAGAGAAGGCGTTTACGTGTTTAACAGGCTCGCCTTTACCTTCCCCCTGACTCAAGATGGCTGATAACTGAGGGGTCCAGGGTCAGAGGTTAGCGCTCCAGTAGGTCAGTGGAGGAGATTTTCAGGTTTGTTGAGGAGAGTTTGTAAAAAAAAAATACAGTAGTCGGCAACGGTACAGGTCATTGCAGAGGGGCCACTGTAAATGTGTTTTTTCTAAGCCCAAATATATTACTGAACTCTTTTCTGCAAAATATTTCAGTTATGTTAAAGCTCAATGCATCGATATCAAAGTTCACTTGGAGATAATATTTATGACTACAAACTGTAGTACATACTTTACTCTATTCAGCCAAAACAGGGATTGAATATCCTTTATGCCTTTCCCATCTCATTCATTGATTCATGTGAGAGAATCTGTGAGTAAAAGGAAATATTCACGTGGTAATTTTTTACAGACTGTATACAGTGATGTACAGTCTGTAACAGAGCATGTTAATTTCATCAGAGGGAGGCAGTGGGCAGCAGCAGTGACCCCACATGACTCCACAGATCGGCCCCGCTCCATTTATCATGGCCTCAATCGGCCAGGAAGTCTACGCTGTCTGTCTCTGTCTCTTTACCCTGCTGCTCTCTGGAGGTTTGTAACTTAAATACATGATTTTTAAAGCAGGGTTGCACTGTCTATGCCTGATGTGTCTTTCTCTGTTGTATATTACATTTTCTCTTTCTCTTTGAATGCTTGTAGTGGCTTATACGAAGTCGCAAATGTTATTCGTAGATACAAAATAAAAATGTTAATTTAGACTAACTGATTAGTCTAATGATAAGAAAGCACTTCGGAAACAGTCAAAACTGAGCAGACCTTATTTAACACGGCTAAACAAGGCATCAAAGAGTCTGTTAGCAGAGGGAGCACCACCAGCTTCAAACCCTCCGTCAAGGTAATGTCCTCATGCTTGTGCTGGTTCCACATCGAACACGTCATGTTGGCACAGCCTACAGACAACTTAAACTCAATTTTCTTGATCAAAATATTAAAAGATGACATCGGCATCTGTGCTTGTTTACATCTGGATAGTAGAGTATCCTAGTGTCCAGGCACTAGCCATTAACCAGAGCAACAGCCCAAGCATGAGGCAGGTGTCTGCACCACACAATGGCTCAAACACAACCAGCATGACCAGCTATTTTTGCCTAAAGTCTGTGATAAAATATTGATTAATCTATCTTAATAGATAGTAATTCTGTTATTGATAAGCAAAAGTGACATTGTGAAATAGTTTAGTCGAGGGATGGCCTCCTGTTGCTGTATAATAAGTTATAGATTGAAATGAATAATTTTGAATTATATTTAGACTAATGCTTTAATATAATCGCTAAAATGATTATTGTGATTTTGATCAATGTTGAGATGATAAATATTAACCACAATTAACTGTTAATTTAAGGGATGTTTTTGTCCTTTTTTTTATGAATGCACTGTATCATATTTGCATGTGTCTCATTTAAGGTGTGACTGAGGTAGAACCTCTACCTTGGCATAAATAAGAGCTTTGACTTAATGTCTATGGTAATGCAGTTAAACAAATAATTTTTTACTTTTTTGTAATTTCCTAGTGTGGTACCAAGAAGCAAATAATCTGAGTTTGCATGCATATTTATCACAGTACAGGCCATTATTCACCAGTTAGCACTTATTAATGCTGCAGATTTGCTCCTCATGCTCACGCAGTCCCTCTGCTTTCCTAACACTCATAACTGATCCTCCTGCTATCACCATCAACAACAATCAACGAAAATCAATGAAAATTTAGATTTGAATGTATAAAATGATCTGTTGATGAATAGTGTTGATAGAGTGAGCAAATGTCTAGAAAAGAAGTTGAGAATTGGGGTCAATAGAGAAATGCCCTTTTTTTTAAATGCTACTTTCAATCTATGACTACTTACCCGAACAATTTTCTATGAGTCAAGTACATATGTTCATTATGATAGTATCCTTTTAGTATTAGGAGTATCATGGTCAAGACGGGCTCTGTTAAGCTGTGATTATAACTCTTTTTTTTATTTTAAGGGCCTAAATCTGGACAGGGAACAGTGTAGCTCTGCCATCGTTGGCCATATTCCCTCAGACAGGATTCTCCAGGGGGCTGACCTGACATGATATGGGCCTCGTGTTGTAGTAAGAGACGAGGAACAACACAACAACTCACAAAAAAAAAAAAAAACAGAACAGGAGGAGTTAGCCAATGAGATTGTAGCAATTCATGTAGGGCTCATTTATGGAAGAGGACATTTGGCTGTGATTGCTGCCAATGTCCTCAATTCAAGCTGCAGAGACATAGGCCTTTGTGCTCTTTGCATGCTGAGTATTTCTGCGTGTCATTTTTGTGTAGAAATATTTGTCAGCTGATGTGCGTACAGTGCTTTTGTGTGGGGTTGGGGTATGCGTGTGTGTGTGTTTACAGTGCAAGATTGCGTGCCGCTCTCATGTGTGACAGCCGGCCTGCAGAGGAGCCGAGGCAACAACAGAGCAGAAAGAAAGCAAAAAGTGAATGTTGCTCAGCCGGCTGCGAATAAGAGGCCTGAGGACATCACCAGGACCAAAACAGAATCTGAGGGAGAGAGAAAGGGGGAGAGGAAAAGGGTGGTGGTGAGAAAGGAGACAGGATACAAGATGATGGAAGTGAAGAGGATGGAAGAAGGAAAGAAGAAGGAAGACTCAGGAAGGACAGAAGTAGGAATATGGAGGATTGAGAGGCAGAATGAACAACAAACTGAGTGATACTGTCACCTTTGTCACTAATACTTAAGAAGACCAGGTCATTTCTCTCACCACACACACACACACACACACATACACACACACACACACACACACACACACACACACACACACACACACACACGCATTGTTCTTTTATTCTATTTCTCCCTCCATCCAGATGTCCACTCAGCAAGGATCCAGATGGCCTGGATAGTGAAGAGGTGTTTTTGCATTATACACACACAAATACACACAAAAATACACACACACATACACACACACAATGCAGCATGGCTATGTTTTTTTCTCCCTCTCACGGGGAGGATTAACTCTCCTCATTAGGACTCTCCCGTCCTGTCCCTCCCCACCCTCCTCCCCCTCATTCCCTCCCTTCCTCCCTCCTCTTGTCGGCCTGTGTCGCTCTCATTGGCTGCTTCTCCCAGGACCACCGCTGACTGGATCGCTGTAACGACAGGGCACAGGAGAGCAGGGAGGAGGTGGGAACCAGTTGATGTTGCCACGGCAATAGAGGAGGCGACCACTCATCAAATCACTGAGCCGAGGCTGAAAAAAATCAAGTGGAGGGGCGCTGAAAGCGGGTTAGGGGGTGAGAGAAAAACAACAACAACAGAGGAGAAGGATTAGGCATCCGGCGAGCAATCAGGAAGTCCATTTTGAATGAAGCAGCACCAGATATCCTCCTATACTGTGGTCTGTGGGATCGTCACAGTGGAGCTGACAGTTTGATGGAGAGATGTGTGGGAGAAAAACAGACAAACAAAAGAAAAGATGCAATAAAAGAGGTGAAAAATAAACAACAACAACTCAGAGCTGGTGTGTACTCCCCTGCATGGATGCTGAAATGTTTCACTCCTGGTGATGATGAGTGAGAGGAGGTAAGCAGGCTGGAGTGCTGCCTGAGGCACAGGAATAGAAACAGAAAGAGAGAGAGAGAGAGAGTGAGAGAGAGAGAGAGAGAGTGTGTGAGAGACAGAGAGAGAGAGAGAGAGAGGAGGGAGAGAGAGAGGGGAGAGAGAGTGGCAGGCAAAGCGGGATGAGGGGAGCATGCGTCAGCACTCAGGCAGCCAAGGAGAGAGAGAGAGCGAGAGAGAGATAGTGACAGCAGAGATGAGCAGAGCGATGGATGAGAGAGAGCGAGACAGAGATTGAGGGTGGAGGTGATTACCGTGGCGTGAGATGGGACGACAGAAATAGAGGCTGCTGTATTTGTCACCCCCGGTGCCACACCTCGACTGCATCAGCACAGCGCTCCATCCTGACTGCAGCAGCAGCTTCCACAAACAGGACTGTAAAGATTTTTATACATTCATTTGGAGGGATCTCCTTCACACCTGGGACTCTACAAAGAGATTAAATCAAGGACAACGTGTGCATGGGACTGTCTTTCATTTTCTGTTTTCTCCTGTTGAGGATAAAGCCTGCGTGCTCACGGCAAAGAGAAACAGGATGAATTGTTTTCTGCAGCTGGCCAGAGGAATGAATCACTAAATCCCATTTCCATAAAGATAAGCACTTGTGTTTTTACAGGCTGGTCAGTCAGTGAATGCAGCTCTGTTATCACTGATTGAAATGTGGAAGTCATTGTCAGGCCATTTTTAAGGAGAGCTGACTCAGTGAGGAAGACAATGAAGGTGGGAGTATCGGAGGACCCTCAGCTGAATGATTTTGAATCCTGTGCTCAGAGACGGGTCACTGTGCCGGAGATAATGCAGTGATATGCAGAATTCAGCATAAACATCGGAGCAGGCCCACTGACTGACTGACTGACCAACTGACCGGCTGACTGACTGACTGACTGACTGAGTGGGCTGCTGAAGCTGTGGCTATCTGAGGACTCTGAGGACACGCAGCCTCGAGCAGGAACCGGTCGAGTGCATGAGCTCCATCATGGGGGAGACAGCCGAGTACCAGCGGCTGCAGGACACGTCAGAGTCTGATTATCAACGCCTGCCCAGCGATGATGAGGAGGTACATCTCCAGAGTTTCCTTTTATCATAGTCGTGTTTATGCTGCACTTGCAGCTGTGTGCAAACATGGATGACATGTAGACAGTGAGGAGCAGTTTCATCAGGTATTATGGCTCCTGTCAGGGAGAAATGAAAGGGTGAGAAATGATCGAGGCTTTGCTGTCCACTCATTAGTAAACACATCTGCTACTAAAGAAAATACACAAACATGATTTTATTATTTGCAGTAATGATTGCAAGTGTTGTTCCTTTATCTTGACCAAATATGAAAATGTTCATTTTTTATTTTGCTGATTGTAGTGACTTTACTGCTCAGAGTCAGGGTCACAGGCAGGTCAGTGGTTTTTTAGGACATTTCTTAATAGACGGTTAATCATCAGCACCTGACTAAGCTGCAGGCGGGGATCTGTCAAGATGAGTCCCCGTCATAGAGCACACATCGTAATGCAACAGTAAAAACACAGGTGTATTTACAATCTCTGATGACTGAGGATGTATTCATGATTTTAGCATGAATGCTAAGTCTGCTGGGGACATTACAGCTGAGTTAAAGTATTTGAAACAGTAAGAAACGGTGTTGATGTAAAAAAATTTAAATTAAAAAAAATTCAGAACCTATCTATCAACAGTCTAAATCATCAGCATCACCCATGGCTGACTCTCACTTCAGTATCCACACTTTAGGTTCCTAGTTAAATCACAATACATGAACATCAACACGGCAGGTTAAAATCTTTAGTGTTAAAATGATCCTTTACTGTTCAAAAGTTTCTCACAGGGAGCTAAACTTTTTTGGAGTCCTCTTCAAAACAAACGAGTCTTAAGATTGAATCAGCACAAACAGAATCAAACAGTGAAAGTTGAGTTCACTTACTGCTCAGTGATGTGACTGAAATCTTTGAAGTAATTGATGAAAATGTGTTAGTATCCTGGAAACAGTCGTTCCTTGTGAAAACTCTTTTCTAATATCCGTCAGAAATGGTAGATTATGGAAAAACTCCACAGAACCCAAAGAGTAAGAGTATTTGGTATCATAGATTTCTGTCGCACAGAAGCAGCTCTTCACACTCACATGTCACCATCACCCCGCACACTCACCACACTTATCACCTCTCACCCACACACCAGACCAGCCTGTGTGTATATGTGTGTGTGAAGTGATTTATTGAAATCAGCTCCATGAGGTCATTGATGAAGTGCGGCTGAGATTGATGTCAGACATTTAAGTCTCAGAAAATATTAGATTTTTTTTTTTTCCTCCCACTCTTTCCGCAAACCCCTACGTCCTTTCACTTATGCTGTGACAAGGCTGCCCGTGCTGTGGGTCTGGATGAGGCTGGAAGTCTATTTTCCACAAAGCTGTAGGTCTGAACATGTGACAACATTCTGGGATGTGCAGTAACACAGTTTATATCCCAAGAAGAAAATGAGATTGATTCAGTTTTTGCTCTGTGTCTCTGAAGTCGTTCATGGATAGTACGGCCTAAGAAGAGAGAAAGAGAGAGTGGGGGGAAGACATGCACCAAATCATACTGGGATTGTGGATCAATCTTACAACCAGTGTGAAGATGACTGTACCCTCTGTAGACCTACATGGGGTCTCTGGTTACACCAGGGAAACTAGACTTTATGTTGTCAATAATAGCTCCCTTTTTATTTCTCAGACAGATGATGTTTCTCCTTTTCAAGATCATGCAGCAAAACAAGACCATTTCTCTGCAGCATGATATCCAGATCATCCCAGTAATACGTCCCATATCATGGATTATGACCAGTGCTGCCTAATCTGTTTACATTATTCATGATTGTCAAAGCAAAATAAAAGTATACTGCAGATAATGACCGGGACAAAGCATTAGGCTTTACCCTAACACGAATATATTCCATTATGCCCATCCATTTCTCTGACCCAGCCCAAAGTCAGCCTTTCCATCTGTCTGGACTATATCGAGACAACCCTGTATCCATTAGTAAATTATTTATTTTTTGGTTCTTTCACTAATATTTGCCCAAAGTTACTGTTTTATTCTACAAATATTTTCTTCAAAAATGTGTACTTTTAGTAGAAAAGGAAAATATGGTGTAATGAGGAATAATTTGCTCCAAAAAGACAAACCACTCTGAAAGAAGAAAATATTTTACTCTGATTAATTTTGTCTGAGGGAAAACGGCATTTCTGCTTAATAAAATGCAATATTTCTCCCAACTTCCAAACAACAAACTTTCAGTCAAGTCTTAAAATAACAGATATGACATCTGTTTAGAAATAACACAAAGATTTTTTCAGTCAAGTGTTTGTACAGCTCAAAATACTTTCCTTCTTTTCATATCTTTATGTAGTTCTGTGGTAACCTCTTCTCTTTTATTAAACACTAAATTCAAATACAAGGTTGGATGTTTTGTATTATATACAACACATCTATACCATAAAAATCTTTACTTTTAAACTTCAAACTAGAGATCTAGAAGTGCACAGAAGCTTTTACATTTTCATTGAATACATTTTCATTCAGAATATATAAGGCTTTTGTAGAGCTGGAATTGGGAACCGTAAAGGGCATCCCTGTTGTCTTATTGATTAATGTTATTTTGGATTTATTCGAAACATACATTTTTGTTTAGTTAAACTTAACACACTCCTTTTGAGCTTTAGAAATTCTCTCTATTATTACTAGAGCAAAATTAAAAAGTAACTGTGGCACCTAAAGCTGACCCAGTCTGTGTTTAGTAAGTATAGAAAAGCAGCTCATTGACTGATGTGTTGCTTTCTGCAACAGTTTGCACATTCAGACCGTTGCACTGTGTGCTGCGTTCAGGGTCTGTGTGCTCGTTCTGCAGCCATAAGCTGGCACACACTGCAGCTGTTCTACACGCTGGAGGCTGGATCTGATCACAGCTGCATGTTAGCGATAAACACAGAGCTTTTTAGCTTGAACACAACCCTCACACATCCTTCCATGAGAAAATTGGAGATGTTGTCATCTCACTGACACTCTTTTATTCTTCACTCTCACACTGAGGTTTTCTGTTGCTTTTAAAGGGATTGATTTATGTGCTCCATATCTCATACTTACATTTGATTTTGAACTTAAGTTTCACTTGCTGTTCACTGTCATTTGGAGGTCGACTTGACACTTGACCGACATTTTTCATCAACACCCTCCTTTCCCCTCTTAACCAGCTTTAGGGGGATCAGAGGAATGATGGCTTAGGTCGGGTGTTTTCCAGGGTTAAGGAACATTAGGAAGCATAGTGGGGGTTGTTTTGGTCGTCTGGCTTTATGCATATTAGTCCAAGCAGCCAAAAGAGGGCACATATGCTTTGTTTTTCAGCCTGGGAGCAGCCCGTCTGCACCCCAAATCTTTTTACATTCCCACAGTCAGTTTTCATTATCATTGACTCCACCACCACCACAAAATGCCTCTCTTCTGCTGACGGAGTGGAGGATGAGGATGAGGATGAGTGAGGGGATTTGAGGAGAATGCTAAAGCCAGGCTTAAGGGAGGGTCTTTACATGAGATCAGGAGTGATGCATCTCTCCATCATTTGTTTGCGTTTGTGTATATTTTTCTTGCGCTGTCGTAGGGATTTATCCTGTTTGCTCTACTGCTCCTCCACTTTGCTCTGCTACTTCTTGGCTCCAAACACCAAACCACAGACTGAGGCTTTGCCACCAAAAGTTTGCAACTTATTCAAGAAATGCTCTGGCAGCATCCCCCTCATGTGTGTATCTAGTAAGCTTTCTTAATTCTCAACTCTTTACGTCAGTGTGAATCCAGCCGGCTAAGTTGCATGCCTCTGCGTGCCTGTGTCTGTGTCTGCGTACTACAGTTAGCATCATATTTCAGAATGAGGTTCAGTGTTTGTGTGTGTGCGTGTGAGTACTTGGACTTAATACAGACCTCACACAGCGCTTTGTTCTTCATAATCTCATTAGCCGGCGAGCCACTAATTTGATGCCATTCATGATAATGTCATCTACACGGTCAGACGTTTGACTTAGGCTTTACAGTATTAGCATCCTTTCATATTTTATTTGAACATCCACTGACTCATGTTACTGTGTGTGTGTGTGTGTGTGTGTGTGTGTGTTTGTGTGTGTACTATGTGTACAGAAACTGCTGTAAATAAGTAAATATAAAAATAAACTAAAAAAGAATATGATATTTTTTTTTTTGATATTTTGGGTCTTCATTGGGTTGATATGGCAGCAGAAATAGCAGAAAATTAGGGGCTGCAGATTGGATTTGCACCTGTCACCTACTGTACATCACCGAGCCTTATGGGGGGCAAACATAAACAATGGGCCAAACCAGTGTCTTGAAAATACATTTTATGATCTGCATCAAAAGAATCACTCAGAAAACAATTAAATGTGAGCACTTCAAGCTGAACACAGGATCTACCTGAGAGTAAACCTTGTCAGAATGGTTTGCAAAGTGTGTCTACCAAAAGCAGAGTTAGCACCAGCAGGCTTTAGTCCTCATTGTAGATTAACATCCACATACTTGCGATCCATGCCAGTTTAATCAAACATCGCCTATAACTCTATATCAGTTTTCTCAATCAAAATATTCCCAATCTCAGCTGTGCTACAAGCTTCTATCTCCCGTTTTATTTACATGTATGTAGGCAGTAGAGTATTATAGCACAACGACAGCAGCCATAGCTGGAGCTACAGCCCCGGCTGAACTGTAGCTTCAACACAATGTGTGACTCACATCTAGGGTTTAAGGGATAAAGATATTAATAATTCATTTAGCTGACTGGGAATTATGGTGTCAAATGGTTGGAGTAAAGTCTGATGAGCAGTTGACTAAACATGCACATCCCTGATGCCGTGCTCCAAAATCTGTTGCCCACTTAGCAGCTATGACAGGGTGTTCATAAAACTGACTGTAATGTCGGTTCAACACCAAAATAAGAACATCTTTTGCCACTGTGCAGCTCATTTCCATTGCATCATGTATTAAACAATAGCTGTTTTATTTATTTTTTGTCTTTTATCACAATGCATCATTCCCGTCGACCTGCAAATGTTTCTCCACTTTTACAATGCACTTTCGGAAATTTGGGGTACATTTCAAGAGTACATTCATACAGTCAGACAGCACAAAAATGGCAGGCACAGTTTATGGTTAATTGTGTGGTCAGGAGGATCTAAACTTTTAATCACAACAAAAACTACCAGTCTGATATTTTGTGTCGATCAGTCTCCCTTAATGAATTATCAGACGTGAAAACTGTTTTGAAAGAGCACAACTTTGTCTTTACACTTAGTAAATATTTCAGTAGACTGTCTCTATACCTCTTAGATTTCACAGCTGTTAACTGAACACAGTCAGCACCATTTGACCCATAACCCAGATCACTCATCCACCAGCTGAGTCCTCTATCTCTAGTATAGTGCTCTCTTGTGGTGACACGGTGTAACTGCAGTTCAACCTACTGACCAGTAATCGTCTTGGTTAAATCTGCTTAGTCAGGGGGCAGCTGACAGCACTGTGACACATTCCTGCCTCTGGTTTAAAACCACCAAACAACATCACATACTTAGTGTTCAGTAGACACGACGCTGACACACATACAGCACCCTGCTAACATCCCCTCCACAGGTGCAGGCATATCACCCTCTTTTTTTCCTGCTCATGCTCTGTCTGCAGTGATGTAAGAGTGTCGCCTTGTCCTTCTTCTTTGGTGTTCTTTCAAGAAAGAGGCAGATTTTTCACCAGGGTTGAGTTTTTTTGTCCTCCAGCTGCTGATTTTAAGGAATGTGGTCTTCTTTATATCATCTGTTTTATAGTCATCATAAGAGTTACATAACTGTTCCTACACTAAAGCAAATGTTATTTTGCTATTTGTCAAAGCCATAAAGTCCACTCTACTGTGAGCGAGTCCTTCCTGAAGCACATTAGCCCAGTTCAAGAGAGGTCTGAGCTGAGATCAAGAGGACTTCTGGGAGTTTTGATGCCATTAATGGAAAAGCTCACTTCAGGGAGCTATACTGCCAGGCCTGGAGTGAGTGAGTTTATTGTGCGTGTTTTCAAAGAAAATAAAGGGTGGAGAAAGGTCTTTTATTTTTTTCCCCCTCCTGTTCTGTCATATCCTGTGTGTCTGATGATTTAACACCAGACTCATGACGTCACCTCTGCGTCTAAGAATGAGACAGCTGAGGCGAAGTGAGTCCAAAAGTAACACACACTTTAGCTCTTTAAACACTGGATGGTCAACTTGCCTAAAACAACTACACTCAGGAACAAAATGTTGCTGTAGGCATGGAGGACTTTTGGGGCGGAATACACTGTGACGGTCACATACCAAACATGACACAGATGCAGTATCTATTGAATTTGCAGCACCAGAAGTAAAATACATTTTAATCCATTCATAGCTAAGGTGGAGAATCAGCAGGGGACACACAATATGGTATACAGTCTGAGTTAGTGATATTATCAGGATACTGCAACACAATTATGGTAGATGTAGTGAGTGACAATAATGATAAATCCTGTTATCTGATTAACAGAGGGATACTGAATGCCCTTAAAAGGGTGAAATGCATGATGGAAATGCATTTCAGGTGTCAATAAATTAGGCAGTAATTTGCATACAAGAATCTGTGGCTATGAGTCCACAGAAACTTTCTCTGCAGATTTGAGTACATCCTCCACCTATCCTTTTGTCTGAACAGAGACAGCTGGAGCAGCTTTCACTCTCTTTCTTCTTTTTGGTTGTAACAGTACAGCTTTTTTCTTCTTGTCCCCCCCTCTGTCTCTTGCTGTTGACTTTTTCATCCTCCATCCGACAGACATTGATAAGTATTTTGTGCCACCACTATTCATAATGCAGTCTGTCACAAAGATTTTTGGCTCTTAAACTGAATTAAAGACTGTTGTGATTCAATGCAAAAGGCCTAAATTACACAAAGTTAATGACTTTTTCCCAACATGCTTATGATGTCATTTATTTAAGGTGTGTCATCAGCTACTGTCTAATGACAGTGTTGCCTTCAGGGGCAATAGTAATTTTCCGAGTCTCTAGTGTAAATTGTTATCAGGGTAATTTGTTACCTGGGCCAACACTCTCTTCTCCATGTGTGGTGACTGTTTACAGTCCTAAGATGTGGCTTTGAAATACACTTAGGGTATTTCATAAGAAATACTGCTGCTCATAAGTTACACAGCCTACCAAATGGCCCTTGGTGGCCACCATAACCAAACAGCATATCCACCCTTAACAGATCCAGGCTATGTTTATGTGAGCTCCAGGTATTGACTGCACTGATGATACTACTCACCCACTTGGCTGCTGTTCGTCCCCACACCCCAACCTTGGATATGAAGTTGAACTAGATGCTGACAGACACCATCTATGCCGGGATTAAATTGTTCTCGTGTTTTTTAGGGGGTTGAGTACATGGCAAAAGACAACTTTTCCACTCCAGGATGTGGATTGCTTGAGTCTATGAATTCTGGTCACACAACTTGTCAATACTTTTCAGACTATAGTTGGAAATCTGTATTTTTTTGACCCGTTATATCATGTCACTAGCCTTCAAATTCTGCATCTCATACAGAACCTGACCTAAATTTCATGTTTACATTGTTTCCGAATTATTAGTAAAATTTTGTCAAGTCTTTTGAAAAATACTGTTTTAAAATTCTGATACAATCTGCTCAGATAACTCAAAACTCACTACAAGTGTTGCTGAGAACAGAGACACAACCTATCACAAAAACAAAACCATATAAAACATCCACACATGCTCTCCAAAAATGTCTGTTTTCCTGCCTTTAATTAAACTCAGACATTTTATGACAGCATCCTCATTTTGTTGTTCTTCTCCCTTCTCTGTGTGACTCCACCGTCTGCTCACCTCCCTCTCTTCCTTCCTCCAGTAAACCTGAATCCTCCTAATTAAAAACAGAGGAGAAAGAAAGAGGAGTTACAGAGGGGGAGCAGAAAAACACCTATAGTGAAAAGCCAAGTCAAATGATGAATAGATTGATTAAGTAGCAGAGAGCAGAGAGAACAAAAAGCTGTGAAATCAGGAAAGCAAAAAGCTTAAGAGAGTCTGTAAAGGGAGAGAAAGAGAGGGGGCTCGCTGCCACTGAGGCTCTGAAAAGCAGCTGGTAAGGGTTTGTTTATAGTCGGCAGAGGGGGAGAGAGATAACATTTTTGGAGGATTAGAGGCAGGAAATAAAAGGCAGCACCAAATAAAGAAGAAAATGCAACGGGCTGGCCAGACTTGAGGGAAGGAGAGAAGAAAAGAGGGAGGGGAGATATGAGAAAGAGAAGGATTAATGAGGGAGTGAAGGGCAAGGAGGAGAAGGGTGAGGTAAGGGCGTATATTCAGCTTTGGTAAAACATTAAACACGTCATTCAGACGGAGGAGGGAGAGTGATGTCAGGTGGTGGAGGCAGGTCCTTGTTAAGATAATTGGTTTTTATTTTCAGCTTAAGTCTTAGTCACCGACATCTGCTGCCTTTATGACTTCTGCTCACCAGTCAACAGACCTTTCCACACTTTCCTCGAAGGATTTAGTCATGCAGATTAGTAACCTCAGAGGACTTCATCCTGGGAAAATATATGTCAAAACCAGTGGTGTGAGACATTTCAGTGTTTTGGCTAGATGTAAACGGTACCGTAACTGTGTTTTGATTAAACATTCGCTAAAGTATTTTATAAAAGTTTTGTGTTGAAGTTAACCCTTGAAGTTGTGTTAATATTAAAAATTTCAGAAAATTTTAAAGAATTTTATTTAATTTTTTTCTGCCAATGTATATCAATCCCAAACATTGATTATTGGTTTCATGAACTACTAATGGTTGGTATCGGACTAAAAAAACACTATCAGTTGACCCCTACATTAAGATGAAGATGAGAAAAAAAATCTATCAACTTCATGAAGTGATTAGTTAAATGGCTTATTTATAAAAATGCCAAAATGTAGCACAAAAAAGGGTCTACACTTTCCCCAAATAGCTTGTTTATCCAGCCAAAATTAAAATCCACATTTCCAAAAAAAAAAAAGAACTAAACTAAACAAAAACTCACACATAAAATGTAAAAAAATTACTTTGTTTGTCTCTAATAAGTTAGTAATCTTATAGTTTCAACCCGTCTTGCTGTTTGTTCATGAAATCTGCAGTTCTTAGGGTTAGGTGTGATTTTACACACTGTAATTGTCTGGTTTTTCACGTTATTTGCTTGGCTAGAAACAGCAACATGTCCTGATCAACATCTAGAGCTCCCCCTACTGACTGGCTGCAGTATAGATCAGTAACCATGTCATTAGTTAGGTTAAGTCTCGACCAAGCAGCAAAAAACTAAGTCCATACAGCAGTTTTAAGAAACAGCAGTTCCTTGGATTTGAAACGTGAGAAATCTTTGTAAGCTTTCATGTTAAAATGCTCAACTTAACAGCAGAAATAAACATGTCTGCAGCCTGATTTCCCTATAATCTGTCCATTTTTGAGGCCAAGACTTCAGAATAATCATACAGTTCAGGAGGTGCTGTTTTTACTCAGGTTCTGTTGCTATTTATTTACCTGAACTCCCATAAGGACTCCATCTCTTTGCTGGTGTCTCTCTTGGCCAGAACTTACCAAGAGCTAATATTTAGAGCATGGGGACCACCATCGTAAGGCTTGATAACATCTCTCTGGAGCCAGAGGGTGACTTCACTAAGACTCCTTCCAGGTCTAGTTGGTCCTTTTATTCATTTCCTCCCTAATCTCTCACTGCGTATCTTCCATGACCCTGTCAAAAAAGGAAAGAAAAAACAAATACCAGAAAAGCATCTCCCGAAAGGAAAGATAAGTCTCAAAAATCATTTGTACAGAAAGGAAATCTTCAAATCCCATTTTCATTTTAACCCTGACTGTAGACATAATTTTAACACTTACCTTATATTACAGTAACTACCTTAAAACTTTAGTTGAAAACAAATGTCAGTAATAGACAACTAAGAACCCTCAAAGTGAAATTTCTTTGCAGTGGTTATCTTTAGATTAACAAGCAGGGTTACTAGAGGAGATGAAGAGGGGTACCAAGTGGTCTCTGGTTGTGTGCGTGTTTGTGTGAGTGTGTTTGGGGGCGGTTGCATCACAGGAAACAAGCGCTCCATCCTGCAGTTGAATGTGACCCTTTGGCCCTGGATCAAATGCTCCTCCGGGCTGAATACCATGAAGCCTCTGTCCTCTGCACCACGCACTGCTCTGCTCTGCTCTGCACTACACGGACCGTCTGACAGACTGACTGCTGGAGGAGGGTGGAAGGATGGGGGGTGGGGGGCAGAGATAGGGTGAACTGTGGAGGAGAGTAATGGAGGTAAACAAGGAAAAGACAAAAAACTGATGGTTTGAAAGTGAGACTTTTATCAGATGTTTTTATTAGACAGAGTACTTGTTACACCCAAAAGTGTGAAACCAGAGACTGTGAATCAGGGAGAAGTTGCTCCTATTTTTAGATCCATGCTTGATGGACGGGTGACAAAGCAAACAGACAGAAGCTGCAGGCGAAAGGCACTATGAGGGAAAGAGAGAGAGATAAAGAGGGAATCTCTGAGAGCGACAGAGAGAAAGAAAGAGAGGGAGAGAGAGGGAGAGGGAGGAAGGAGGAGGAGTGACTTATTTGTGAAGTTCTGCTGCTCCTGCTCCCTGGCTCAGTACTGTCTGAGGAGGACACATGGCTGGACGGGGCACAGGGCAGAGCTGGGTGGCTTTCTCTCCTGTACTCAGCAGCTTTTAAAGCCTTTTTTTCTACACTTGTTTCAAGTCCACCTTAGTTCTCTTTTGCACACTAAAGTGCCACATGAGTTGTCTGCCTTCTCAAAGCTGCTGAAGCCAAACAAGGGGCTTACAGGACGCTTGCCCTGCCATGGAATGCTGCAGATTTGCGATCAGGATATCAGGAAGCTTTTCTTCCCCCTCTCGGGTTCGGAGCTGCAGGTCTGGATCCGAGGAGTTTGACAGCTTCTTAAAATCCCCTCAGAGACTGGAAACCTCAAACTGTATGACATGTCTGCTAACGGTTTAAAAGACCAGCAGCCGCCTCCGGCCATTTAACAGCTTCCACGCTCATATTTTTACACCTCTAATCATCCAGACGAAGGAATTCAGAATGCGACGTTTTGACAAGCTGAAAAAGTCTTTCCCCTTCCTGGCACACTTCCACGTTTATCGAGTAAGTCTGCTGTCTGCCCTGCCTGCTCCACTGGGAAATATGTTGTTACTATAGCCAGGATCATGTGCTCCACACAGATGTTTGAATATAGCATTTGTATCATGCATGCAGTATGGTGGGGGTCAGCTTGTGTGTGTGTGGACTCTCCAGCTGGACTGAGGCTGTCCTCTGGGAGCGTTGTTGTTATTGCAGCAGGATGTTAGTGCAGAACAGATCAGATACAGAACATGGTTCGGGCCAGGAGGTGTGTGTGTGTGTGTGTGTGTGTGTGTGAGAGAGAGAAAGAGTGTGTGCGTGCATTTCTGCACCACCATGAGGAATGAGTTCAGACCAGAGGCATTTCTCAGCAGAGACATCATGTTGTTTTCTACGTCCCTCATCCCCCTCTCGCTCGCTGTCATTGTTGTTCTCCCTGTCTCTTTCTTTCCACTTTGTTTAACTTTTTCCAGGACAAAAATGTAAACTTCTATGAGTTATGTGAAACTGAAAACCACATGGGCCCTGCTGCTCATTTGTGTCATTTCATGCTCTTTTAAGAAGTGCTCAGCTGCTGTTTCAAGCTCCTGCACTGGACTCCTGGCCTTGGTTGGATTCCTCAGAGTCCTGTTATAAGTCTCACCTAATAGTGTGTTCCTCCTGCTGTCCTCACACCTCCTCCTTCCTCCTCTTCATCCTATTATAGAGGTAATCAAGATAAGCACCTGGGAGTGACATAATGAAGGATGTTCAACATGTGACCAAGTTAGAAGGAGGAAAGACTCACTTCTCTGATTTTATGACAGTTATTCTAAGGATCCACAGTAAAAGCAGCATGAAAGCCCTGCTGCAAAGATTGTTTCCTGAGCAAACGTGACGACAGTGCAATGGGAAAAGCAACTGGAAGTGATATAGAAGAAGTTTCACATAAAAAAAGTGTAGCATAGCCAGCCATTGTTCTCCTCTGAAAGGTTTAGACTGAGAGGAAATGTGGAGAGAGAATGAAGCACCAATAAGTGACAACACCTGGGACCAGTGCAGCCTCAAAATAAGCTGAACCAGCAGTCCAAATGTATGCCTACTCAATTTTTCAAAGGTCTCTCTTCCCAAAAAGATAAATATATGCATGTTTTAGTAATTTTTGCATATATGTCCCCATACTGACAGAGAAACATGGTATATAAGAGCTAAAGCACCCTGATTTTGACCCCTCATACTTCAGATTCAACACTGTCATGGAAAGAGGCCCAAGAGGAAGCAGACTTACGTCTTTGGCACAGCGCAGCTAAGTTACACCAACATGTTGACCACTAGGGAGGATCAGACTCAGAGCTCTTGCCCAGCACAGGGAAAATTCTTCAGCGCAGAAAGAAAACACATGACAAAACTGTACAGAAATGGAGCAGCTAAGCTTTACACTAATTATAGTATGATATCATGTGTGGTAAGAGAGAATGTGGCACGGCCAAAGCCAACCAGAGGACCTGCAGCCAAAGTGACTGTTAGATCATCTGTCTCAGGGTTAGAGTCAGCAGTGATGCAGCAAAAGGCAAATCATGGTGACGAGAGCTATGGATGCAACTGAGTCCGTAAAGGGAGCTGCTATTGCTGCAGTGGTTTCCCACCAGATCAGTCAGTTTGCATGACGCCTTTCCCCAGAAGTGAGCAGATTTCTTCTTTCAGTTTCTGTGTAACTTTACTTTTGACAACAATGTGAAGGACAGCAGAGAGAACATGTGATGGTTTTAGCTGCTCCAGTAGTAGGGCGGGGCGTTAAACTAAAAATTTAAGAATACTGAAATTTATGACAGTAACCAACATCATTTTGCCCATATCAGTATGTTCGGTAGGTAGGCTATGGTCTCATGATGCTTTAAGTAGTGCGGTCCTACGTCAGAGATGTGACTTCACCCATCCAGTCACAAAGAGGGAAAGACAAGTGAGGAGATGGAGGACAGTTCAAAAGTTGTAGCGGCGATTGAAGTAGACAGTTAATGTGGAAGGGGGTGAGCAGCTTGTGGAGTTGTTATCGTCCATTTATCGTTATCGAGGTGAACTGCTCAATATATCATGATATTGATTTGAGGCCATATTACCAGCCCTATCCAACAGTTTAGACAGACTTCAACTCTTTTAACTCAAGCCTCAAAGACAGCTCCGTCCATATGTGAGGAGGGTCTTCACATAAATTTAGATGAAGCAGATTTTTTTGTTCAAGCTAACCAGCTGGCAGGATAACACTTCATTACACTACATGACACAGCACTTGCAAATTTGTTAAGTGAATCAGAATAATGTTATAACCTCAGCTTGAAATGTAAAACCTCAGTGGTTTGATTGAGGTGTGTATATCAGTAACTGGGGGCAGCTGTCTGATGTCTATACTGCTGCTGCGTAGCTGTCACCGTCAGCAGGCAGCAGCAGACACAGCAATGACAGGAATGATTGATGTATTTATTCATAGTTCCCCCTAAAACTGCAGGCACCGTGTAGTTCGTCTGCGCCTCTCCAGAAAAACTCACAGCACTGGATTAAAAGCTGTTTTTCTCTACCTGGTTTGCTCTTCATGCTCACATCAAAGACTCCCTGTCTACTTTTTATTAGATAGAAACTCTGACTCCTGCTAAAGCGCCTCTGTCTGACTTTCAGAGCCAAAGCTGCGTGTTTGGATGTTGCTACAGAAATATCAGCTGACCCACTTTAATGTGCGTTGCTGTGAATTTGTCTGAGGATACAGACATCTGGCGTAACCATTGGGGATTGAGCCCTCCCAGCAGATTGGCCTCAGTGAGACCTCTCATCAGAGAGTCATGGAAAACACAGGAGCACTCACTAATATTTCCATGAAGAAGCACAGCAGACACACATTTTCTCATTCTGACTTTATGTCTTCAGCTCAGTCTGACTGTAGGTGTGTGAGACAGAACGGGGATCTTCTACTCCTCAGGTCACAGTCATTTAGCAAAAGGAAGTGACCTCTGACCTGGCCCATTAAGGAGATGAAATGACAGCGAGGAAACTGTGACCCCCCTGACACTTTCCCTCAGACCTTGTAACCTTCACTCAGTCTGCACAGGAAGTTCCTCATTCACAGAGTGTAATTACCACTCGGTGAAGTAACCCCCACGCCCCTGAGCGTCCACCCTGAAGGTCTTCCTCTCAGTTTCTACAGATCAGGAATGTTTGTCATTTCTTTTTGTCCACTAGGTTGATTTACTGGTTTGCATCCCCTTTGAGACTGGAAGGAATGGTTTGACAGTGTCTGCAGGTGTCATAGAAGCTCATTTTCACAGCTCTTGATTGATAATGTCCTCAGATTTGATTCCATTATCCTAAACAGAACTTCATCAGGACTTTGAGTTTTTTTTTTTTATTCTGCACTTTTACATGGATGTCAATGGGGATTTTTAATGATTTTACGCTGCTAGTCTCAAGTGAACGAGACACTGCAGTTTTTTGCACTTTTCCTTTGATTTCTTATTTCAGCACTTTAGGTTGGTGCTTGATGAAAAATAGCTTAACTCTTAAACTGATCATTTACAGCAGATACCTCCTTCATTTTTTTTTGGATGTCAGTTAGACATTTTGATGATGACAAACTGCTGCTGAAACAGTATATTAACACGACAGTGACACAGGCGCTGTTTCAAACAACTTTTCCTCCATGTACATACTTATGTGATGTCAGTGTTTGCATTGTGTGCACATGTTTGTTCTGAGTATAAACACAAAAAGATGTATATCAAACTAACCACTGGCATGTAGATGAAAATGTCAGAGCTTATAAGCAGGTATGTCAGAGCGCTGTAAACAATCACTGGCAAGCTCCTAAAGGATCTGAGCTCAGTTCCTCTTTTTTACAGCAAAGAATGGTTTGGTTGTTATCCAGTGACTTTCTATAAAGCTGTACTTTGGGTTGAGGGAAGTGTTGACTGGACGTTGAATATTTTACACTCAGCTTCCTGGTTTTTCTTTGTGTGGGTTTTGCAGAAACTGGGCAGTAACATGCAGTGTGAGGAAGGCACAGAATGGCTGCTGGAGCTGCTGATGGAGGTGCAGCTGCAGCAGTACTTCCTGCGGATCCGAGATGACCTTAATGTCACGCGGCTGTCTCACTTTGACTACGTCAAGAATGAAGACCTGGAGAAGATCGGCATGGGACGGCCTGGTGAGATACAGTGTGTGTTTGTTTGTGTGTGTGTGTGTGTGTGTATTTTATGCTTTAATTTGCTCAGAAAAAAAGTCATCTTGTTTTAAACTCTGGTTGTGTTGAATCAACTCCAAAGGCCAAGTTCTGTTGGTAGAGGCTAAGGGCTTATTGGGAACACTGGTGGGCTTTTAAGATGTAGGTGTATTATATCTATTAAATCACACATCATGTCTTCTGACCTGTCCTCCTAACACCATCTTGAGTTTCATCTTTGTTGTTTTTATGAAACAATCTATGACAGCAATTGTCTTGGTCTTGGAATTTATTTTTTCAATTTCAAGGTTTTAGGAATAAGCTGGACTGTCTCCACTACTAACACTTGTCCAGCCCTGTGGTGTCTGCCTAAACACTTGTTAAACCAATCACATCCCTAATCCTTAAGACCATTAGCAACTGTTGACAAGTTATCCCGGCACTCTAAGACTGTAAGTGAATAATCATTGTGAACAAGTTAGCATGTTAATAGTTAGCACATAGCGTAAAGACTGGTTTCACGATGACTCATCGCCAAAGATACAAAATATGAGTGGAGTAGCCGTTATGTAACAAAGACGTAAAAAGGGTTCTGGTGAACGGTAGAAATTGTGTTGTGTAATGCAAACAACTCTGGCTTTCCACCGAAATGTGAGACTATTCAGAAACACATTTTGTGGAAATAACCAAAAAAAAATAGCAGTTTGGTTTCAAACAAAGGACAAAATAACCTTTTTTTCATCAAAAAAAAAACAACTGCGTCAGTGATGGGTGGCAGCCGGGTTGCCAAGACGATAGACACAAACACAAATGATAGCCATACTCTGCATATGTTGGCTTCTTTTATCATTGTTTAACATAGCACCAAGAATAAACACCAGTAATTCATGATACATCACATGCTATTTTTAGCTAATAACACAAGAATGGAAAGAGAACTCGCCAACTCACAACTAAGCTCTGTGATGGTTTCTGAAAGCAACAACAAATCCAGTATGCAACACTTAACTCACAGTCTCTGTCCTACTTGCTTTTGATATCCACCTTGGGAGGGGAGGGACGGAGGCTTGACCACCCTCAGGGAAGCATTCGGCTTTTTGTCTTTTTTGAAGTTGTTTTGTTTTCCATCTTCAGTGAAGCAGGCGTCTTCGTATATAAAAAGCACATATCAGAGCCACGGTCAGCGTCTTCTCTTACAATATCCCCCATTTCATCTGTGACTATTTGACTGTTGCATACAGCGCCAACTAGCAGTTGCAGATGACATCCCTACAGTGATTCAACACAGCGGCTAGTTGACTTTCTCCACTGATCTGCTACTTAAAACCAGACAGATGTTTTCAATTTCTCACTCTGGCTGGATTGTCTCTAACAGCCACATTGACAGACATGCAGTAATATTTTTTTTATGAGAATCCATGATTCAGATTAGGAAGAGTTTCAGATGGATAGTCAAGAGCATTAAGAGTATCAGATATCCTCTCCTTCAAATGATCAAACTTGCAAGCATTTGTCTTTTCAAATTCTTAATTTTCTCTGAAGATGAAACAAAATCAAATAAACCTTAAGAGGCACCTAATTTCTCCCAGCATAGTAATAATCTGCCTCATTTTCACTAATTAGTTTTACATCCAGAGAGATTAAAATTTCCATGATTGATGTCCTCATTTTCTCTTTGCTTCTTTATGATTGCAATGTGATTTCTACAACTACACATCCCCTGAAGTGTTAATTCAGTCTTGGGTAATGGCAGTGTATCATTAGTCTCAACCTCAACAGTGCAGCTCCATCACTAACAGCACTAATATCATTTAAAAGTCACAAATGGTACATCATCAAGCCAAGTCTATTGTCTACAGCGTGTGTGTGTGTGTGTGTGCGTATGTGTGTGTGTATGAAGGCGTTGGCAGCAGTAACGCTATAAATCCAGTTAGTGTAGCCCTCAGGGCCTCAGTTATCGAGCTGCTTAAGACTAATTACACCCACTTCTCCTGCTCGTATATTCATCACGTCCTCCTCCCCCTCCTCCTCTCAGATCACTGTTCTCCAGGCTCCACAGCTTTTCTTGGTCATGTTTCTTTTCTTTTTATTTCTATCACCTCCCACACTCCCTCTCTTCTTAACTCTTTGTGCTTTTCTTCTCTTCGTCGTGTCAAAGATGTATGTTTTGTTTCAGTTAACGTGAGGTTAATTGAAGTGGAATATAATACACTCTGCAGCTATCTCATGGGTCATCCTGATGAGAGAACAGAAGCAGCTGCTGCAGTATTCATCTTTTATCTTCTCCTCTGACAATCACTGTGTTTCTCTTTCTTCTTCCCTTTTTGATTTTTGAAGGACAGAGACGGCTGTGGGAGGCAGTGAAACGGAGGAAAGCCATGTGCAAGCGCAAGTCCTGGATGAGCAAGGTGACAGACGCACAAAACACCCACATATTCAATCACTCTATTACATGATGGGCTTAACATTACGTTGCCATGGTGAGGTCTGTCATGTAAACACTACTGAAGGACAATACACAATGCATACATAGACTTCAACATTATTCCACACTTCCCTTCCTGAACATATGACTTGACTACATCTCACAGTACCTTCCATGTTGAGGTTTTACGTCAACTCTAAAAGAGAAAACTTTTATATTTGCACAAATGTGTTCTTAAAATTTACATCCAATCATGGATGAATCAAAAGGGTTACATGAGGGTATGTATAAAATAGCACTCCGAGTAGATGAGTAGATTTGTTTTTTTCTATGTTTAAAACAAATTGGCTTTGCCTTAGTCATTATGAGAACTTAAAACAGCACTTTCTCAAGTTAAATAAAGAGACAGATTTGTATCTTTTACAGCTTATCAATTGTGTGCTCATTTTTCCACCAGCTTTGATATCAGATTTTAAATGATTTGGTTTACTTAATTCAGAAAATACAGCATGTGGAAAAACTGATGTAAAGATATTGTCTCATATGTTTGAATATAAAAACGGGCAGATCTTCAAATAACCAGAGGTAGAAAGACACGTACCCATTAAATGATTGGTACAAGAAAACCGTTTTTCACATTTGCACAAGGAAGCTGGAGATAACATGCTGGAGAGGAGGAGAAAGGCTGGGCTGGTATTTAGTATTGTATGTGTTTCCAAAAAAACAATTACTGCAAAGTATAAGGCAAGACACAGGTCAGCTTGTTTTGATCTTATATGTTTGGTAAAATAAAAAAAAACTTGCAAAAGTTCAGTTCAGTTTAATATTTAGGGCTTGTTGCCAACTCAGCTTTGTGCCCTCAGGTCACAAGCTAGCGCCTGAACCCTGTCTGAACCAGTGAGTTCAATTTGAGTCATGCAGCCTCAAACTTCTGATTTTAATCTATGTGTTTGAATCAATAATTTGTGTTAAAATGGCTGTCGTGTGAATTGTAAAGGCATGTTATACCAATAGAGGTCTCAGTCATCCCTGGATTGGTTCTGGTCCTAAATTTTACATGAAGAATAAAATCTGCAGCAAACAATCCTCCAGAGAATAAGACAGCTTGACCCCTCACATGAGAATGAGCACGTCCGCATTCAGACTCACACACCACTCAGTCAAGTCACAAGAGTCAGTGACACACACACACACATATACAGAGCTGCTGCATTCACTCAAATGTTTCTCCAAACATAAAGTCTTCCTCCTTAAAGAGGCAGAGACACAGCTGACTGCTTCATTCCTCCACCGTCCTTAATTGAAGGCTGACATATTAAGACAATTGTGCTAGTGCTTGAGAAAAGGGGACCTTTCGTTATTTTCTTAGATACAAAGGAGGCCTGCTGGTGTGAAGTGTATGAGGGAATACTGAGCAGCACCACTGATACTCTGTGTGTGTGTTTTGGCTGTTGTCAGTGGAAGTTGTGGTGCCCATTGGACTGTGCTTGCAGTCTATAATTACACCTGTCTGTTTCTACCTCTGGCACCATCCACAGCCAGAGTAATCTGCTTCCTCAGCTCAGCCACGAATGTGTGTGTGTGCATGTGTGGGTGTGTGTGTGGGAGGGTGTGTATGTTCGCTTCGCTATCCTTAGTCAGAATCTTCTGAATGTTGAGCCTCCTATTTGAAACCACACAGTGACCACAGTGATGTGGTGTTTTTAAAAAGGTCTGCAGCATTATGTCATGTCTGGTCCTGATGTATGTGAAACCACACACCGCTCGCTACTGTTTATATCTGGTCAGACATAAATGTTTGACACAGAGGATTCATCATCACCTTTTTTTCTTTCTAATGACACTGTTTCTGTGCCTGACCTTTGTCTCTCTGCCAGTTAATAATACACATTTGCTCTATTTACTTCATTGGAAAAACAAAGTTTTTGTAATATAGAAAAATATGAGAAAGGCCCCTTTGGTTACATTCGTTTCATTTGAATAATACAAAAACATTGCTAGAATAACTTGGTTTCAACCCCAGTATCAAAAAAGCCTCTCTTGTAGGGTCCCTCAGTGGTCTACCTTAGATCCACTATGATTCACTGTTCACATGCTTCCTCTGGGGGCGAATCCTGCATAGGAATAGTATGTAGATTTTCATGCCTGTGCTGATGACATTCAGCTCTCCAACTTCTTAAAACTTGACACTGCTGATGTGTCTCACATTGTGTCCTGTATCTGAAATAAAGAACTGGATGTCTAAAAACTTGCTGCAGCTGACTGACTCCAAATATGAAGTTATTGCCAACTCCCTTTCACAGACATTGTATGTCAGATGAGGTCAGATGAGCTAAAGTTAGCGCGATTCAAGGTTCTTGGTTTGTTCAAAGTGAGGTTTCCCAGAGCAAGGCCATAAACAATTCTGATATTTATATCCTAAATTCAGTGTCAGTAATTATTTTTATTTAAAAGTAACCAAGAGTTCACTTTGTATCTTCCAATACTCACTTCAGCACCTAACCTGCCTTAAAAAAGTGAAAAATGACTGGAAAATTTTTCAAACTAATGCAAGTTTGACATTGTTGAATGTAAATGAATCAGTTATTTATCCCCTAAGCCATCCCATATGTGGTTTACTGTAGTTTTCTTTACCATCTCACCAGAGCACCAGTTTCTCTGCGTTCCTATTTCAGTAAACAGTCCTCTTTTGGGCCTCTAAACAAAGCTTTCTCTTCATGGTTCTGCACAGCACACACATTGTGCAGGTTCAAATCTAGGGGAATGGAAAGATCTCCATTCACAAACACACTCCCGTATTCACACACACACACACACACACACACACACACACACACACACACACACGCACACACACGTATAAATGCACACAGAAACATTCAGGTCACTTAACCTAATTGTGTGCACTTCCTAAACCCAAAGTCATTGCCTCTGTGCTGTCAGCATTTCAGTCAAGATGCAGGAAATCTCCCCATCTCCTATAATTATAACTGGGTCTGTTCCTGTGTGTGCGTGTGTTTTAAGACATATTACTTGCACCATTACCAGTTTATCTTTAGTACCAGTTAAACATTACACCATATGTGTTGTGTGTGCATTAATTTAAGATGTGCAGATGTTACATTGGCAATATGCCGCTCATACGTCGGTGTGCCTGAAGTTATTTCTGTAGTGTATGAAGAGCGTGCCCCTTATGTCCTACATATGAATCTAATAAGGACTGCTGTGAGATGAGAGGGATCCCTGTCTGACTGCTGGAACTTGACCTAAACTTATCTGCACATAGAACACATACCTAGACATGCATTTGTAGCAAGAAAGAAGGAAGTTACCGGTGTAGATATCATGGAAAAGTTGTACTGCTGTCTAATGTTCTTTATCACTGCTAGAAAAGGGTTCAAGTTTGTCAAATTTGTGAGCAAAAAAGGAAAAAAAAAGCCTGACAGACTCATAAAAGGGGGAGAAGTAGGATTTATAATTGAAATAAGCATCTGGTATCTGTCCTCCATCTCCACCCACACTCTGCTGCCAGCATCTCATTAGTGCAATGTGAACAGGCAGGTCGTTTGGTGACTAATAATGGAGGATAATTAAATTCAAATGAGACTTCAAAATCCCAAGACAGTTGTTGAAAGTGTGTGTTTCCTACATGATGGCCCAGCAAACCATCTTATTATTAAAGAGGGTTTGCAGTAAGACAATCATACTTCACAGGCAAACTCCCTCAAACCAGCAGTAAAAATCCATTTAAACACTTTGCTCTAACCAATGTGTGTTCTCACACAAATGTGATTTTATTTTACTATGTTCTTTGTTGTTTGCACTCAACATAAAGTCGGTGTCATCATATGGCACCTTTCATACAAAAACAATGCTGTTAGTGCTCTGCATCGGTTAGATCGGTTAGTTAGAAAAACTCATAAAACTATTATTTTTAAATAACAAAGAGATTTAGAAGTTTATACATACTTTCTACTGCTTTGGTGTCCTTGAGAAGCTTAGTGAGACAAAAGTGAGATAAGACAAAGATCGGTTAGCAAGAAAATCTTATGAAACTATTATTCAATAAATGATATGAAACAGATTTAGAAGTTAATACTTACTTTTTTTAGCCCCAGTGTCCTGGAGAAGCTCAGGACAGCTCTACAAATATTTGATCTGATCTAAAAGCTCATACTTACTTTTTTTGGTGTGTGTAGAGGCACACAGCCGCTCAGGTGGGAGAGAGAAAACAATATTAAAGTGTAAGTAAGACTGGTAAACACACTTTAAATTATAATGGCAATAATAGGACATAAATGATAGATGGTTTTCTTGACAGCAATAGAATAAATGTAACAAAGATAAGCAGTAGGAAATCACTATTTTATTATTGACAACACTTGCTAATGTCAAATCTGAGAGTCTACAGTCACTGGTTTGGGGCTGTTTTTTAAAATTCAGGAGGACAGAGAGAGAGAGAGAGCAGGGGTAGAAGTAGGAGAGAGAGCAGGGGAAAAGGAGGAGAGGAGTCAGAAGAAGGAGAGCTGAAGAAGTCCGAAGAAGCAGAAGAAGGAGAAGAGGGATCAGAAGAAGAAGAAGCAAAAGAGAAATCAAAAGAAGCAGCAGAGGAGTCAGAGGAAAAGGAAGAGAAATGAGATGAAGAAGAAGGGGAAAGAACAGCAGAAGCAACAGAAGAGTAAGAGGAGGAAGAGTAAAGAGATGAAGAAGGATAAAAGTTATAAGAAGAAGGATAAAAGTTATATGAAGAAGGAGAAGAAGCAAAAGTGAAAACAGAGGAAGAAGCAGAGGACAAATCACTGGAAGGGGGGCAGCAGGAGGAGGTGCAGGGCAAGAGGAAGGAGGGGAAGCAGGAGGTGGAGGAGAAGCAGCAGCGGAAAAATCAGGAGATTGGAGATGGATAAGAGCAAGTGAATCTCTCCCCTCATCAGCCAATCTTACTCTTTGGTCAGGGCCCCTCCCCCTGATCACTGTCCTCCTGCTGCCTGTACATTCTTGAAGTAGAGGCAGCAGGAGAACCAGCACAGGAGACACCAAGAGAAGCTAGAGAGGATGAATCAGGAAGAGAACAAGAAGAGGAAGCAGAAGGAGCAGCAGAAGAGAGAGGAGGAAAAAAAGTTTCAGGCACAGTTAGAGGAGAAGCAGGAAGGGGAGCAGAGGGAGGAGAAGGAGGGCAGTCAGGATGATGAGCAGGGGGAAGAGGGTCACCACCTGAGGGAAGAAAAGTATCATACTGTCAAATCTGTGCATCCATAAGAGAATGAAATATGAGGCTTGCAGGGTTATTCATGGTATTCTGCTGTTGGAGTATCATTACCACTTATGAGCGATAATAATTGTTTGTTTTTTTCTTGGCAAGGGGGAAACTATCATAAACACCCAGATGTCACTTAATCTGCAGTTCGTAAAACCTGCCTAAAATGTTGGGGTTTGCCAAAAAGTTCACCTGTGTCACTGAGCTCCGTGCATAAAAACGCACGCCAAAATATTTGGGAGTTTATTAAAATCTTGCGCATTAATTACATTTACACCAGGTTCACAGGGCAGCTTAACAAAGATGTCTGCTTCTTGGAAACGGAGCTTTTTCTTCCTTAAACTTATAATCAATTAGTTTAAAAACAGGGACAGTGGCTGCTTTACAGTTCAGTCTCAACACTTCAATACATAGGCTATCTATTAATTATCTAAACAGACTTCAACCCATTCGCATCAATGCCGAGTTTACATGGCACCCACTTGAGGCCTGCTCCTCACAGTTCCAACATCTCCATGCAACAAAAAAAGTGGCCCAGGCGCCATCTTTAATAATTTAATCTTGATGGTTAAATTTGAAAGTTGAAGTCTTTACATGAGTCTTTACACGTTTTTCACCTCAACACACTTCAGTCAATAAGTTTTACCGTTTTTCCGGTGCAAATATAAGCATTTTTGGCATTAAAACGTGGTTTGAGGTCAAGATATCGTCAAGTGAAATCCATGACTCTGTTCCCCTATAACTGGTGAATTAAACTAGGAATAACTGTCAACTGTAACACTTTAATCCTACTTGATATATAATAACTTTTCCTTAAAATCATTTAACAGGTAAAATAATGAGAAATGAGTGAATTTTATTATGAAATTTCAAAGCTGCGTTACTTGTGACACTGCTGTGCCAAGTTTAAGTCCAAGCGTTTGAAATACGAGCGAAGTTGAAGCTTTCCCAAAAAGTGTTTGTTTCTCAGTCGAGAGTAAGTGCAAGCCGGCCAAATGTCCAGTTTTCGAAAATACGAAACATTCCAATTTAAAGGTGACGAGCACGCGCGTCACCCCTCTGTTACCATGGCTGTTAGTGACATGACAGGAAGTCGGAAGCCTATGCAGTAAAAATGTAATCAAATGTTAAACTCATGGCAAACTACTTATTGTCAATGCTGACGCTTATCGTAGTCTTTCTGTTTCATTGAAATTCAGCCTTTGAACGTGGAGATAAAATTTATTTCAGTGAAAACCATTTTTTTATTCAACCGTTTGTGACTGGACCACACACCAGATACACAGAGAGAATTCTGATATCCCTGAGCAAGATCTATATGTACAAGAAGTACAAGGTATCTGAAGTCAGACTCTCATACTGAGACATTTTCTGTGGTCATCCATTTTCTCCCCCTATGAATTTAAGTAAATTCAAAGAGGAGAAAATGTTTAACTATAGGAATAATATTGGTGGATTATTAACCTGTTCAAGCAGGTGACTGATAATGGTGACTGTTTTTGACACCAGAGTGAAGAGTGATGGTTGGAAATTTTCCCTCTGTTATTTTATTACTATTCATTGTAAACACAGCGCATGTTCCACATAGACACACTCAGACATGCACATAGATCGCGCCACACATTGACATCATCTTGCCCTCATTACGCCTCTGCTACTTCCTTTGATGGCAGAATGACCCACTGTTACACCTCTGTGCAAGGGCATTAGTATCCATGAAATGTCAAAACGCTAAAGGCCATATAGAGATGCCAGTAATATCTAGTGGTATTGACTTTGACAGTTTAGGGGTATAAAAACAGAGAGCCTGCCCTTTGTAATGTTAAAAAATAAAAATAAAATAAGACGGTCTGTCTTATTTCCACCTCAGTTCACAGCCCAGTAACCATGTTCCTCCTCCTCCTCCTCCTCTGTTTGTCCCCAGGTGTTCAGCGGTAAACGCCCGGATGGAGGAGACTTCCCTCAGCAGGGCCAGCCAGCCTCCTCCTTTCGTAAACTGTCGCCAACGCCTCCTCTGGGCCTGGGGGAAGGAGTCCTGTCCACTCAGCCCAGTGGTGGAGCTCCTCTTGATGGACAGCAGCAGGCTCTGACCTGCCTCATCCCAGAGAAAGATCTGACATTGTTTGAGAAGCTCGGAGACGGATCCTTCGGTGTGGTGAAGAGAGGAGAGTGGCTGACACCTGCAGGGAAGGTGGTGAGGAGTCCCATACTTATGAATACTTTACTTTTCATAAAAAATTGTGTTTGTAACTTAACTCCTGTGCATCCAGAAAAAATGTTTAAACAGGAGTAGGACCTGGCAGAGAATTTAAACAAGACAAAGGACTTGGTTTTGTTTTGCACTGAGCGGGCAGGAGAATGATTTCTGCCCTCAGACTGCTTGTATGAAGTTGATGAATCCTGCTGTTGGTATAAATAGATCATCAAAAGGCTGAACGGTGAGAGCACATGTTTAAAGTCTTGTTTCTATCCCTGTGCTTATTTCCAGCTGAATGTAGCTGTGAAGTGTCTGAAGACAGATGTGCTCAGCCAGCCTGATGCTCTGGAGGACTTCATCTGTGAGGTCAACGCCATGCACTCCCTGGACCACCAGAACCTCATTCGCCTCTACGGTGTGGTGCTCACACACCCCATGAAGATGGTAGTGCACACACAGAAATGCACACACACAGGGACAAACATGAACACATGGGTACATCAGTTATTGTCTCTGCTTCAGGACCTAACAGTCGGCTTAAATCAGGTCAAGATGGTTTGGCCTTTGTAATGAGAAGAGAACATGGAGGGAAAAGGTTGTGAGACAGGAAGGGAGGAGTGTGCAGGGAGTGGGGTTGACATTTTTGCCTTGCCGTATATTTTGTGTCTTTGTTTCTGTGCCCTTTAATATAAACAAGAGTTTGAAGCGATGCAAAGTACCTCCTCATGAGCTAGGATTGAAAAAATACACATGTTCAAATTTGACATCTCTCGGCTAAACTACCAACTTTTTAAATGATAACCGATTTTTTTCGTTATTGTAAGGCGTCACTTCAGCGCTCTGAAGACATTCTCTTTGAAAACAAGCAGAGAACCAGGAAACAAGTGATGAAGGACATTAGCCGCTTAGCTCATGGCTTCTCATGGTGTCCATTGACTGCTGAAGAGTGAAGGAGACCCTCGTTTTTATCCTTAAACCATTTCATTTTTCATTTTTCTACCTATTTAAATGATCTCAACTTCAAATCTACAAAAAATAATAAACTTTAAGATGTATTTTGAAAGAAACACTGCTGACATTTTCTCAGCTTTGACTAGCGATACACTGTTCACTAGAGCCCACTGTTCCTCTTTACCTCTGTCACAATATATCTGATCTCTGTTTAGGCTATTGTGTTTTTTAATAAGCTTATTAAAATCGGCTCATAAATGGTAGTGATTAAATGAATTTGCACCAACACTAATTGATGCTGAAAAACTTGGCAAACACAGTGACATCTAGTGGCCTTTAAATTAATGACAGCCCTCCTCTTGATGGTCTGAGGCACCAGTAAATTTCTCTGAATGTCCAAGTTTTACTGTTATTTAAGTTATAAAAGTATAAGGAGCCTGTACTCTATAGAACAAATCTATCCATACAGTCTTCCTTTCAGATGTAGCTGACTAAATCATGGACAAGTTTGGAAAGTTAATTAGCACACAAAACTTTCTAAACTGTTAAACTTACAATTAAGCTTTTTTTTTCTTTTAGCACTCGTGACATTTGAAGCTTCAGACATCACCAGTCATGTGACATTTCATCTGACACAAGCTTTAACATTAACACTGAACACTTACTTTGGTTTTTGGTGATATTAGCAGGGAGACTATTTTGAATACTACTCTCCTTTTCTTCTACCTCTTCTTTTCCATGCTGATTCATTGCTGTATCATAACATTAGTCTGTTCTTAAATTTGAACCTCTCCTCACCCTCTCCCTTTTCTTTCTTTCCCCCTCTCTTCATGTTGTAAAGGTGACTGAGCTGGCTCCTCTGGGTTCTCTGCTGGAGCGTCTGCGATGTGTTCGTCCTCAGGGTCCTGTATTGATCCACACTCTGTGTCAGTATGCCGTGCAGGTGGCTTGTGGCATGGCTTACCTGGAGCAGAGGAGGTTCATCCATAGAGACCTTGCAGCCAGGTAAGAACTGTTTAAGATGGAACTGTAATTCAGCAGCAATAAAAATGTCGAAGCACATTTTTATTCATGTGTTTTATTCACACCTTCTTTGAATCTCATTTTTCCTTCTGGGATTTTTTATTGGCGTGTAAAAATATTTACAGCCTCTCCTTCTCCTCCAACCAGAAATTTACAGGCCATTACAGAAACTCTTGGCCCATGAGCTGCATGAGTCACTGGTTGGCCAGCTGTGCTGGGTGGTCGAATTTCTTGGTGTTGCCCAAATTTGTCACTTTCACTTATACTGTTGACATTGTGTAGAGGCTTGAGAAAACTCTAAATGAGAGGTATAAATGAGTCATTTTTCCACTGAAAGCTGCAACTACATGCTTCTGTTACAGATTGGCAAACACTGTAAGGATTTCTCAAGCTGAAATGCTGGACACTAAGTTTGTTCTTCTTAATACACTGACGGATTGTTTTTAACACCGCTGATGAAAACTACAGTACATTTTGAGTCGTAGAACTGAGTTTTAAACGCGTTATGACCCAGGTGTGCTACTGTTACAACAGTGTTCAAGATGCTAATGCTAACTAAACCACATGGACTGTAGTTATAGAACCACATGTGAAAAGTTGCTCTTGAGACATCTTGAGTTTGGAGTAGAGCTGTTACCCTTTTACATTGAAACTCATCTAAGGTAGTTCAGACATCTGATAAGACATGAAATGCCTCCTGGGGGCCTCTGTTGCGAGGTCGTCCAGGTATGTCCCACCAAAGACATCAGATTATATATCCCAGAATCTCTGAGAAGAGGCTGGAAAATGTTGGGATGTTTTGAGCCACTTGTTGAGCTTACTGCCACCACTGACCGACCCTGGATAAGCAGAAATAAATGGATGGATAGAAAATCTTAAAACTCTTTTTTGAAATTCGCTCACAGATTTGTACATTTATGAGATATTTATGTAGTATGACTCCTCATCAAGTCTTTAAATCCAATGACATGCCTATTTGCTTTGATATTCATGACTAAATAAACTTCTGAATTATATTTTTCAAGATTGATAGTAGAAAACAGCTGTCCTCTGGATTCCCAGTTCTTCTTGCAGTATTGACGTTGGTTGAGTAATTCTTCGGTCATGCAGTCCTGACAAGTGAAGAAAAGAAAGAAGGTTATCAATCATGTTACAAAATGAAAAGGATGTTGCTAAATACTCGACCTTCTCTCTGTAGGAACATCCTGCTGGCCTCGGCTCACAGAGTGAAGATCGGTGACTTTGGTCTGATGAGGGCGCTGCCTAACAACCACGAGCACTACGTCATGCAGGAACATCGAAAGGTCCCCTTTGCATGGTGGGTGGACTGAGAGCAGCACAGCGAAGACACAGCTGTACTGGGATGTGATCCAGTGTTGGATCTGTGTGATTTTTGGGGTTATGTGAGAACAGATTTATTTTATTGCAGAAAGATTCCACAGAGAAATGCGATCAGTCACAGCTGCATACCAGCCGTGCTGATGATTCCTATAAACAATGCTTTCTGTTTTTTTTTTTTGACAAGCAGCTGGCCAGAAACCCTTTTTTATTACTAGCTTTTACCCATATGCATGAATTTTTAAGGACACAGTGTCCTGTGGTGGAAAAAACGGGATCAAAATGTTTTGTTAGCCACAGTGAAAAATGAAACAAACTTTCTGCAAACGTGAATTAGCTGTGAACAGATTCAGAGATCGATCGATTGATTTTTATGTTTGAGTCTGGCGTCTGTCCTGCTGCAGGTGTGCCCCAGAGAGTCTGAAGACCAGAACTTTCTCTCACGCCACAGACACATGGATGTTTGGAGTCACACTCTGGGAGATGTTCACACATGGCCAGGAGCCGTGGCTGGGCCTCAATGGAAGCCAGGTATACAGACACTGATGAGAATTATTCACAGTTATACAAAAACATTGGAATAATACGCACACTTTCACATTGACAATGATAAAGTGGTTATTTGTCCTCTTTTTATGGCAAAATCAAACTGTAGATCTTGCACAAGATTGATAAGGAAGGTGAGCGCCTCCCTAAACCTGAAGACTGTCCCCAGGACATCTACAACGTCATGCTGCAGTGCTGGGCTCAGAAACCAGATGACAGACCAACATTTGTTGCCCTGCGGGAGTTCCTGCTTGAGGTATGAGAACAGTCTTCGGAGTAGCCACAGAGTGTAAAACTTGAACAGGGTTGGACCTCATATTGTAGCTGATAAGAATAATCTGTACATAAAACTCTCCATTTTCATTCATGTTTACTGAGCCATAGATCCCTGAGAGTGATACAAGCTATATAACAGAAATCCAGGGGTTCTCTTAGCAGCCCCATAATAAAAACAGAGTATTAGCTCCACCTAGTGGAGTGAAAACAATCTAAAAATGCCCTCTGCTGAAGTGACTTATACTACTTACAAATATGTCTACTTTTTTTGAAGAGTACCTCTATTTATGTGGGTTTTTTACAGACCATGCCCACAGACATGTGTGCTCTGCAGGACTTTGATGAGCCTGACAAACTCCACATCCAGCTCAATGATGTCATCACCATCATTGAGGGGAGGTGAGTGTTTACAAGTTTCATTTCATTAATTACTCAACAGAGTGACCTGCTAATCTCATTTCTAATGAATAATGTCAGGGAAAAAGAGTTCATCTCTTTCTGTAGTTTTTTTCTTTTTTTTATTTGAACTACATGCAGTTAATAGTAATTTAACTTTAATTGTACTGTATTTTCCATTGTCTGTAGAGCTATTTAGTATTGTAATGAGGTACAGATGACTCTCCATGTCACTTCCTCTAGTTCCCACTGTCTTATCTTCTGTATTTCTGTCTCTTTAAGGGCTGAGAACTACTGGTGGCGAGGTCAGAACAAGAGGACCCTGAAGGTGGGACAGTTTCCCAGAAATGTGGTCACATCGGTCGCGGGTTTGTCAGCTCACGACATCAGCAGGCCTCTCAAAAACAGCTTTATCCACACGGGACATGGAGACTCCAACCCTCACCGCTGCTGGGGATTTCCTGACAGGATAGATGAGTAAGGGCAGAGTATAAGGATAAATATCATTTCTATCATGAGTACTCTTAATGAAGTTGGTGGTGCAAGTCTTGCTGGTATAATTTCTGCAGAGTTGCAGCAATACTCTCTTACCAACAGGTGGCAGTAGCACATAATTGAACATTCCTATCAGGTTATTGCAACATTTTAAAAGCAAAGCTCCTTTAACTCAGTATTTTGACATCAGGCTGTAATTAAGTTTGTCTTTCTCCCCCTCAAGTCTCTACCTCGGGAATCCCATGGACCCTCCAGACGTCCTCAGTGTGGACCTCAGGGCCACTCGGCCCACGCAGCTCCCAGGAAGAGCTAGAAGTGAGTAAAAGGGCCCTTGATAAAAACTCATCCCACACAAAAATGTGGTCCCTTTTGGCTAAGACACACTAAAGGCTGATACTCTAATAAAAACATCAGTCGAAGGAGTCACTTCACTGGTCTTAGTGTACTGAAATAAAATTGTGTATTGCAAGGCTCACTGTAATTTCCTGACCAGTGATTGTTGCAGGTACAAATTGGCACTTTTTCTGGCTGATGAGCGTCAAGGATGTAGAACTGTTTCTCCTTTAGATGTCACAAACTATTTTGATTTTCAGCCTTGTTTGTATCCATATCCATAAAGGTGTACTACAACCATAAAATGGTTGTAGTACTCATTGAAAAAATGCAGCTTTCCTGTTTATTTTTTCACATTCATACCTCAGACTGGTTCAGTTTGGTATTTAGTGGTTACAGTAGTGTATGTTTATTAAAAAGTCTACCAGACAGTTTGTTTTAAACTTTCCTAACACTTCCTTGCAAAGCTTTCATGTACAATCTGCATCCTGCTTCCCCCCTCTAATCCTTCTTTCTTTGCTGCTGTCTTTTCTTTTCTCTCTTTTTCCTTTGTGGCCGCTGTAATTACTTTTATATTTCCAGAGGAGCCTCCCCCTCGGCCTCCTCAGCCCGCCGTGTTTATCAAGAGTAAGTCTGGTTTCCCTCAGCAGCTCCTCACACATTGCTCCTGCCCTCTCTGTTCCCTCCTAGCTCCACTCCTCAAAGGTACATCCATTATTGTGTTGTTTGTCCTCAGCCTGTCTTTGCAGTGATCCTGTCGTCCACTTTGATTTCTTCTTAGACGCTGTTGTTGTTTTTTTTTTCCATCTTTCCACCTGTGTCCCTGTAACAGGCGTGCAGTGTCCTTGCTGTGATTTGTAGGACTAACTTTGACCCTGGAGGCTTTTTTTTTGGCTGGAGTGTATCTCATAATTTTTTAATTTGACATGATTCAGAAGCGCACGAGTGTCATGTTCTTCCTTGTGCTTGTAAGTTGATAAACATTCGTGTGTGTTTTTTCGCCTCCAGAGCCTTGCTATGATCCAGTAAACGATGATGAGGATCTGTCTTCAGCCGGACTAAAGAGATTATCACTTAGGAAAACGGGTTCTGTCAAAGGCTTAAAACTCAAACCTGCTGCGTGGGTCTCTGCCTCCAAACAGGGGGGTGGCCGGACTTCAGGCTCAGGCTACAACCCCCACAGTGAGGTGTCGCTCATTGACTTTGGTGAAGAGTTCCCCCCACCCACGCCCTCCCCCTCCCCTGTGGTGGAAGCTCAGATTCCCACCCTCGCCCGACTCGCTTTGGAAGCAGAGAACATCCTTGACCGGACTCCACCTCAGAGTCCCTCCAGATCTCTGCCCCGCCCCCTTCACCCGACGCCAGTGGTAGACTGGGATGCCCGACCTTTACCCCCACCCCCGGCGTATGATGACGTAGCTCAAGATGAAGATGACATGGAGGTACAGTGGGAGATGATAAAGTAGATTTAACATGATGAAGATGTTTTTTTATTAGGATCAGAGTCAAACATGTTAATGTTTTCCTCCTCTTCCTCCACAAAGGTGAGCTCCATCAACAGCACAGAGCATCATTATGAAGGGGAGCCCACTGAGGAGGCTCTCTCTGCTGTTCAGAAAGTAGAGGGGGAGGCTGTGGGCTCCAGGGGTTCAGACAGACCAGGACTGGAGGACAACCTCTTCCTCCCCAGCAAACAGAGCCAGAACATGTCCACCTCCTTCTCCCAGTCAGCGGAGATCTTCCAGGAGCTGCAGCAGGAGTGCATGAGGAGGCTCAACGTACCCACAGGAAGTGCTGCTCCATCCCAGACCTCAGCGTCCTGCCCTGAGACTCCACAGACAGAGGAGGGACCTCAGGAGGGTGTCCTCTCTCCCAACGAGGACAGGCCTCAGATCCCCCCTCGAGTTCCCATCCCGCCTCGCCCCATAAAAAGAGGGGACTACTCCTCTTCTCGCTGGTCGAGGGATCTCTCTCTGTCTCCAACACCAGCTGACACATCAGACAATGTTTCAGGCTCAGGCCAGGACAGACCACCTCAGATCCCACCTAGGGACCCTCTGTCTCAGCCCAGTTCCAGGACTCCCAGCCCCATGACCCTGGTGGTGGGCTCTCCTCAGCAGAGAGTGTACTCTGTGAGCCCCACCACTTCCTCCTGCTCCTCTGCACACACCTATGGCTCCTACCTCTCCACCTCCCCGGGTAAACTCATGCCCACCACACACAGCTTCGCCTCAGATCCTAAATATGCTGCACCCAAAGTGATCCAGGCTCAGGCACAGGGGAAGGACGCCCATAGTAAAGGCCCCTGTATCCTCCCGATTGTACGAGATGGACGTAAAGTCAGTAACACACACTATTACCTTCTACCAGAGAGACCTCCGTACCTCGACCGCTATGACCGCTTCTTCAGGGAGGCGGAGAGTCTGCCCTCCAGCGCTGTGGAGGAGCGGCACGTACGACAAGCTAACATGGCCACAGTCAGACCCATGGTGGTCAACAGCCAGACCCTACAGGGACACACCCAGGGACAGGGACTCGCCCAGCCCGGCGAACTGAAGGCTAACTTCTCCTCTAACAATAACAGCAGCCTGGGCGGGCCGCGGTCAGGGATGAAGACATCAGTTAGTCTCCCTCGAGTCTGTTCAGATGGCCTGACAGCACCTGTGGGTCCTGCTTTCTGCACCGGGACAGAGGGAGGAGTGAACTCAGCTGACAGGGTCAAAATGGTAAGGTCAGAGATACTTAGATTGCTCTTTACAACTCATTAAAATGACTTTGTATCTTTAATCATAAGATAAATATAATGTGCTGAAAGGTGTTATTTATTGCTTCAGTAATTAAAGTGCAATCCTGCTCACTTTCTCTCCCATGATAGATGTGAAACCTCAGCATCGGGGTAGTTAATACCAATATAAAGGTGACCCTATCTCCTCCTTAATGCTACTTTGATTGCTTTTTTGAAAATTAGGGGGAAAAAAGGTACATTTCTTAAACAGTGGGGTTTCCTATCACCAGTATGGGAGCACGAATCTCCACTAATGTGAGATAAAGTCTTAATCACACACTCAAGAGCTCAGGCATCCAAGCAATAATAAAGATAATCAAGTCAGATTGGTCTACAGAGTATTAAGACTTGAAATGTAAAACCATAGGAGGATGTCTAGTTTGATCCCTGTCAGATTTAAGTTTTTGTTATGGTTTCACATAAGGGCTTTCTCGTGTGGTTTTTTGATAATGTAGTGCACAGTCTGTAACATATGTACCCTGAACACAAGGGGGCAGCAGAGGGCAGTTTTCATGTGTTATCCACTGGGGTCATAGCTTGGAGGGAAATTGTGTGCTAAGAATTGGCATATAGAGGATTGGATTTCAGCTGCTTTAGTCTGTTTCAACTATACAAAACACCTCCTTATACAATGTCATCGTTAAGAGAATCAAAAGATGATTGACTTGTCAAAGCAAAGTAGGCTACTGCTCTCTGACTTGAGCTGAGCTTATGAAACCATAAGTTTGAACAGAAGTTTCTTTTGTACTTGTCTTTTTTAATAAAAACTCGCTCCTTCACAATGAAAAAAGCATTAAATGTGATGACTTCTTATAATTTATTTAAAAATATGCCGGTGTTCTTTGGAGACAAAGGCCGTTTTCATTATTGCTTTGAATTGAATCTGAAAGACTTCAGACTTTCCTCAGTGCAGACTTTGATTTGTTTCTTTGTGCCGACCAATTGATTCTGACACCGATTGAACCTGATTGAACAGCAGTAAGAATAGCTGTGAAACACTGAGGGCTCTCCATCGATCAGGCTCATGGCATTTTATAATGGATATACTGGGCTCCGTGGCCACACACCAGAAGAGTGTACTGTGGAGGAGTTCAGTGGGAGATGTACGCTACAGTTATTAGCTGTAACTGATAAAATGTCATATTATTACACATAGATAATGATTTAAATTACTTTCCAGCTGGAAAACTTCTAGTAATCTTTTTATAATCAGAGCTCATGGTGGCTTTAGATGAACACAAAAGTACCACAAGTAATATAATAATGCTGTGGAGTGAAAATTCTCATTTAATCCAGTGATGCCGAATTATCTGCACTTGTATTCTTATCTTTGGCTTTTTCAGAGAAAACACAAATTGAAAAACGAGCTTGAATAGTTGCCAAAACAAAAATGAAATGTTTCATCACAGAGAAGATCTCATAATGTGTGCAGGTGCTCCTGTGAAACACGCTGAAGGGCAGCTGCAAGGTCAAGTGAGCAATTAGAGAGTGGGAAGCCTAAGTGCTGCTGGACTCTGCAGAGACTGACACTGTTGATGTGCTTTGATTCAGGTGCAGGAGGCCGTTCATGGTGTGACATTAGAAGAGTGCCAGGCTGCCCTCCAGAACCACAACTGGAACATCCAAAAAGCTGTGCATTATCTCAAGGTGAGAGTGATTATTCACACATCAGGTCTTCATGCATTAAAGACAATAATTGTTCATAGTATGGTTTAAAGAAACTTTTAAAGGGACTTTTTCTTTGTGTTGATTTTTTTTTTTACCTCCTGTAGTCAAAGCAGTAGCTCCTACATCTTTGCTGATCTTATGCTTTAAATTTTAAGTGTTTTCTGACAGAACATTTCTTCTCTGTTTTTTATTGGTAAAAAGTTCAAAATGTTTGACTCAGATCTTGTTTTGTGTTATAGAGTGCTGCATAAACAAGTACAGCACACTATAAATCATCTTGTCTGGCACCAACCTCTCAAGGTTGATGCAGGCATTAAAAATGACGAGGGAGTTTTGATTGAAGAATCACGAATTAGTAAAATCCTATTTTATAACCAATAAGAATCTCCTCACAGGAGCTTGATCAAGTCTGAAGATTAAAAACTAGCAAAATGGAGTAAAAAGAAATGGACAAACCACAACTCTAGAGACAAAGTGTTTTAGACAAGGCTGAAATAATGTTATTTTGATACACCTGAGTGAGAAACAGGAGGCTTGTTTTGATCTGAAAATCATGTGATAGAACATATTAATGAGTATCAGAGGGGAAGTTTAGGTTCTGGAAAAAAAAAAGATTAATACCCCCTCTATAATCTTTAATGAGCTTGTAAAACAGAAAACTTTGGATAAATAATTTTATAATGTTATTTAACTTACTTTGTTAGCCATGGTTTTAATTATTTTGTCTCTTTGTATCTAAACATTGTTCATATAAACATTTGTTTTACAAATGGCATCATAACAGATGAGACTGTGTATTTCAAAGACAGTGATTGGTTCATCTTTCGCGTGTATTTGGCTATTATTGAAATTCATGCTATCATTAAGGCTTAATAGGGCTACTGCCATCTTAGTTTACAACCTTGGCCCCCCTGCTGTATTAAAAAAACAGCCAGTGCAACTTCACAAACCACTGCTGTTGTTCTTCACAGTCTTCATAAAGTATTGTACACTATTATAGTGTTTCTGTGTCAAATCTTTTTCAAATGAATCAAAGCATTTTAAGATATTACAGAAGATTAAAAGGAGAAATTGTGGTGCCAGGTTTCTCCAACATAAAGATACAAAACAAGAGCAACAGAAAAAAAGCATCATTCAAAAATGAAAAGCAAAAAAAGCACCATGTATTTAAGTGTATGTCATGGAGTATTTAATGGATAAGTAATAGATTCTAAGAAACTACATTTCAAAAGGAGAACAATTAGTTTGAGGAGGTCTATCATACTCCTTTTTATCTTACATTGGACCAGTCTGGGACACCTGTAGAGCAGTGTTGCATTAGCAGCTTTAAAAACTCCATATTTCTTTTAAACTGGTATTTGTAAAAACCCTTATTTCAGCACTATTCAGCCTCTGACTGAAACACTTAACTTGCCTGCTTCTCCACTGATACAAAGTTAGACACATCTCGTGGGTGCTACTTTTTGCACAGCTTTATAGTCACAAAAGGACTTGGAAGTTCAACCTTTAAAAGAAACATATGAGGCTAACTTTGGGCATCTTAAGCACCTATGCAAGCTCTTATACATTCATTATTGTTACAGTAGATGCAGCTATAACTTTATCATAGTTTGTGCTTCTGGGCCTTCGACAAGAAAGTTTATAAATCATAATTAAGATAAAGAGTTGACTTATAAGAGCTACTGTGAACTAACTAAGTGTGGACAGAAGGGGAATAAACTCCCCAGGCAAGCAAAATGTTCAGCTTTTACAGCTGTACTCACGGTGTCATTTATTTATTTATCTATTAATAATGGTAGAGTAGTGTATTTATATAGAATAGTATTTCTTTATTTAGGTAGCATTTGCTGGTAAGCTTCAGCTAAGGACACCAGCTGGCCAACATTACTGTACATGGCAATCTGGTTAAGTTGCACTACTATCTCCAACGGCTTAATAGTGTCAGCAGTCATTGTTATTTTATTCTGAAGCTGAAGGGGGTGATTCTTTTCTTCTGTTAAAATGAGTTTTATCATATTACATCTCTGAATGTAAGAGAAATACTTGTAAGGATTTTTAATCATAATAAAGTGATTGTTTGGGAATTGTTCTTTCACTAAATTACTATCCAGAGTTTAAGTTATCATCCTGACTATGTTATTGTGATGGATTTTGTTTTTGCAGGCTTTTGTCACTTTTAGCACTTCATAGTACCAAATTACATAATGGGGAAAAAAAGTTCTAAAATAATATCTCTGACATGAAACAGAATTTTACAAAAACAGTTTGGAGAAAACAAACATGATACGAGTCTGGCACTGTTGAGGAAAGGAAAAAAAAACAACGTTATTTCACAGTTCCACTACATCAAAATAAAAGCCCCACAAAGTGCACTGTTATACTGCAGCAGTGAGATTATTAAGAGATCCCGAGTTCTCAGAGGTAAATACTGCTGAGCTGCAGAGAGCTCCTCTGAGATCTACTTCCCTCCACCTTGGGTTAGATTTGAAGACTTTCTCTATAATAACCTTTATTAATACAGCGTATAACTGCAAACAGGTAGTAGTCATTCAAAGTTGCTGAATGTTATTTTTACTTTATGGGTTCATATCAGGATATGAAAGGAGCAACTTCTCTGAACCTTAGGGGAAATCCAGGTCTCTGTTGCTGTGCTGAGCAGACTATAAATAAAGAAGCAGAAAGAAAGTGTTTGCCCCCCCTCGGTGTGTGGTCGGGGCCCCTGTGGCAAGATGGAAGATGTGTTTGGATGGCAGTGGACACATGGGAACACTTGACCGCTCTTTATGGTGTTGGCAAAGTTTGGAAGATAAATAAAAATGCAGTTGAAAGGTCTCAGATCCAATCAGAGCAAAGAAGTGTGTTCGAGAGAAACACTGAGATTAAATTAAGGCTGAAATAATGCCGTAATACTCCACCATGAGCTGCAAGCACACTCCCGCAAAGGAAGAAAAAAGATGCAGATCTCCCCTGACCCCCAGGATCCTGCTTTAATTTGCCACCTCACGCCCTGACTCCTGGCCTCTCTCTTATGCAGATGCTGTTTGTTGTTTGTCTCCCTGCAGGTGGACCAGTTGTTCTGTTTGGGCCTGAGGAGCAGGTCAGAGTGTCTAAAGCTGCTGGAGATGTGTGACTGGAACCTGGAGGTGGCCAGTACCCAGATGTTAGATAACTATGGATCCACACAAAGACAGAGGTATTGCACTGTGGTCTGTGGGTCATTACCTCCTATGACCCTTAGCAGGACACTTGACTCAGCTCTCATATAACTCTTCTACCCCAAAAACTTATGAAAACCTTCAGCTCTGGCATGTCATCCAGTGCAGAAAACCTCTCATTTACATTTCAAAGTCGTTCAAGAAATTCAATCCCTCATCCATCACACTCTGATGTTGTTGTGACTTAAATACTCACCTGGCGCACTTCATCATTATTCCCGGAAATTGAATTGAGACTCAGGTGACCTCACTTCACAAGCTGACTTGGGGTCATTTTTGGAAAAACATGTCATTAAAACCTATTTCCTGGCTTCCTCCTAATCTGAATTGCAGCAGGGTTGCAGGAAAGTAGGCAGCAGACAAGAACAGCAGGGAGACAGGCAGCAGAATGATGCAATGAGACTGCTGCTGAGCTAATGATGCTAACAATCAGCTGCTAGACTGAGAAAGTTTCCGCTGCTCGACCCATCTTTTCCACTAAAAAAAGAGTGACACTACTTGAAAAACTGAAAAGGGAAAGTAGGAATGTACTATTTACCAGAGATTGATCGTTATCATCATTTTGGCCTCCTCATGATTAAATAGACATGATTGACAGCAGTATTGACACAGTCCAACCGATGAAAACTCTGCTGCATACCAAATCAAACAGTGTGGCAATCGACAGGTTTGGGCAGTTCAGACCAGTCTCATTAAAAATAGGCTAATGTCTGGAACAGAAAATGAAGAGCTGGTCTTCAAAAATGAATCCTTATCTGTTGTTTGGAGGTTTCATTGAGGGCAAGTAATGGAAAGCAAGAATAAAATAAATTGTTAATAGTGTATGGACCCAGACTGGGAATAAAAATAAATAATTTATTCAACCATGTAGGAAAACATTACAAAGAGTGAGCTGATGGGTGTAAGAGGTCAAGGAGGAATAACGTCATAACTTCCTCTTTGTCCAGCATCAAGGCAGACATCCATATCAGGGATGACCAGGGGCCAACCTTGAAATCTGATTGGCCATTCCTGGTGTTAGCCTTAATTCTCCTACTGTGATTGGTTGTTTTCATTATTAGAATAGATTTTTTTTCTTTTTCGTCGGCTAGCAACTGTGCATTTCAGTGGAGTGTACCACCTTATTGTAATTATTTAAATTGTGTCCTTGAACAAACATCTTCAGAATCCTACCTGATCTATATCTTGCTTCCCTTTTGTATAACACACAAGTGAAAGTAGCATAAACACTTTTCAAGAGTGGAAATACACCACATGAGTGGGCACCCAAGTTGGACCACCCCAGTCAAAAAAAAGTCAAGACAAGCTCCTGATCCATTAGCTTTACAGCATTGCTTTTATTTACAGTTTGCCTCTAAAAGATGAACCAAAACCCAGGAATGAGTTAGATCTAGCACAAAACTTGTAGAGTTTTATTTCAATTTTTTTATGTGAGCATTTACAAAGAAAACACAAAAATTCTTCCTGATATTGATATATAATCTCTACAGTTATGGTCCCAGTTTCATAACTATGATTATTGTTTTGGCAAAGAATATGTGACCCTGGTGATAATTTAAAAAACAGAAATACATTTTCAGGATGTTTTATTTTAAAGCTTTGTTAAAATAAAACAGCATCATATTTTTCTATTAAAGTCAACAACCAAATTCCACAAAGAAACCTCATCTTGCTTCACAGCGTGTAACTTCATAGTAGGTCAGATCTGTTATTGTAAACAATATGCTACTAAATTAATTACTTGATTAAATATCTTTTAAAGACTACACATTTTTGTGTGCATCTCACTGTAAAATCCTCAGAAGTAAAGGGTGCACCATTAAGATCAAGTAAATAAATTCAAGATAATTAAGGAGAGTTTTAGCATTTCATCTCATCCTTTTTTCGATCAGGTCTAAAGCTTCTTCTTTCTGTTTGCAGACGGTGACAGAGATGACAAGCTGCTGAGCTCTGATTGGAACTTCATCCTCAGTGGAGGTGAATCTACTCCTGACCCACCTGTTCACACATCCAATCAGAGGACTGTGTTTGACTTTGGAAGAATCCAGCACATTTTCACTGAACTAGCACAAATACCAAACTTCATTATGACTCCTTCATATTTGACATGAACAGTGGAATTCAGCCTGCAGGCAAAAAAGGAGTTTGGGGCAAATTTTTGGGCCTCCTTCAACTCATTTTGAAGTTTGTCAAAGCAGAAATTTCACTGCATTTGGGAGTTCAGTTTCATTTGTTCTGCCAGATTTATCTTACTCTAACAGTGTCATAAGTCCTGGGTGCTAACATACCCTGTCAGAGGCCCTTTAGACAGTTTCATCTTCTCATTTGCTGACTGCAGTGAAAAACTTGATGTGAAAGTGAATCTAAAAAGTCCCAAAAGAGTGAAAAAGCACAACAGATGTGGCTCTACTCCCTGTTAATGTCCGACTTTGTCGGACTTTGTCGGAGTAATTGGTGTGTTTTGTTGGAGTATACTTCAGGTGAGAGCAGGTTGACTGAAAACTGGTATCTAATTTATCAAACCATTTCTAGATTAAACCCAAACCCTGCATAGATAATGTGCAGAGGGTTCATAAAAGTGTAACCTTGTTTTGGCAGCTGCAGCACCACTTTCAAAACATTTGCTTTGGAGTTCAATTATACCTGATAGAAAAGCAAAACAAAATACAAAGTTTACATCTAATTGGATGCCCAGGTCGTACTGCACAGGATATAATTTAGCCTTTTTATTTTTCCAGAGAGGGTAAGGGATATGATTATGCTACTGAGTCGAGGGAATATGTGCAGAAGAACTTTTCTACATTAACAAAACAAACAAAAAAAAAACCCTTCACACTCTTAATAATTTGTATAACACTGCTTAAAGCTTGGCTGGGGTTGTTAGGTTTGTCACAGTGCTGCAGGCTGTGTGCAGGGAGTTAAAGGTCAAACTGAAAATAGAGGATCAGAGAGGCAGTTTGTTTGAGGTGAACTTTTTTAAAAACCTTTCTGCTTCTTATTCTTGGGTTTGAGTCATACCTTCTCTAAGAAGACATTTGCTTGTCTGAGAGCAAATTACAGTTATAATTATCTCTTTCAGTTCATCACAAATTTCTCATCATTGATCTAGGGCTGCACAATACTTTCCTTCCATTGATCAAAGTAATATAGTTTACAGCCATTATTAATGTTTGACATCTGTGTTTCACTAGTAGAAAGCACTACTTTCTCTCTCATTTATGTTTTTTACCATGTTCCCTGTGAGTTTTTCTACCATCTTGACCAAAGGCTTGAGGCTTAGGTGGGTCAGAAATACAAAAGCAGTCCAGCCCTGGCATTATGAGAGATGTGGGATAAAAACAAGGTCTCTAAATTAATTAAAAGTCATTGTGATCTCAGAATTGATCAGTCATGCTAATGATTTTGACCCTAATTGTGCAGCCCTAATTAGAAAGCCACCGTGTCAAAGCATCTCACAGCACAGAAATAGTCTTCCCTCTGAACTCTTGTGTCTATGAGCTGGAAAAGTCCTGCCAGCTCGGTATCTTCTGAATGAGCCCACTCTCTGTTTGAAGCCAGTGACAGCAGCGCAGTAAAAGTTACCCCAAAGCACACTTCCTGTCCCCATAATCATCGCTTAAAACCACAAGTGTGATATTTTGGTGGGCAGCTTCAGGGGCGATCGTTTGAGGATGTGTCAGCTGTGGGTGAACTCACTGCTGGATGTGACAGTACATCTCCTGAGAGGGTATTGTCACAGTGAGCCTGAAGCTACGAATTGTTCAAAACTCAGTCAACATGGAGAGCTTTTTGCTCTCTCAAACTTTTTTCTCCTTTTTCTTACATGCGCTTAGTTTGTGAGGACTCTGACCATAAAGCACATGCTCTGAAGTCTGGTCCATAAAACATTATTTCTTACAGGTGTGTATTCTCGACTCTTGTGCTGCTTGGTGCCCATCTATTAGCATCACAATGTTAATGTTTACTGTGAATGTTTATGGGCACTGGCTTTGCTCCAAGCCAACTGGCCCCTCCATATGTCCACAGACCTCCCCAGTATGTGACTGTCTGCTTCACATGATCTTTTTAAAAAGCTCATATGGAACCACAAAGAGTCAGCTTCCTGCCCGAGCAAAATGAAGAGGCTTTAAATTAACAACTTCAAAAATGATGATCTGTTTGTAAAGGGTGTATAGGACTGGTTTTAGAAGAAGTTTCCTCTACTGTGTGCAATAAGGCTGCTGTAAACCTGTAACCTCCCACTCTGTCCTTCCTTCAGTGCCAACCTGTTGTGTAAAAACAGCCTCCACCTCTGTCATGGTGGATTTGTGTTAGTGAATGCTCATTTCCAAGTGTTTGGTGACTCTGTTTTCCTCCCGAGAAAAGGATGAAGTCGTCCTGTAACACTGATCCACAGTCAGTTTTTGTAAAGCGGATTGAAAATCTGTGTATCAGGACGCCTTTTTGTGAGTCTGTTCATGTGTTGTCTGTCTTGAAACTGAGCTGCTGTAGTTGTCTGAAAGGACTGAAGTGAACCTCGTGGTGTTATCAACCCAAAGCAACATTTACCTGTTGTGTTTTTGAGACTCTGATGTTAAAATCCGTTCAGGTCTGTTTTCTTCTCTACTCCCATGTCTGTTTCTTCAAAATCTCTGATATTTCAAGTCATTTTTAATATTTTTGCTGTTTTTCCTTCAATCCTTTTGGCCATTACTTCCTTGTTTTTATGTACTCGCCTCCTGAATGTGTTTCTATTTGACACTCCTGTGCAGTAGGATTGTGTTGTTTCTCTCCTCCTGGGTTGATGGAAATGTTCCAGAGAAGTTCATGCTGCCGAATTTATAAATGTATTTTTTATTAAAGAATTAATTATTTTTTACCTCTTGTCTTCTGTGTACTTCTTCTGTCACTTCAATTATCTTGGGTTATAAAATCAGGAGCTTCCAAAGGTGATAAAATGATGTACATGCTCCACCGAGGCCTCAGGCACAGAAGTCCTATAATTAAGATGAAAAATTCAGCGCTAATTGTTCTTATTAGCCAGACAATTTGAGAGGCATTCTGGGAGGATTTGAGCATTATTGAGAGCGGCTGAGAGTTACTGAGCATTTGGTATTACAGTAGCCAAAGTCAGATTTACAGCTCTCAGATGCCGTAGGCGGTGCTGATGAATCCAGCTCTTGTGAACACGTGAGGGAGTTTTATGAACAAATCAGGACTGATCATCCGCCAAAAACTAATTCAGTTTTGGAGAAGTGCAGCCATTTGAGGATAAAGAATAGTTTGCCAGAAGCTTGAAGGAAATGTCAATGATTGAGTGTTAGGGAGTGTTCAGGGGGCTTTACTAAAAAGGAAAACAAAAAGGGGGGCAAACTAATAAATGTTTTTGGGTCTAAGATTTAAATTTAGTTTCACTTGCCACACCAGGGACGATAAAATACTGGACCTTTTTTAAGGGGACATACTCAGCATCTCCTCTCCCTCCCTTGGGAAGATCTGATCATAATCTGGTGCATCTCCGACCTGTGCACAAACCTCTGGTCCACAGACGACCAGTGGTTGCACACACACGGCTAAAAGATGATCTGAAGAGGCTCTTAAAACTGTTCTGCTTCAACGGTGTGGGAAGTGTTCTGTGAAGATCATAGGGAGGAAACAGCTGGTCTCACACACAGCATCACAGGCTATATTAATTTCTGTGTTGACAACACTGTACCCTCCAAAAGCATACAGTGTTTTACCGACAACAAGCCATGGATCACTCCTGACATAAAAGCTCTCTTGGAGGGCAAAAGGAGGTTTTTTCAGTCAGGGAACAAGGAGGTGATGAAGCCTGTGTAGAAGGACCTGAAGAGGAAGATCAGAGAGGGAAGAAAAAAAAACAAAGCCTGCTACAGGAGGAGGATCAGCTGCAGCAGAGGAACGTCAGTGGAGTTTGGAGGGCCTGAAAAGCATTTCTGGTCACAGGGTACAGGTGCCAAAGATCTCTCATCCCAAGGACTTCAACCACCACCACTACCACCAATGTTTGCAGTGCTGATCCCTTGCTGCTATAACAATGCAAATTTTACCACTGTGGGATTTTTAAAGTCTTATCTTATCTTATCTTAAAAGTCAATATGATGCAAAATTTACTTTCCAATGGTTTTCTAACAATACTATGCATCCCCAGCCTGTCTACGAACCCCCTCAAAATGAGAAAATTCTATCCTCTCCCTCTCTTGCTTGTTTCACCTTTCAGAAAATGTCTACTCAAACGGGCAGATTGAAACGCTCCCCCTCCATGACGTCATGGATGGTAATAACTCCTCCCCTCCAGGTTGGTGACCCTGCCCAAGATGTCTGTTTTGCCCTCCAAAAATTTCCACTCATACACTATTTTCCTCCCTCGCAAACGCTGGTTCGAAATGGCAAATGCTCTGTTGTTGGCTGCACGAAACAGCACAGAAGTCTGTTTCTGTAGACTGCAAGAACATCGTCACGAGAGATAACTATACTTACAATATTGCACATTCACCAATAGAGCTCCGAGTAACGAGAAGACAGCAGAGATGTAACCGTTAGCAGGAGCTAATGTTACCTGGCTAAATGTAAGTCATTGTGTACCAACACATGAACAAAGTAAAAATAAAAATATCGAGACCCATAATATTTGTAACTAATTCAGAAACGTCCTGCTGGACCCACAGAGTTGGAGTTTCTTCAGGAACCTCTCCTTCTGAGTCAGACTCTGGATCAAACTGGTACATCTGGACCACAGCACTTCTACGAGCCTACCTATGTGAACCTGCTGAAAAAGAGTGGGACCTTTAACTTACCTTATCTTATCATACATAAAAAATAATATAAAAAATAAACTAAGTCTAAACTACTGAGTAAGATACAGTCATCATTTTCAGACCATTGCCCAAGTGTTAATCTTAAATTCTTGAAATATTTTCCCTTGGA